GGTGGTGTGTGTGTGCACACAAGTGTCTAGCTCTACGATTTAATTATGTCCTAGCTGATAATTTCTAATTTGTTTTATTTTAATAACGAGCTGTAATTCCCTTCCCTATAGCCTTTGAATTCCCTTGGCGCAAGCCAGGGAAACACTCGTAATTTCCTTTGGTAAAAATAAGTGGAACTTAGTTGGTGTTCGACACTGATCGCTATTAGAACTCTGAAAAAATCGATATCCTGGAATCTCCATTAGAAGCTAATATCGTAGCTCTTTCCAAAACTTTGCTAATAGCCCCTCTGGTGTATTTTCTTCGTAGATAGCATGTGAAAATCTTTATCACAAAAAATTATACGATTGCTGAAAATTATATAGCTCTAAAAAAAATAAAATGGATGGATTTGTTTTATAACCTTTGAAATGGAAAAAACAAACCTTATCGAATTTTTCTTTATGCAACATTGTATGATTGACCTTGACCTTGAAAATAAAAAAGTTCTTGCAATATCTAAAAAGTGGGTTTCCTTTGAGTTATGGCCTGTTGTGTTAAAAGTTGAGTTTTAAATTATCATGATTTACTGATTGCTCTCTCTCTCTGCTATAAAAAATGATAATTCTAATGATATCTCGGTAATTCCACTCTGGGATGCCTAGAAATATTCAACGACTTTATCTAGGTATCTCTCAGAAAAAGCCCTAAAAAATAAGTGGCTTTATGATCGTGGATTCCTATCACTTGATAGGAGGTATGTATCATAACGCTGCAACAGTACACTGTCAAAAAGGGTTTCCGCAAATGGTCGTGTAGGTCGTAATTTCTCTCACCTGACTTACTAAAGATCCCATGTTGGGATTTATCTACACATGTAAATGTGTAAATGCTGACCTAAAAGCAGGTAATAGGTACAGTACTTTGGTATTAATGTAGAATGTAGAAATGAGTAAGAGGGGTTATTCACTGTGACCTTAAAGATCTGCCTGTGTAGCCCCCTTCCCTTTGTTGCAACACAGTCTATAAACTCTGTGAGCCAGCTTCTCAACTGAGATATACTGACCTTGAATGATCTGTTCTTGGGGTGTAATTCTGCTTAATGTATGCATTTTATTTTAATCTCCTTCTAGCTGCCCCACACCACACAGTGTATAAAATTGTTTCCTTTTATAGCTGTCAAATAGTGCCTCCATTAATTATGGGTTCTGTCCAGGGAGAGCTGAAGGGATAGAGAATGAGCGTCAACATACGCAGAAGGTCTAATCAAGTTAGGCGCCATATTCCAGATCTCCGTGTCATTTTGTATATAGGTGGTAATCTATAAGTAACTGTAAATACTTCACCTATTGTTTCTAAATCCATACAAGTAACGAATTTGAAGGAAACCCCTATCAGCCCATTTTAAGGGTTAGTTACATTAATATGCATCAATGAATTATCAGTTTCCAGTCCCGTGTACACATTGGTGTTAGCAATAGCACTAAATATACGAATATTCCTGACAAAAAGACGCCATGGATGACAGATGACCTTTCAGTAAACACTGAAATGATATTAAAGGCATTTCATACATTCTAGTTTACTCTGTAATCTGAATTACAAGTGCTCTAATTTAAAATTTTGCAAATTTGGTAAAATTGTTCTAAACAACTTTTTGTTTAAGTTGTATATTCATAAAAAAAATACTTGTTTTTTTTTTTTTATTTATTTTTGATGATTACCTGCTTTGTATTTTTAATATAAAACTATTTACAAATAATAAAAAAAATATGTTCTTTATTTTATTTTTTATCTGTCCCTTCAAAATATAGTTCTAAAACGTTACATAACATGTCCCTCTAACAAACTTTCTTACAATAACAAAAACATCATTGATTTTATTAAGGTTATTATTATTAGTGCATTTATCCTATTTCTTTTTTCGACAATAAAAACTCAAACTTGTAATAGAACATCAATTTTATTTTTTTTTTTTTTTTTTTCTGATTGCAAGAAAAAATCTGATTTGTCAATATTCAAGTCATTAATATACTGATAAACAAACCCAAATTCATCTCTAAATATCTTATTATAAACAAAACTGTTACTGTAAGCCTAGGAAACACATTTCATGGTTTGTCGTACACTTAGAAAAAACTTCATTTATCTTTTAGTACAAAAGAAACTTGTCAGATCCCATTTGAAACTCTAACAAAAATTTGTATGTACATATACCTAATTCCCATTATTATGAAAATTAGACTATATGGATCCTAGAATTTTAAGAAATTTTTTTTTTAAATATAAAATAGTTTTCCCTCAACTGTAATATTAATAACTCTTTGGTCTGTATTTTGTATCTTATTTAAAAACATGGGATTGATAATCCCCTTACTAAAATACATACTAGCTAAAAAATTGGATTAAGTTCTACTGCATCACACCTTTTACTATAAACTTGGGCTCACAACTCATAATTTCATACTACTGTGTTCCTTTGAACTCTCACTGCTAGATTCTATGTGTTAAATAAAAGTGTACATTTAAAACAAAGTAACACTGTGTGCTTCATGACTAATAGTCTCACTTTTAACACTCTTTAAATATCATCCCGTTAACAATTATGTGAATTACTATATGATTCCTTTTCCTCAGTGATTTGTGGCACAAATACAAATTCATTACATGCCCCATACCAGTTTCCTTTTAAATAAGAAATCCTCATTTGCTAGATTTGTTCCTCTCTTCATTGGCATAATACCCCTTTCTCCTATATAAATCCTACATCTTTTTCTTACTATCCTCAATCACCTGAAGTTTGGTATAATATTTTAAAAATTTTAAAAATGTTAATTATAGAACTTGATACTCTATGTTTGAAAAAGCCTCCATACCTGTAACTGTGCATAAATCTAATTAACTAACTCCTCCCTTGACACCTTGGAACACTGCTACAATGTTAGAAGACAGTATAAAACTATAAATCTACCTATAAATAAACTTTCTATAAATAAAATGTTAAATTTTTTTTTTTTTTTTTTTTTTATTATCTTATTTTTTCTTTTCCTCCAAATATTCTTCTTGTCAAGTAAGGATCAATCTGTTTGCCTGAGTGATACAATATTAATAGTTCTGGTGGCTAACTTGAACTTGTGCTTTCGTGGACACTATAAGAGTGCACTGTCTTACAGAAGCACGAACATCGATTCCAAGTATCTTCTTCATCCACACGTAATAACATCCCTTTAAATGGCTACACTGGCATAATTTAATTTTGACCATAAATCAAATGATGAAATATCACAAAGTAGTTTTTTTAATAAAAACTAAAAATAAAATAGCCTTGGATCATCTGTAAACACTATTATGTTGTATGGGAACTTACATGAAAACTAATCATCTTTCCCATGCATTAGCTCTCTTGAATCGACTATGAGCAATATACCAGCCCTTTGAATTAGGGGCAGTGTTTAGAATAACTGAGATAATAATAAATCTTTAAATTCATTTACCAATATACCAATATAATTATAAATATAAAAACAAAACAAAATAGATGTCAATTCAAAGAGGGAAGTGATAGCGAGGACTCCAAGATGTCCAAGCATCCTTGCTGTCGATAAAATCTCCTGATGCGACTCGTCGAAGCTTCCTTTAAATAAAACCAAACCAAACTCTTATGCAACCCATGGTCGAAGCCCATTCTCCTAAATGCAGCATCTCTAATCTCCCATTTCAAATAGTTCCAGGGCGTCAAATCAGGCTCTGCCTGGCCTCCTTTCTCTTCAGTTGTGTTTTGAAATTGAACGGAGATGTGCAAGCCTCATTGCCTCTGGTTGTCTACTGTGCCTTGCAATCTCATCTTTACAACCGTGGATCTTTTATATTTCTTTGAATCCTTTGAACTCTCTATTTCTAGGTTTGATTTTTAAGATCTCTATTAAAGGTAAGGTTTAAGTTAAAGGTCTTGGATTTATCTAACAGCTCTTAATTTAATAATCTGAGAAAGTGAGGTGAGGTAACCTAACGAAGTCCAAATGATCGTGAATTTTATTTTTTAAAAAAAAAAAAAAAAAAAAAAAAAAAAAATTTTACAAAAAAATTGATCAACTCCATATTTTTATACATAAACTCCACAATGTTATATTACAAAATTGTTCAAGTCCATATGTAAAAAAATAATACATGTAAATAAAAAACATTGTTCTCAATGGACGTCACTTTCCCTTGTATTCCAACGATATTTGTTATGTGTTCCTAAATCCAGTACCTTAGTAATAAATATTATAATTTTTAATCTGTTGTTTTCATTTTATCAGAAAAAAACAAAAAAAAAAAATGTAAATTAAAAATAAATTCATTTTATTGTAGGTTTCTATGCACATAAAATGATATAAGCAAAACCATTTAATAATTTTGCATAAATAGTTTAACCTGGTTTAACCCTTTTATATAAATCTTTGTTTTTTATTTCATTTGACTTGTTATGTTGGTCCTTGGGACCAACTGGGGATGATCTACATTTCATATTCTTGTAGGAAATCGAACGGTCTTCAAAAAAGAAAAAAAAAAAAAAAAAAAAAATCTATTTAAAAATAAATTGCATCTATTTAAATCTGCCGCCACATTTGTTACTTCCCTGGGTGGCTAGATGGTTTTACCTAAGCCATAGATTATAGGATTCTCTTAAGCAAATTTGAAACTGTTCTTTGAAACTAAAAAAAATGCATTGGGAGTTAGCAATTTTTAGTGGTTCTCCTGTGTATAACCTATCATATCATCTGTTGTAGGGGGATAGGGTATTTGCAATCCTCCTCTGACTACAGTTCTTCCTCCGAGGGTATATACACCCTTCCAATGGCTATTGGAGTTTGGCTCTCCGTGTCGCCCTTCATAGTCGAGGGAGTCATTCCCTGGCTGAGGAACTCCTGTGTGAGGTGGAGTGGGTGGGAGGGATCTGACCTACTTTCTCCACCTTTAACTTGGTCTCCTTAGATCTGATACCGGTGTTGTCCTGAATATATAATAGAGAATATGTCCTTCTTTCTAATACTGTCTCCCTTTGGACTTGGAGGCCAATTCCCATTGTAGAGGACCTTTAGCATTAATTGTTCCTTTTATATTAAGCACTATCCCACCTTTCTATATCTTTGCTCTTAACGGTATAAATAAAATTTTAAGATTCTAAAACTGGTTACAAAATTGATGTATTTTGGTGTTAGAAAATGTCGTACCTACTCTACATTAACAATGAAACGTAAATAAATTATTAGATAAACAGTGTATATATTGTCTATAATAGACTATACCTAGTAGATTTTAATAATAATAAAACATTTTTTTGTATTTTGGAAAATTGTGTAGGTGTAAGAAGAAAGAAATAAATAAAAAAAAAAAAAAAAAAAAAAAAAATATTTTAATATATCTAGTTGTTATTCCAAAATTATAAGCATAAAAATAATTCAAGAATGTCCTAAGAATCCTGCAAGTTTTGCTTAAAAGTGCATTAAAAAGTATTTTAACTCTAAATGGGATTATATTCTGTTTTAGCCCAGTAATAATGTCAAAATAATAATTAGTGGAAATTGCCTTAGATACTTACTAGACTCTCTCTCTTTGGATAAATAACCTTGATGTATTATCACAAACAGCTTCCCAAGAACTTCTTGACTTATACAAATAAGTAAAAATTAAAGTAAAAGAAGAGCCCTCTTGCGTTTGTTCAGGCACTAAACTCATGGAAGACATCTAAATCCGTATATATATCTCTGTGGATCTAACCCCTAGGTATTTTTCTAATCTTTATATAGAAATACTTTTCTTAATGATTTGAAAAGGTATTATAGGGTGGAGTGCACCTCCATTCACCCTTGGTTGATTCTAATCCCTGTCCCACACCCGTCCACATACAACCTTCCACCAGGGTGTATCAGAACCAAGATCCATACCAACACCTAAAGTTATATTTCTTTCCAATTTGGAACAATCTGATACTTTTATCATTTCATTCTTTGATCTAAGTAATTAAATAAGCATGCATGCTATAATAAAGCTCTGTCGTGCACCCATGCATTACTCTTCAGAGTTAATTTTTGTGTTGACTTTGAAGCCAGATAACTAAACTTTTACTAAAAACTACTATCGGTTCTTTTAAAATGTATACAGGGAGCCAAAATTGCTGGTCTATCTTAACATTTATCTTTACATAAAACTCTTGCTATCTAAAATACGTACAACACTACAGTATTTTCTAAAATAAGTCGAAGCATATTAAAATGCTCATTAAACGTATTTTCCATAGACTTAAAATAAAAAATAAAAAAAAAAAAAAAAAAAATTCTTTCAATAAAATGGCAATCAAGATGTATTGGGGTGCCGCCATGGAAATCTACAGTGACAGTTAGTGCACTCCATTCCAAAATCGATACTAGCTCTATGGATCCTATATATAATTTAAATCCTGAAAATAGCTCTACTTTCATTTAATTTTAATTTCCAAGAATTTTAATAAGCATTTAGGTATCTTTATCAAGAAAACTAAACTGCAGTAGTCTTGGACATACATTATGACACTTTGTAGATATATTGGATTTTCTATAAAAGAAAGGCAAATTCATTTTCTTCACTTCCAACGACAGGGCCTAATAGGTTTTTCATATACCACACCATCAGCTCTGTAAAATAGGAAAAGTAGTTTTTCAAAGAAACGCTTGTCAAGAAAATCTTATTGTAGGTAAATTAAATAAAAATAACTAATGTCGATTTTCAAAATAGCTACTAAGTGTGACTTGATTACAAGTTTATTGAAAAACCATAATATAGTTTAAACGAGCATTTAAATCTCCTTCGATTTATTTAAAAAAATACATAGTGTTGCATTTGAAATATCGAAGTTTTTATGTAAAATAAATATTTAAAATAGACCAGCCATTTTTCATACCCCTGTATACATTTAAGAAAGCAATATTTTTTTTTAGTAAAGATTATTTATCTGTCTTGAAAGTCAGCACTAGAACTTATTCTGAAAAGTAATGTACAAGGTGCTGACAAACTTTTTATTATAGCATGCATATTTAAATACCTTTAAATATCTCAAAAACCAAAGCTTTTAAACATATTAAACCCTTATAATAATTGCCTTATTTTATGTCCAAGAATCCAAAAATGAAATAAAATACCGGGTGTTCCATAAGAAAAAATATAACTTTGGTATGGATCTTAGTTCTGATACACTCTGTACATTTTAAAATAATTTTAAATTATGCACATTGCCTTCCCACATATACCCATAAAATATTTTGATTCTATATTTTTCCGTTTTTGTATAATCAACCGAGGCTGATGAGGTGCGCCACCCTGTACAGGGTGGGTCAAATTCGACGCTTTTAAATGGAAACAACCTTTTCTATAGGAGATAGACAAAAACTAATATCGGTGTCTGGAGCTCAATTTTTGTCAAAAACATGATGGTGAAAACCGCATATCGATATCTGTTACCGTTTCGGAGTTACGGGGTGTTTTTCAAAAATATGCATTTTAAGAAATCGCTGTAACTTTTTTACTATGGAAAATTTTGTATTTTTATGCAAACATTTCCAAAGCACCTTTTTACGTAGAAAATGGTTTAAGTATAATTTTTTTAAAATTAATAATTTAAGAATTATCAACAGAAAATTTGATTTTTTATATGGGACACCCTGCATATTTTTAATTAGCTGAAAAGAATTTAAAATTACCTTTCCAAAAATATAGCACACTTGATATTTTGTTATAATCCCCTTCGAAATACAGATTTTTTAAAAGTTCGCCACTTTTAACTAGTAGGCTTTAGACTTAGATATATTGATGATATGCCCTTAAGAGAACTTTAAGAAAACATATTTTTCCAGCAAGACGACGCACCGCCTCTGAACGCTGAAGTTATCAGCAAATTTCTGCAGCCAATTTCAAGAATAATTGAATAGCTGACCAAGAACCCAGCCGTTGGCCGTCGAGGCCGCCTGACTTAGTGTCCATGGATCTAATCCTATGGATATATTTGCGGAAGAATAAAGGTTCCTTATTCTTCTGTATAATCTAGACAAGAATTAGAAATACTTAGCAGTTATGAGAGGGTATCTTTCACCCCCACTGAGTTAATGAGTTCCGCAAGAAATGTTCAAAAACTGCCCCGTCTGACCATAACAGAAGATATAGTTTAAATGTGTTGATATTTATTAAATATATTTTAAATTGTTATAAAATTCTGCATCTCTCATAGCAAATATTATTTTCGTTTTAATTGATGCTCACAGCTAGAATTTTTTTTTGCATTACAGCCGATGCCGTTCAAAAGCCTACTTATTTAAAGCGGGCGAATTTTTATATACTCTATATCTCGAAGAGGAATCGAGCAAAATATCAAGTGTGTTATATTTTTGGAAAGGTAATTTTAAGTTCTTTTCAATAAATTAAAAAATATACAGGGTGTCCCATATAAAAAATCAATTTTTCTGTTGATAACTCTTAAATTATTAATTTTAAAAAAAATTATACTTAAACAATTAAATTCTACGTAAAAGGTGCTTTGGAAATGTTTTCATAGAAATACAAAATTTTCCATAGCAAAAAGTTACAGCGATTTGTTAAAAAATGCACATTTTTGAAAAACACCCCGTAACTGCGAAACGGTAACAGATATTGATGTGCGGTTTTCACCATCATGTTTTTGATGAAAATTGAGCTCCAGACACCGATATTAGTTTTCGTCTATCTCCTATAGAAAAGGGTGTTTCCATTTAAAAGCGTCGAATTTGACCCACCCTGTACATTAAAATTAAACGGTATAGGTTACATTACAATTAAAATAATAAATCCATTGTAATTAAAATATGTATTTATATTTTAAAAACAAATGAAGATTTCTTAACTAATGTTCAAATAAGCGACAAGTGCGACCCCATACGTCAACAATTGATATTTATAATATATATTTACTTTAATGACTGCAGTGACGGACTAAGGGGGGGGGGGTGGAAGGGGCGGTCCGCCCCGGTCCCCGTCTTCTAGCCTCCAAATCTTAATAATTTTTTATTCAACTGGCAAACAAGGCCAATATGTGTTCAGTAGTTATAAAGCAGTTTGTAGGTAGAGTATGCAAACCATACGTACCTATACGCCAACTATAAACAGTACAAATGGAAGCAGATATTTACTTAATTATCAATTATCAGGCCCCAGTAATTGTCAATGGCATTTTCTATTTAGGAAATTAAATCTAGGGGTAATTTTCTTTGTTTAAAATATCGAATAATTATTATTTTTTATATATTTTGAGACTGAATTTATTTATTTTAGCTTTTAAGTTATTTTTCAATGGTTTCATTATTTATTTTTACTAAATAAACATTTTAAATTACAACCAATGCACAGTATAACTTGTATTCTAGCTTCATTACTGATGATGAGCAGTGAAGTCTTTAGTATAAAGGGGGCCACGGGCCTGAGACAGCGAAGGGGCCCCTTGGATCTTAGAGGACTCCCTGAAAGCACTTTTAAGAAAAAAACATTTAAAATTTTTGGACGAAAAAAACTACCAAAAAAAACTGTCAAAAAAATTTGTACAGCCTAAAAGTCAAATTTAGTGATTATCCCAGCCCCTGTGACATAAAGAAAAGACATGTGGCTATCTATTTCAAAAATTAAATTGTTCAAATGTCATATAATAATGGTGGTAGCTGTCATGGAATTGGGCGATTAAAAAATTATCATAAATATTTTTTTTTCAAATGTAAACCCACTTTTTAATTTCACTAGTGAAAAGGTTTTCCAATTCGTTACGTTTTAACTAGACATATTCCTACACCTAAAATAAATCGTTTTTAAGTTATGTAAGATTTAGTTTGAAAAGGTATATTTTTCTTGATTTTATCTAGCTTCCTTTGACATTAAGTGTCAAACAGTCAGACAATTTATTTCCATCTGTCAGAAAATGAATTATTTGAATATCCTATACTGCTGCTTAAAAGTTTAAAAAGTGTGTTTATATAATTATACCTCGTATTTTCGTTCTTTAGTGATTAGTTGATATATGATCGAAAAAAAACAGCGCAAATTTAGCTTGGAAATGATGATCGATAATATACTGTGATAGGCTACTGGTTAAAATCAAGAAAAATATACGCTTTAAAGTTAAATCTTAAATACAAAAGTCAAAAAGTAACAAATTTTAAAAACGAAAGTAACGAAAGCCTTTTCACGAGTGAAATAAAAAAAGTGGATTTCCATTTGAAAAAAAAATGATTTATGATAATTTTTTAATCGATCAATTCCATGACAGCTGCGGCCATTATTATATGACATTCGGACAATTTAATTTTTGACATAGATAGCCACATGTCTTCTCTTTATGGTACAGTGGCTGTGGCAATCACTAAATTTTACGTTTAAGCTATATACATATATATTTTTGAGAGGCAGTTTTTTTCCTCCAAAAATTATAAATATTTTTTTTTCTCAAAAACGGTTAACGTTAGGTATATCAAAATTCATAAAATTTTACAGAGAACTTAAGTATGTAATAAAAAATGGGGTCACCCATTTAAAATAAGAAAGTTGCTGTCAACTTCCGGTACTTCCGCCATATTGAAAATATTTTTAATCGATAGATCTCATTGTGAAACAATGATATGCACAAAATCTTGTATCTAGATATTGTAGTTCTCTAGAAACTTCTAACGCAGGCTCAGCCTGGGCCACCCTGTATAAATACTTGAATTTTGTCAACCATTATATATACCTCATTCAATTTTTACAAAATGTGCATTAGAAGTATATCATTATCTAAACAGACCGGGGGCCACATTTAGCTTCGCCGCCCCGGGCCCCCGACAGGCTTAGTCCGCCACTGAATGACTGGTAACTGTTTAGCTTTAATTTTAATTTACTATCATTAAATAAAATATTAATGGGGATGTTTCGTGTAGTAGACAGTAGACTCACCAAAATAGTTCTAGTGAAGTTATTGACCACCGAAGAATCGAAATGAAGTCTCTGGTCGATGAGCGCTCTTTCCATGATATCCTTGCTGTACAGTTCGTCGTCGTTTCCATATTTACCAACCAGGAAGGCGATTATTGCGTGGCTGTCCCAAATGACGAATCCGTTGTCGCACAGAGTCGGAATAGTATGTTGAGGATTAATCTGCTAAAGCAATTTTCCCTTACTTATCTTGCAAATAATATTTCTCTTAGACTCAAAGTAAAATAATTCACCAAAAGCCCGGTTGACACGGTCCAAGTGTACTTCAACCAAATATAGGGTTTCCATACGTCCGGATTTACCCGGACATGTTCAGATTTTTAATGTATCAGGGACGGTCCAGCCCTGATTTGGAAAAGAGTCCGGAATAACAATTTAACTTAGTAAAGTTTTTTAGAGTTACAGTTGAATTAATTTCTCAGTTACTTTGTTGAATATTTTAGTCTCGACGATGCTACAGTTCTACTTAACCGACGTATGATCGAAAGTACCCATTTCTATACTTTGGCGCTCAAATTTTTTGGCTTTTGGTGCACCCCTCGCAAGTGAATGTTATTTTAGTTTATATTTTGTTGATTCCGGGGCTATTATATTATTCGCGTCCTATAAAAGTTCATAATAGTATATTGTTTTATTGGGAGTAAAAATGACACTTTTTGTGTTGAGGCTGTGCGTTTGACATACAGCCGAGGCACAAAAAGTCATTTTTACTCCGAATAGAACATGGTATTTTTTTCAAAAGCCACAAATAATTTTTTTATACAATTTCAGACGTTCCAAATAATATAAAAAGATTTAAAAGTCATACCTTGTATGTAAATATATACCGAGAAACTATAGTTACGCTCGTTGAATTTAACAGTTTATGTCAGTTTAATATATTTTCGTAGTTTTATGGTTAGGCGTAGAAGTACTTTAGTTTTATACCTAGGCGTTAAAATGACTTTTTTATACTGTCAATCACGTCACAAAAATTAATACTTAATACTAATTGTGTAGACGAAAAGAATATTTCCTAGCTGCACAAATGGAGAAAAAACACTTATAGTAAGTACATTCTTTTTCCATATTAATTGAAGTTAAATTCGATCATTGCTTTTATATATATGGCCAATTTATTATGGCCAATTTACAAAAAGTCAAATCGAGTCTGAATGAAAATTAGTAGTGTAATTTTATTTAAGGTTTTAAAAAAATGGTATAAAATGGTAGACGAGATTTTTCGTGTAATGTTGTCCCAAGTATTTTACTTTAAAACCATTATTTCAGTTTCTGCGGAAAACTGCGATATTTTAAGTTTTCGATTTTTTTTTAGGAGAATGTCCAGTACTTAAAATAAAAGATATTTTGAACAATAATGCCAAAAGTGAAAGAGTGGCAAAAATTTGTGAAAAAATTAAGTTATGTTTACATTTAGAAGATTGTTCTGAAGAAGTTGATTCGTTTTTACAAGAAGAAAGTCGTTTCCAGGTGAGAAAGTTTTTTCGTTTTTTGTTGAACTTAAATTATTGCCCTTTATTACTTTAATTTAATTGTTTTTCAAAATGAGCTTGCCATAATGTTATCTGTGATTGAATAATTGTGATAGAAATAACTTTTTTACCTTTTTTGAAAAAAATTGTTTAACCTTTTAATTTGTTTTGTCATTGTATTTTATATTTTTTGACCTCTGTATGACTATTGGAATTTCTTTATTATTCTGATTGTAATTATTTTAGCTTTCTTGGGCCTGAATATGGGAATTCTTTAGTCCCGAAACATCTCGCCCCCCTTCTTTTTTTGAAGCAAATTAAATTTAAATAAACATCTTAAAAGATTGTCAGTTTTTTGTCCCCTACCCTTCGTCAGAGGTTTCACTGGGCTGGCGAACGTTTTGTTTTTAATTTGTTATTTACTAATAATAAGAAATAATTACACTTTGAGCTGCAGGAGATTTTTTTCCATATTTATAAAAATTATAATTATTTTTTTTTGCCAAAAATATTTTTAGTTTATTTTTATATCATAAAAATTGGTTTAAAATATAAAATAATATGTTATCTTTTATTAGTAATGTAAGTAAATACATTTTCGGGCGGTGAAAATCGAGTTTTCCATTTTTGTCCACTTTCCCCTATACTTCAAAACACTGTGCGACGTTCGGAGTTTGTCCGGATTTCGGAGTTCATTTGTCCGGATTTTGTCCGGATTTCTGAGTACACGCATTTGTGGAAACCCTAACCAAATACACTTGGATGCTGTCATATAAGAATACTAATATGGATGCTGTGCGCGTCGCACTTATACGCTGCTTCTATCGTAACACCTGTTCTATCCAAGTCGAGTTGGAAGGCTTCGTAATATCCAAGTAAGTTAGCAGCCAGCCTACTTACTTGAATGTTACAAAACCGTCCAAGTGTCCAACTCGATTTGGATACAGCAGGTGACACGATAGAAGCAGAAGAAAAATATAGACAAAAATAATATAGTATAGGCGTAAAATATTACATATGTGACACTAAGGTTGATTCTCACTATACCTTCCGTATCAGCTGCCTTCCGTTTCCCTTCCGTTTACATAAAATATTATATCATGTAAATGAATAGGATAATGCACACTATCTGTTCCGTTCCCGTTCCGTTCCATATCCTTTCCTTCCATACATTTTTTTGGCGGACGGACTGAAGCGTATCGGAAACAGCGTTGTCAAGTTCTTACATTTGTGCCAGCTCTGTTAACATTTTGCTGATATTTATTTATTCTTTCACCTTTTAATTAAATTTATTACCTTTATCAAAATTTATAAATTGTTAAAATAAAACTTTCGTGATACTATAAATTGTACAATAAAAGGTATGGAACTGATACGGAACGGAAGCTTACGTATAGCGTCAATACAATAAAAAATACGGAACGGATATGGAATGGAAACGGAAGGTATAGTGAAAATCAACCTCAAAGCGGAATACACAGTGCGACAATTTGAAAAATAACAACCCGGAATATATTTTAGACAAAAAATACTGAAGATGGAACATTGTTTTCTTCTATGTGTATTTGTGACCTTTATGACATTGTTTTATTCAAGAAAAAGATTACTAACATTCAAAAACGTCGCTTGTTTTTAAATAAAATATGTACCAATATCTCAAAAGCTAATCGATTTGAGATTTTGCTACGAGACAATAAAGGAAATCAGCGAGCTTTTCATGTAGATATTAAAAAAAGTTTAAGAGACTACCATTTAGGAGGTGATATAGGCTTCAAAAATTACCTCAATTTGATTATTAGTACTCCCGTTTGCTACTTTTCAAATTGATACCCTTAGTGATGAGCCAGGCCGGTCTTGATCTTGCGGTCTTGCGGTTTTGATCTAGGTCGTGCATAAAAGCAAGACCTAGACCAAGACGAGCGTTTGTAAAACAGACCAATGAAAGACTTCCGCAAGATCAAAACCAAGACCAAGCATGCAAGAGTCTTGCGGACTTTTTTCACGTTTATATATGTTATACGAAAGTATAACATACAGGGTGTTTCAAAAAATGTGTGCCATCTCTCGTGGGGAGATTCCTCACGTAAAAATAAGATTTATTTTTCATATCCACATAGGTCCCATTCTGCTTCGTTTCGTAGCTACAGGGTGTGAAAGTCTTAATAATCTTTTGAGTTATTATAATTTTCTTCCAAGTACTTTTAGTGATTGGAATAAAATTTTGAGGGTAAAAGTTACTATAAGTGCTGCATATTTTAATGCTAAAAAAGTGTCGATAAATTTATCAGGGACGTGCATATGGGTTAACACTGGAATATTTTTCAAAAAAAAAACATGTGCGCCACTGACTTTTTCTCTTTTGATATCAAAATTGTATAAGCCATTTAATGCTAATTAAAAGTGATGTCTTGATATTTTGAAATTCAGCCTCCTTGATGAGATAAACGCAATTTTATTAATCACAATTAATAAATTATATATTTTATAAGTTATTATTAAGTATAAGTTATATTATATATAAAATATATTATAAAATATATTTATATAAGTTATTATTAAGTATTATTACTATTAGTTATTATTACTGTTACTCCAACCTACAGCAATTTCAAATAAAAAAATAATGGTATTTAAGATAATTACAAAAAAAAACTAATTTTAAAAAGTTCTAAATCCTGTAACTCTAAAACTATGCATTCCCATACCCGTGTTTATAGGAACTTTTTTCATATTTTTGATGAGGAATCAATGAGTACTTATTTAAAACTTTCCTAAGTTAATAATATTAATTTTTTTAAAGGTTGCTATTAGACTTCGATCAAAGGCAAATTAAAAAAATTGCAAGGAAGCCGAAATCGACAAAATATCAAGAAGAATCCACTCCTTCGCTAACAAGAGAAAAAAAGTCAGTGCCGTACATGTTTTTTTAGAAAAATATTCCAGTGATAACCCAATACAATTTCAAATAAAAAAAATGATATTTAAGATAATTACAAAAAAACCTAATTTTAAAAAGTTTTAAAATTAGGTTTTATTTTTTTTTCTTTTAGACACGTCCCTGGTAAATATGTCGCAATTTAACTTTTACGCTCAAAATTTCATTCGAAACGCTAAAAGTACTTGAAAAAAAATTAAAATAAATCGAAAAAATATTAAGGCTTTATTAACACCCTGTAGCTACGAAACAAAGCAGAATCGGACCTATGTTGATATGAAAAATAAATCTTATTTTTACGTGAAGAATCTCCCCACGAGAGATGGCACGTGTTTTTGAAACACCCTGTATAATGTTGTTGTTAGAAAGAAATGCTGATTGAATATAATATATTGAAAAATAAAATTTTTCGTCAAACAAATTTTCTTCATAATAATTTATTTCTTTAAGTTTTATTTGTATTAAATTACCAAGAATACTATTATAAAAATTGCGCAAGAGTCTTGCGCAAGACCAAGACCAAGACTGGACCCTGCAAGACCAATTCCAAGACTGTATGCAAGAGCAAGATCAAGGAAGTCTTGTCTGGTATTTGCTCATCACTAGTCACCCTACATCTTTTATCGTTGATAGAAAAATAAATACCTTAAGGAAATTCGGAGAAAGCTGCTCCTGTTTTCCCAAATCCATTTTCTTCACTTTCAGCGTCAATCCCAAGATCCTAGCGGTCATAAGTACGGCCCTGCACGGGGGGCTGATTTCTGACATGTACAGAGTAGGAGCCATTGTTTTTTCTGATTCAAGAAACGCGCAAAACGATATAACCACTCGAATGTTCGAAGAGGAACTGATTGAACGATAAATGCGTCGCAAGTTTTTGGCCAGCTATTAAGCGACTGAGACACTTGCGATATCCAAATACATGGATGTCGTTATTCGAAACAATCGTACACTTTACACTCTATCAAGATTAAGTTATTTGTAAAATTTTTCGGTAAATATAAGCGCCTTATCTAAATTGAGATGAACTTAGTATCGCGGCGCGGCTGAATTTCGCGATAGGACTAGTTATTTATGCATAAATTGCGTACAAGATGACCGGTCTCATGTCACCAGATAAAACACTGGTTACAATAACTTACATATATTTCGGAACCGATTGATAAATAATATAGTTCGATTTTTCTAAACACTTGCATCACAATTATTTTGTTTTGCTCCACACCATATAGTTCGAAAAGTCATTTTAACATCACAAACATTCGCATTTAAAACCATTTTAATTCACTATACAAAAATTTCACAAAGCAAAAAAATTTTTAACTAAATATTTTATCATTGATATTTCTTGAAACAATCGCATACATTTTACCACCACACGTCTTTACCCTAGTAACAATTTCAGTTAAATGTGACCGAAGTAATCGCCATTTATACTTTCAAGATATATTTCTTGGTCTTCTTCCATGATTCAGCTGAAATTCTCAACAATAATCTCGATCTGATGACCTATTGGTCCTGTTTTTAAAACTAAATTATCATACTAAAAAGACGATCATTGCATAATTTAAAATTCGCATTTATATCAATATAACTTTATTAATGACATTTTAAAGAATAAGATTGGTCCCTAAGTTTATTAATTGGCTATTAAAAGTAATGTTGAAACCTTATATTATCTAAGGTTGAAACTGTATAAACAGATATTCTGTTGTGTATATCAACATATGTAGAGTATATCAACATATCCTGAAATAAATAAAGATTGCGAGGTCATCTCGTGATACCAATTATTATTCTAAATTAAAACCTGAATTTTTCAAGAACATAAACTAACAAAATTAAGCGAAATATCAACAATACCGTGTGGTTTTCTTTATATTTATCACAGTCTATTCGGTACCAGCCGGTCTACAAAGGGTCTTTAACAATGGAATTCGGATCCTACCTAGAGCACATCGTCCACTGTATGAAATGTAACAAGTTGAATTATGAAGTCTATTGAAGATTAGTCCTGCGCCAAACATACGAGTAGTCGGTTCCCTTTCTTGAGTTATAACTAATCATACAGTCTCAGGACTTTGACAAAAGCCAGTATCTGAGACGGTTTTACAGAGGTTAGTTCTCCATCTCGGATATCGGTGGTACCAAAGTTTATGGCACGAATGGTTGTCGTCTCGGCACACTCAGTGTTGAGGTGTTCTGGTATCTCCCCATTTTCCCCACAGAATTTGCATTCCCCGTTGCTTCTTAGCTACAATCTACTGAGGTGTTAGGTTAGGTTAGGTTAGATTACTTAAATCAACAGCAAGGCAAAACCTGTACAAAATACAAAGACTGGCATGTATCTGCATCACAGGTGCCATGAGAACATGTCCAACAGTAGCAATGGAGGTCATTCTAGACCTAAGTCGGTAGATATGCCAATGCGACAATGATTAGAATGGTCATTGACGGAAACAGTACTGGGAGAATTTTCAGGTCAGGGGCTTGGAACACCCTCAAAAAGGAAATTCCACTTCTCCAACTCCCAGTGGATGACATACCAAGAATTTACAACTTTAAGAAACATCTCACTGTAGTATTGAGTAATAAAAAGGATTGGAAGGAAGAAACGCTTACACAACATGCAAAAGATCATACCATAACGTGGTATACTGATACTTCCAAAACCAAAGCAGGGACAGGGATAGGAGTATTTGGGCCGAAAACGAAATACTCCGAACCAATGGACACCTACCCCAGTATACTTCAGGCAGAAATTTACGCTATCGAAAGATGCGTACAATTTATCTCAGATAGGAACTATCAAAAACAGGAAATTGCCATCCTATCCGATAGTCAAGCACCACTAAACGCGATCAACTCAGTAACCATCAATTCGAAATTGGTCAAAGAATGCCTAGAGAAGCTCAACAAATTAGATAAAGAAAATATAGTCCTCCTACTCTGGGTGCCTGCTCACCAAAGGATAGAAAGCAATTAAAAAGCAAATGATCTAGCTAGAAAAGAGGCGAACACTCCACTAACTGAACCAGAACCGTTCTGTTTTCCAAACGGGAACCAACTGAAGGCGGAACTGAAGAATCTAGAAGACTCCATCCGTAACTTGGAATGGGTGTCCTCCAACGGTCTAAAACAATCGAAAAAGTTCCTCAGAACTTACGACCGAGAAAAATCAAAGGTATTCCTTGATTTAAGTAAAAACAATCTTCGGATTGTCACGGGGTTTCTAATAGGACACTGTCTCCTCAACGAACACCTCAGTAGGCTGAAGCTGAGAAACAACGGCGAATGCAGATTCTGTGGGGAAAATGGGGAAACACCAGAACACCTTATCACTGAGTGCGCCGAGACGACGACCATTCGTGCCATGAACTTTGGTACGGCTGATGTCGGGGATGGAGAGCTGGCCGCTGTGGAGCCGTCTCAGATACTAGCTAAGACCTATTAAAGCCCTAAGACGGTATGATGAGTTATAACTCCTTATAACTCAAAAAAGGGGAACACACCAGAGATCTGTAAGGTCGCGGTGATTAACTCCCCTCCTAAGAGTAGGTGGACTTTATTTTCTTTGGCTAATTCGTTCAGCTTCTCTAGGCATTCTTTGGTTAACTTTGAATGCAGAATGAGTGGAAGGGGGGTTAATTACCACGACCTTAAAGATCTATTATGTCCCCATTTCTTGAGTTACAACTCATCATACAGTCTATAACACATCATACATGGGGATCCTCCTGTTGTAGGGGGGACAGGGTATTTCCCATCCTCCTCTGACAACAGATAATCATCCTCCGTGGAGATACGCCAAGCTGTTTCTTGGTTCCTTTACTCTCCCTTTTCTCGAGGAGTGTTTTCGCTTTTGCTTCCTCTGAAGCAAATCCTTCGTCGGAAGCAGTCGGAGATATCTCCGTACTCCTGCTCCGCTGAAATCTATTATCTCTCTATTCTCGGGTTGTCTAGCCCGCCTGGTTGACCCAGGCCGGCTATAGGAAACGGTAGCTTGTGTAGCCTGGTGGGTCTAGAGGTAGGCTCCTGGCCCTTACTAGAGGAGGTGGTAGGTGGTAGCTTGTGTGCCACTTATGGAGGATGGTCTCGCGCAAGTGTCAGCTGCCTCTCCTGTAGTTTTTTCTTTGGGTTTATCCCTTGGAATTTACACTATTTGTTCCTCAGTGTTGCTAGGGGCTCTCTCCAGCCTCACCGCAAGGGTTTTGATAAGAGGCTCCTGGTACTTCTGGTACTGAATAGACAGTGGTTGCAACGTTAATATCTATTTATAATATTTAATCCTTTATAGGTAAACTAACAACGGAGATTAAGTCAACAAAACAAAATATTATCAGTCATCTATCTACAGAGGTACATACTTCAATCCCCAACTAATTAATCTATTAACTTAAGCCTCGTCGATAAGTCTGATAAGTTACTTGGATGGTTACTTCATAAGTTATCTTATTGAGATTTATATTATTTGAGGAGATAATGATAAAACATTATATTTATCTCTGAATACATCAAAATAATAAAGGAAATATGCTTTTATTTTTATATAAATGTATGCCATAAGGTGTTGTACTTAAAAACAATAAAATAGCAAATGTATCTCTATTATCAATAAAACTTTATTAGATCGATTACATTATCTTTTACAGGGATGTTACCCATTTCCAGGAATCTTTGAACTCATCCAGACCACGCTTATTAATAGAAAAATACGGTAAAGATTCGGCATCTTTTATCCATCTTCTGACATGAGGATTTTTATTGTCGTCGATTGGTAACATTAAATCAAGCGAAGTCACAGTGGGCAATAAGGAAATATCAGCCAAAGTCACCGCATCCCCTGTCACCCATTTCTGTTTTTCCAACACTGTGTTCAAATAATCGTATACGTCCAAGATTTGCTGACGTTGAAGCTCCGTTAGGGGTCCCTTTTGCCCGTGGTATAAGTATGCTCTCTATAAAATATGTCAATGTTATTCAAATGATAACGTATCAAGATAAAATATATTAAAGTCGTATAAAACATTTGGCGTCTCTTAAAGTGGCTTGATAAATATTACTATGTAATAATATTTAACACGTTGAGAGGAAAATGTATTCGCTTTTGATAAGATATCTACCCGTTAGGTATTAAAGTATTATTTTAGACTAATTTTTAGCATGTTCACAAGTTTAACATTTTTAAATTGTTCGAAATAGAATTTTAAAAATGCTTAAATAACTAGAGCTGTATTTTGAATTATTCGTAAGTTGAGACTATTTCGGATATTAAAAATTAGAAAAATAAAATTAATGAATACAAATATTATAAAAAGAAATCAAAACAGAGAAATAAACTTTACTAAAAAATTCGGTTGCTTCCTTAAATGTATACAGGGGTATCAAAAATGGCTGGTCTATTTTAAATATTTATTTTATAATATAAACTTCGTTATTTCAAATACAACCCTCGGCATTTTTTAAAATAAGTCGAAGCAGATTTAAATGCCCTTTCAAACTATATTAGGGTATCCTATACTTATCTGGCTCATATTTTGAATAAAAAGCGATTTTTCAATAAAATGGCAATCAGAATGGCTGGTGTCACCATGACAATTTTCTAGTGAAAGATAGTAGCTATTTTCAAAATCGTCATTCGTTTGTGGACTTTATTTAAATTTTATTTATTTAAGTTCATAGCAATTTATTTTTATTTAATTTACCTACAATCCTACAATAGTTTAATAAGTAAGTATTTATTATTTTAACATGAGAAGAATGAAGCAGTATCTGCCGGCGGAAGGAATGGATATTATGTTATTACTGATTTTATTTTGTGAGGAAAATTGCTTGTTGGCCTGAAGGGTCATAGACATCGAAAGAGAAATTATCTTGATAAAGCGGTCCTTTAAAAAACTACTTTTCTTATTTCACAGAGCTGATAGTGAGGTATATGAAAAACCTATTAGGCAGAAACCTCTATTGGAAATCAAGAAAATGAATTTACCTTAATTGGCTCCTTTATAGGAAATCCAATATATCTACTATACAGAGAAGACCAGGCTACTAGTAACATAGCAAGTTGCCGGACGAATTTACGTTTACCCGATTTGCGTTCGTACTCGAGATTCACTGCCGCCTAGTCGGCTGGTCAGACAGTACGCAGCTGTAGTTGTGCTTGGACGGGTCGATCGTGACACTAGGAATACGACGCGAGGAGTGCCGAGTATTTATTTTCATTTTAAATGTTTACCTTCACTTAAGGTAACATTTAAAATAAAAATACTTAAATATTTATTATTTGAGTGTGTTTACAAGCCGAAACTAAAAATAAATAAATTCCCTAAACCCCAAAAAACTAAAATATTACTCTAAATAAAAAAAAGTTATAACAAGTGTTCAAAAAGACCACCTTCGTGTGCTAGACAGAAGCCTAGGCGGTCGTAAAATCCCCGTCTGACATTGGCTAACATATTAGGACCAATCATATGCTCCCCTACAAAACCAACCCAAACATTTAGCTTTTGAGGATATTGCGTGCGTACCTCAAAATATCTGTGCAAATTTTCACGACACCAATATCGTACTTGTGTAGGGTTATGACGACTCAATAAAGGAAAACTTGATTCGTCGGTGAAAACTATACGCCGAATAAAGTTTTCATCTAAATTGGCCTTTTCCATTACAGATTCACAAAACGCCATACGCCGAAATTGGTCTTCATGGAAATTTTCTTGAGTTTTGCGCGCCTTATACGATCGGTATCCATTCTTATTAAGGACTCTTTTAACCGTGCTAGGTAAAGAATCTGTTACCTCAGCAATTTGATTACTTGATAACGTGGGATTTTGATCTGCGGTAGCACAAATGAACACTTGCTTTAACTCCTGTTCTTCATTAATCAACACATGAGGCATTTTGTGTTTTTGTGGGGACACGCGCCCATGTGTTTCAAAATTATTAATAACTCTTGAGATAGTAGGTAAAGATGGAATTGGCCTGTTTACAAAAGTTTGTGGAAAAATTGTTTATATATCCCGATAAGACCTATTTTGGAAATACCATTTTACAATTTGAATTTTCTCACGAACTTCGTAAACATCCATTATTTTACAAAATAATAAATTTTACACGAGAACTGTCGCGAGAATCTATGTATTCATTTTGACTATTAAAACACGAATAAATACAAATTCTGAAACATTCTTATCACATATCTACCTATTTTTATTTTATCGCATTTTTTCGCCTGCTTCTTATCCGACGGACGGGTATACGCTAATTCGTCCGGTTCTGCCTATGTTACTACTACGGTGGTCCGGTCTGTATATTATCATAATCATCGTAATACGGGGTGTCCCAGAAATAGGTGCAAGTATTTTAAGGGGTGGTAGATCTCGATAAAAGAAACATTCTCTCTTTATCGTTTTTCAGAGTTATTTTACTTTGAAAATTTACAAAAAAAATGATTTTCTGATAAAATTTTGAGAACCACTGAATCTTTTCTGGATTTTCTTTCTTTTAAATTTAATCTAATATCTATGTTACCATATTATCAAGAAATTATTGTTTTTAACTAAGAATTAAAAAAAGAATTTTCAATTTTTTTTTTCGCGAAATAAACCTCATAGGCGTGTTTCTGTGGTTGAACTATACTACCAGTTAAAATACTTGCACTTATTTCTGGGACACCCTGTATAAAACTTCTTATTTCGTCAAAGAACTATACTTCTTCATTTTTCTTGATAAAATAATAAATACTTATCTATTAAGCTGTTGTAGGTATTTTAAATAAGAGTAAACTGCTATGAACTTTAAAAGTCCATAAACTAATTTCGATTTTGGAAATAGAGTTACTAACTGTTACTATAAAATGGTCATGGTGACACAAGCCATCTTGATTGCCATTTTATTCAAAAATTGCTTTTTATTCAAAATATGAGCCAGATATAGGATACGCTAACATAGTTTAAAAGAACATTTAAATTTGCTTCGACTTATTCTAAAAAATACAGAGGGTTGTCTTTGTAATAACGAAGTTTTTATATAAAATAAATATTTAAAATAGTCCAGCAATTTTTGATACATCCTGTACATTTCAAAATAATTTTAAATTATGCACATTGTCTTCCCACATATACACATAAAATATTTTGTTCCTACATCGTTCCGTTTTTGTATAATTAACCGAGGCGAATGACGTGCGCTACCCTGTATCTACTGATATAAAATTTATAGCAATGGCACAGCTTCTTCGATACCAGCCAACTTCGTGGCTTTTAGAGAATCCGCTTGTCATCTAGTGCGTCTATTTCTCTACACATTTCAGTAATCAAAACGCCAGTCTTGATCGTCTAGCGTCAGTGAATGGTTAAAATTCGATTACTATACATAACATATGATAAGAGAGAATATCTAGGTAGAATAATCGCAAATTTCAATGTAAAACACAATAAGTTGACCGTCTAGTATTGAATAGTGGAGAGTGTTGTACCTTGGACCATAATGTACCTCGGACCGCTTCTTCAATTTCACTATGTGTCGATGCAGTTTCCGTTCACCCATATCGCCGCTAGATTACGCACGTGAAACCTACAGATGGCGCCCAAAGTAATTCAACCAGAAACGAAGTTCTCCGAAGTTATTTCATATTCGTCGTTTATCGAGTGTGAAAGTAAATAATAAACAAATAAAAATATGTAATCATCTGCGTACTTTTAAAGGGTAAGTTACTTGTGTTATGTTATTTTGTTACAACATTTCCTTCTTCTTGCGCATGTGTGAATAGTTTTTGCATATATTTAGTTTTATTGTTTATTTAACCTAACAAACTGTTTTATTGTACCTTGGTCCATGTGCAGCAGTTGTACCTTGGACCGGTCCAAGGTACAACACGTTTCAAGGGTTGATAAAAGCAATTGAAAATAAATTATTTTCCATTTTATTTCAAATGTAAGCCAGTTTAATTTTATTTTCCAGATTGGTCAAAAATGCCACGAAGCAAGAGTGGCAAAAAGCGTGAGAAAGTTGATGCAGAAAAATTGACACAACCTGTAGAAGAATGCATCAATGAAGGTATTGCCATTCGAGAGGCAGTAAGGCGATATGGAGTATCAAAAACAACGTTAATTAGACCCATTCGTAGTTTTAAAAACTCAGAAGCGGAAAGATTTACATACAGCACAAAAATGAATGTGAAGCAAGTATTCTCGAGAAATGAGGAGGAATCCTTGAAAACTTATTTAGTCACGGCTGCTCGTCTTCATTATGGGTTGACGAGGGTAGAGGTTAGGAAACTAGCCTACCAGTTTGCATCAACCAAAGAGAAGCGGTATCCTGTCATCTGGGATGAGAGAAAAATTGCCGGCAAAGAATGGTTACGACAGTTTATGTCAAGGCATACAGATTTGTCTCTCCGAAAACCTGAGGCGACCAGTTTGGCGAGATCCACGGCGTTTAATCGAGTTAATGTCACTACATTTTTTGACAATTACAAAAGTGTGTTGTCCAGAGGAACTTTTTCTGCACCGTACACGTTCCTCCTAAAATTATCAGTTCCAAAGGAGTTAAACAAGTTGGACAGATGACAAGTGGTGAGCGTGGTCAAAACCTAATTACCTAAACCAAAAACCGTGGAAGGCACTGCTCGGCGTAGCTCATTATTGTATTTTGAGGTTAACTTTCACGGCTATAATGTCAACTAATTTCTAAAGTGTTTGTGTATTGTTACTCGTTAAATATTAAACCAAGTATTACCGATTTCTGTAGTTTTTTTTTGGACCAAGGTACAATCGTTTGTGGACCAAAGTACATTACTAGTTTGTACCTCGGACCGATTTGCATTACTCATTAGAAAATGTGATTATGAGTTTTTGGTGTATTCTATCCAGGTCTGGATGAAATAAATTAATGAATCAAAGTCACAGCTACTCTATTTTTTCAAAAATCATGCAAAAAAGTCGCAAACAGAAAAGTTACGGCGCCTTTAACAAAAGTGGACCAAGGTACAACACTCTCCCCTAGACAGTGACATTCATTTGCTAGATTTCGCCATTGCACTGTCGTGGATTAATTTTATTTATCTCCAGATTTATTTTTTTTTGTTCATGTGATTATGTTTGTTGATGTTTTAATAGAGACTGTATTTAGTTTTATTTTATTTATTTTATTATGAGTATATGCCGACTCATGTCGCGAGGTATACTTGTATACTCTTACAAATTGATTACTATCAAAAACTTTTATGATCAAAGGAGCTTTAAAATTTTCTTTAATCATAATTAAATTAAATTTTAATTTTAATCATATTGCACTTACAAAACATATTTTTAGAATATTAAATGCACATGTAGCATCAAAATACAGCTTGGAATCCACAGCCGCCCTTTTAACCAAATCTTTGGGATACAAGGCATCATCTTTTCCATATTTTCCGATCAAATAAGTTATAATGGCATGGCTGTCAGGTATAATTACTCCATTATCATCCAACGTGGGTATAGTATGTAAAGGATTAATCTATATAACAAAAAACAATCTGATTTAAATAACAAATACAAGGATTTCAGAAATATTTGAAAACAAACTCAAAATCATCAATCAAATCAATCATTTACTAAAGACTGTACAAGAGACAAGAGACAAGAGATTTTATAATGCCGGGATCCCGGGATTGACTATCAGAATGAGAAATTTAATCTAAAGAAATACTTAATAAAAATGCAGCAGAAGTGACGGAAACAATTGAATACGTCAATCAATCCTAATTTATGTCATATACTAACATACCAAATCTCGTTTCTTTATCTGAAAAAATAAAAAAGTTGTGTTGGGTGAGCCACTTTTGAGACGCACCCGGTATATAGGTATATTATTAAATAATAAATAATACATATACATTTTTTACCTATTACGATAAGAAATAGGTAGATTCAACAGGATTTAAGATTTTGATTCCTCTATTTTAGGTACCTATATTTATTTCATATCAGATCAAATTTGAAATATTCTAGCACATGATCGAAAAAAAACGCCCTGCAGTTGGCTTGGATGACGATCGATGACATTCCCCATATAATTTTAAATTCTACCGTATGATCGAATAAAAACGGCGTCCAGTTGGCTTGGAAATGACGACCGAGGACATTACCCATATAATTTTACATATAAAATGACAGCGATCTTCATTTGATAGCCATCGCTGACGCCGTTTTTATTCGATCATATGGTACATTTATAAAATGACACGAATCTGCATTTCAAATCCATCCATGACGCCGATTTTTCAACCATATTATATTTATTACTTTGCGATACGCACCTTGCGATGTTTTTTAAAACTGCTCGATTTTCAATAATCTACATATATAAAATGCTAATGTTTATCTGTGTCGTCTCTACTGAAGTAACGATTTGCTCTAGAAAGTTGCTTTTTTACTAAAAGATAGTCGTCGCCGGATTTTTTGTTTTTCATTTAATTAAAAAAAATAAAAAGGGTTTTTTTTTCTGATGTCTTGGCGGATGCGCCAGGCTTCAACTAGTATCTACATAATCAGATAATAATTATATTCGTAAATATTTATCTTTCTCTTGGTATCTTTGATCAATAATTGCAAATCCAGTATAGACAACCAAAATAAACACGGTGAAATATTAAAGAATTTTTTAAACATAATATATTATATTAACCATGATATTAACATTAATACTGTGTCATATTTATCAATGTATGACTGCATCACTTATAATTTGGTCTCTAATACTAATATCCAATTTACCTTCAAATATTCTGGCCTTAAGTGATCCTGATTGGCCAAAGAGATGTCTTTCCTCTCTAAACTTATTCCTATAGCTTGGGCCACTATGTAAACGGCCCTACATGGTGGGCTCACATCAGCTCCATGAACAATCAAAGGCATTTTATTAAACGATCAACACTAGAGACAAAAACAGGACAAAAATAACAAATGTGAGTGAACAGTCTGGCTCTCTGCTCTGGCTGGCTGTTTTTCAATCACAGCCGGCTTTCTGCGACTGCTGCGAGTGATAAAAATAAAGCGAAAGTTATGAAAATCTCGCTTGCTTAAGTATCTTTCACACCACACTTAACTTTAGACTGACGGAGAAACGTCAAAAACATCAGTATCGTTTATTTAGTAATATTTAGCTGCAAACTAAATAATCACACCCTTGATTTGAATTCTATATTTTTTTTCGCTGTACTGAAACTGCCGTTAAACGGTAGCTTACTAAAATGCCGTTAATAGGTATGACGTCGTTGATGTGACGCACTTGACTGTTTTTAATGCGCTGTACTTAAACTGCCGTTAAACGGTAGCCTACTAAAATGCCGTTAATAGATATTATGACGTCGTTGCGGAAAGTAATGCCTGGCTGACTGTTGGCCGCCTGGAGCAAGCCCGAAACAATGCGCCCCCCCCCCTCTACAGACAATCATTTTTTATTAGTTCGAAGTTTGATCCGAAGAATCAGGTGTGAAAAAAAATTATGAAAGTTGTGCCACAGATGGTAAGAAATATTATCAAACGCTTTCCGAAAAAAAAACGATGTACTTAAACAGCCGTTAAACGGTAGCCTACTAAAATGCCGTTAATAGATATTGTGACGTCGTTCATGTCGGCGGAAAGTAATGCCTAGCCATAAGCATATTGCAAGAGCACCTGTGGCTCCGTGGCTGAGGCTATCGGTTCGTAAGCGAATGGTCCGGGGTTCAAATCTCACGCTTACCAACACTTTTTTATATTTTTTTTTGCTTATAGCGTGATCTTATTGCATTGGTTTCACTCTTTTTGGTTGGATTGGTTTAGTTATTTGGCGAGTTGGTTAGCGTGGTTATTTGGAGGGGGTTAATTCATTGGTTAGTTGGTTATTTGGTGGGGTTGGTTGGTTTTTACTAATTTATATTTGTTTTTTAATTTTTTTTATCAGTGTCGAGGTAGTTGCGTTGGTTAAGTTGGTTATTTGGTGGGGTGGATAGCGTTGGTTAGTCCTTATAAAATTCCTATATTTCATAAAGCCGTCAAGTGCGTCACATCAACGACGTCATACCTATTAACGGCATTTTAGTAAGCTACCGTTTAACGGCAGTTTAAGTACAGCCAAAAAAAAATATTGCAAGATTTTTACAATTAGCATTAAAATTTTGTATTTAAAAGGGACATCACATGGTACCTAACAAGAAAAAAAAAACATTATAAGGTACATTAGCCAAACTAACACCTAAAACTAGGTAATATAGATTATTATAAATTATTAACAAAACAAAATTCGTAATAAATACATAGACATAATCCTGAGAAACAAAATTCCTAACATGGACAAAACTAAAACTTTTTTCTTGATATTTTTTTGGCAGTCTGAAATAAAATCTGTTTTTTATTTCTGATGTTTAGACCGCTATTTCGTGCTCAATAGATATTAAAAATAATCCGCTTAATCGTTCTTGTGTCAAGTATGATCGCAGACGTAATTCTCAATTATTTTGAGTTTAGAAAACTTCTCTCTCCGGTTGCCACTGAAACCGGCAGCGTTAATAACATTCTTATGTAGATGTAAATATTTGGAAAGTTTCCAATCAGATCGTGAATTTTTAAATATTTTAGTGTTTGTTTTGGACAGCTGAAGCTTTCGGCATTATATGGTGGTATTAGAGCAATTAGAGCTAATATCTCGTCTGTGATCTCGTCCCGAAGCTCTAGGCCATTAATATCATGTTTGTCTCGCCATGCGTTAAATAGAGATGAAGATCCATACAATGCTTGTTATTTCCTCTCGTTGATATTCCTGAGAACTGTGAAGTCATATAAAAAGGAAAAATAGTCCGAGTGAGCGTTTAACAACCTTTCCTGGAGAGCCACATGGATTGTATCCAGGACAACAAAGAAAAAATCGACTTTAAACTTTTCCTGTGAATCTAAAATTGGCTCATCCACTGATTCATACAAAAACTGTCTAGTTTTTTTTCTGGGACGAGCTCTAATGTCATTAGTAAAAACTGCTTCAATTTCCAGCTCTTCTGCCAGCTCTGCAGCATCCACTAATATTTCTCTAAAATGGTCGTCAGTCCTTATTTTGACAAAATAGTCGTCCATAGCTTTTAGAGCTTTTGTGGACATGATGTCGAATTTCTCATTCTGAAGCAGTTTACTAGTTGCATTTATACTGTTGGAAATTTCGTACCGAAAATGACCATTTTTCCAAAATGTAGTACGGACGCATGCCGTACCGAATTTGGTCAAGATGTACCGAATTCAGTACAATTGTACCGAAACGGCCGCCCTCAAATTTGGCCGCCTGGAGCAGCTGCTCCTCTGCTCCACCCCTCAGGACGGCCCTGCTGGCTATAAGCATTTTGCGAGAGCACCTGTGGCTCCGTCTGAGGCTATTGCTTCGTGAGCGAATGGTCCGTGGTTCAAATCTTACGCCGGACCAAGACTTTTTTATATTTTTTTTTGCTTATAGCGTGATATCTTATTGCATTGGTTTCACTCTTTTTGTTTGGATTGATTTAGTTATTTGGCGGGTTGGTTAGCGTAGTTATTTGGAGGGTATTCATTGGTTAGTTGGTTATTTGGTGGGGTTGGTTGGTTTTTACTAATTTATATTTGTTTTTTATATTTTTTCATCAGTGTCGAGGTTAGTTGCGTTGGTTATTAGGTGGGGTGGATAGCGTTGGTTAGTCCTTATAAAATTCCTATATTTCATAAATAGGCCAGTCAATCTGGAGGTTGAGGTGGAAAAAATTAGTAACCAACCGATCTCAACGGGAATGTGTAGATAATGATCTCCTATTTAACCTCTCAAAAGTCCCATTCGGTCCCGGTGGTGCAAGTTTGAAAAAAACCGCCGCCATCTTGGATTTTTTCGTTTTTTTCAAATATCTCCGTTTGCATAACTTTTTTCGAAAAAACTAAAGATATGTTTTTTGTAGAGAACTAAATTTAGAATATTTTACTGTTAATGATTTTTTTTCTAAAATAAATAGTAATAGAGATACATCAATTTTTTACTATACGGTTTATAAATTTTCCAGTTTTCTTAAACCAATCAGCTATAATTTTTGCGTTAACAGTATAGTGTTAGTATAGATAAACGAAGTATACATTTAAGCATTAAAACAATTAAAAATAACGTTTAAATATTATTTATTAAATAAAATTATTGTTAAAAAAATTATTATTAAATTAAAGTTATTAAATAAAATTTACTATGACGTCATCCTGAGCGTCACTTTCGTCCTCAACTAAAATACAAAAGTTTGTGCAACTGATTCCGTAGCATTGATCACACTTTGAAGTGAACATTTGAAACATTTAAGAGCCAGTTTTCTACAAGAGCAATTTTTAGAGCACTGACTCTCTTGCAAAATATTAATTTTAGTAGGTCAGGAAGCATCATCTTCTGTTAATTGAATAGGTGTCAGATTACCTTTTTGATCTTTCTTCCATCCATATTGTAAAGTATCTAACTTGATACCAATCCATTCTTCAATTTAAAAAATACATCTTATAACATTTCCTATAATAGATATATATCTTTACAGTTACCTGAAAGTATGTCCTGAGTAAATGGAGTTTTGCAGAGTTCTCAGTTCGAGGCAAATTAGCTAAATTAAAGGTAGTCTTAAGGGCTTGTGTTGATGTAATCCTATTGTATAGAGTGTATCTCAGATGGTTAATATGTTTAAAATAGCTTTGGCAGTGATATAGCTTTAAATGATAATTTAATCCTAACTGAAACAAGTCATCTTTGTTAGGATTTTTTTCTAAAAATACGTCGAGGTATTGACAAAGATCATCATCTTTTTTCAGTACCGACAGGCGACAGGCACATTTTTTTCGTTTCAGTCAGGATTAAATTATCTTTTAAAGCTATATCACTGCCCAAGCTATATTAAACATGTGAACCATCTGAGAATCCCTTAAGACCACCTTTAATTTAGCTAATTTGCCTCCAACTGAGAACTCTGCAAAACTCCATTTACTCAGGACATACTTTCAGGTAACTGTAAAGATATATCGATTATAGGAAATGTTATAAGTTGTATTTTTTTAGATTCAAGAATGGATTGGTATCAAGTTAGATCCTTTACAATGTGGATGGAAGAAAGATCAAAAAGGCAATCCTATTCACCTATTCAATCAACAGAAGATGTGGTGCCTCCTGATTTACTAAAATTATTTTATTGCAATTGCAAAGAGAGTCAGTGTTCTAAAAATTGTTCTTGTAGAAAACTGAGTTTTGCATGTTCTTTAAAGTGTAGTCAGTTTTACGGAATCAGTTGTACAAACTTTTGTATTTTAGTTGAGGCTAAAATGACGCTCAGGATAACGTCATAGTAGATTTTATTTAATAACTTTAATTTAATATTTTTTTTAACAATAATTTTATTTAATAAATAATATTTCAATGTTATTTTTAATTGTTTTAATGCTTAAATTTATACTTGGGTGTGTGGTTTATCTATTATATCACTATACTGTTAACGCAAAAATTATAGCGGATTGGTTTAAAAAAACTGGAAAATTTATAAACCGTATAGTAAAAAAATGCTCTATCCAAATACGTTTAAATAACATATACGACGGCCTCCCCATAAGAGCAATGAGAGGATTTACGTCCCAGTATTGAAGGACAGAAAATCGAGTCGAATGTTCAAGAAATAGGTTCATCCTTGTTTAGTCAAACCTCCTACAAACCAAGGATAGACTTATGTAGGAAATGCATTGAAATTCTATAGACATCCTTCAATATCGGGACAGGAATTTAAGCGGTACCCTCCGTATACTTTATTTTAAACGTATTTGGCTCTATCTCTATTACTATCTATTTTAGAAAAAAAATGATTAAAGATAAAATATTCTAAATGTAATTCTCTACAAAAAAGATACCTTTTTTCGAAAAAAGTTATGCAAACGGAGATATTTGAAAAAAACGAAAAAATTCAAGATGGCGGCCATGTTTTTCAAACTTCCGCCACTGGGACCGAATGGGACTTTTGAGGAGTTAAATAGGAGATCATTATCTACATATTCCCGTTGAGATTGGTTGGTTACTAATTTTTTCCACCTTTACATATAATACTATACGGCTACGTTTACTGGCCTAAAAGCCATCAACGACGTCATACCTATTAACGGCATTTTAGTAAGCTACCGTTTAACGACAGTTTAACATCAGTTTAAGTACACGGTTTCAGGCTAAAATGCCGTTAATCGTTAATGCAGAGTAGGCTACTGATTAATACTTAATAATTATTGTTTAGTATTGTTGTCCAAAATCCGGCATGGCTTATTCTGAACAAAATTAACTTGGAACGGTGTATATGTAGGTAGACGTATATGTTGCCGTTGTAGGTTTGAAAATGTATTTGCGATAAAATGTAATATACGGCATTGGTTTTCAGGTTTTTATTGCAAATTATAAACTGACAACTTAAAAATAATACTATGTCAACTTAAAAATAATAATGCTACAGATAGCATTCTCTGCAAAACCACAGTTTTGATTTAGGTCGCTTAGTCAATCCTGCACAACGGATATGTCTCCATAGAAGGCATTTACTGCAACAAAGTGACATATGATTTTTCTGTGTATCTTCACTGCACACAGAACAAAATCAACTTTGTTGAAGTCGTTTCTGCTCAACTAGATTGGCTATTTTTTCAAAGGCTTTCTCGGTGCAAAGACTTCTAAAAATCGTAATTTACATTATTAGTTATTAATTTGGTAATTATTAGCCTTGTATATGGATTTTTAAAGTAGCTCAACCTAAGACGTTTATAGATGTAAAGCACCAGATGGCGGGGCGTATTTCACGGTCTTTTACTACCGAAAAATATTTTTTGTTACTCTGATTTTTGAAGCGACCAATAAAAACAGAGAAAATAAAAATCGATAATTTTCGGACTGTGCCAATTGGTTAGTAATCGACCAGATACTTTTTGTCTATTAGATATGCTATAAAAGCTGGTAATTATACAATTCGACCATTGTAAATACCCGACAAATTCCGCAAGGCCGACGAGGCCGATGCTTTTCACTGATAAGAAAAAAAAATGTTTGTTTAGATAATTTTCGAGATATTTTTCTTTCTAAATGCACATTTTTAAAGTATTTTATATTCTTTGTCCGCTTGATCTATTATACTGATCGCACGTATCGAAGTTCTGTTTCTTCTCGTTTTAAAAAATGTTTTTATTTCTTTGTAGTGGTTCTAGTGTAAAATTAGATTAATTTTATTAAATTTAATTATAATGTTTAGTGTAGAATACCACAAATAGTTTAGTAGTGTTTTTATAGTTTATTATTTTGTAGTTAAGTAGTAGGTGAAGGGATAATTTGGTTATTTTTTCTTTTTGTTTGATTAATTAGTAAGTTTGATAATTTTTTCAGTGTAGAATACAAGAAGTAGTTGTGTAGTGTTTTTATAAGAGAGTTTATTTTGTAGATGAGTAGTAGGTGAAGGTATTTGGGTATTTTTCCTTTTTGTTTTTCTTCTAATTGTAGTAATTCTATTAAGTATTGTGATAGATACACTATATCTTTCTTCAACTTCGTTGAAAAGTGCATTATCATATAATTTTGGTTTTCTGGTAGTAGAATATACAAAAAAAAATCTGATCAAATTTATTCTAAATTAAATTAATCGAGTCTTATTAATCAAATTAATCTAGTCAAATAATAATAATAGTTAGTTTCTAAATACTACACAGGGTGAGTTTCCTACGATGTTCTCTCTGGGTATCTCGGAAACTACTGAAGACTGGAGATAGAGAGTCGGTTAAATGGGGAAAGAATTGCAGTTTTGGGGGTCATAAATATGCGCCTTTTGGATTTTTCGGAGAAGTTCAAGGCTTACTAGATATTTCGAAAAAAACAAATTTTGGCTATTTTAAAACTTTTGTCTCTAATTCCATTATAATCTACCGTAGGATCGAATAAAAACGGCGTCAACGATGTCTATGAAATGAAGATCGCTGTCATTTTATATGTAAAATTATATGGGAAATATCATCGATCGTCATTTCATAGCCATCGCTGACGCCGTTTTTATTCGATCATACGGTATTTTAGACAAAAAGTTTTCACATAAAAGTTGTAGATAATCACATGCCTAATGAGTTTGTTTTCTGTTTTTTTTTTCTAAAGCCTGTCATTTTTGACATATATGACACAAACGTTATGATTTTTTTTAAATGGAAACCATAGTTGGCCATGAATTCATAAAAAGCGTCATTTTTTAAGCTTTTCAGCGATATAGATATGTATATTATGTTTTTTTCGAAAAATTACAAGTTATAGCCAATTCTTTTCTTTCTTGGCTAATTTCCATACCAATAATACCATGCCAATTAGTTGGCATCAAGAATGTAAAAAGTTTTATGTTTTCAAAAAAAATATCGTAAAATTCGTAAAGCACTCAATTTAGAATAAAATAATCTAAGAATGAAATGATTCTTTTATAAACCTGCATTAAATCAAATTAAAATAGGTATGTAACTTTTTTTAAATATTAATTAATAGCATTAGCATTATCATAAATTATTATAAATAATGTACCAACATATCGAAATAATAATTTCTTTGTTAATACCATAGACTTAAAATAAAATATTTTATTTTAAGTCTATGGTTAATACGGTTTAGAATTCTTAAAATAACAGGCAAAAATAATCCACAATTTACAATAAAATAAAAGTTTTGTTTAAATTTCTTAATCAGCTGATCACTATTAAAGTTCGCAGAAACCCGGACTATATTACATTACTCTGAGGAAAATAACGAAAATAATCGATATTTTTGACTCCGCCCCGAAAGGTTCACGATTTGTCCTCCAGTTGGCAGCACATTTTGTCTAGTCGGTTGAACAACTTTAAGAATATATAAACAAGGTTATCAGGTATCGCTAGTTACCTTATCATGTGGATATCAACAGCCTCATCAAGAACGGCATGTGATATTTCTTCGGGGAGCATTTTAAGGTCTACAGTTTCAAGAAATTTCCCATTTGTGATGTCTCTAACGATGTTACGATCCTTAACGAAGAAATTCAGGATTACATTTTGTTTTTCATGATAGGATTGTTTAGCAAATGCTACAGTACATCTTTTCTTTTTCTTTGGTAGTGCTATGACTGTTAAGTCCTGTCCTTTCGGACGTCCTCGTTTTTTTATTGAAACAGGCATCTTATTTGTTGTCAAAGCGAAATCATTGACTTCAACTATCTGATGGGACTGGTTGTTGACTTCATTTAAAACTGAATCACTAATAATAGGAATGTTGATGCGCTTCATCTGGTGTCATTTCCTCCTCTATAACCAGCTCGTTACAAAACTCAGGTGTTTCCACAGGTGACTGACCAAGAGTTGATGTATTTCTATTATCTAATATGAGCGCTTCACTCATTTTGTTTCTGCCTTGAAGGTCCATCTCGTCACAAATCTCAGAGTGTTCCACTGAAGACTGATTTTTACTTTCAAATACAAGTTCATCATCGCTTCCAATAAAAAACTGTGTCTGATTTTCGTCTACAGGCACAATTCCAACATTAGTGTCATTGGCCCACAGGGTTTTAAGATTTTTCAATACATTAAGCCTTTGCTCAAATAATATGCCCGTCCGTTGAGCTGCTAAGTCTGCCAGTTCCATGCATAACAAAAGACATTTCTTTCGTGTTTGCGTGTAGGTTTCGTTTGGTTTGGTTTGGTTTGGAAATTTTTGCTGTGTCATTTTTTTGTTGGCCTTCATATTCAAATAATCCTTGACGCTTTCCTTCATGTTACTGGAAAGTTTTCTTTGGCTAGGGTTACGTGCATGTAGAACCTACAAAATATATCTTTTATGAATAAAATACTGTTCAAGCAAGAATTCTAAAAGCATACTTTATGTCAACTAATCTGTAAACTTACCTTCGAAGTGACATGATTGTGCTTCATTTGAACCGATGTTACCTCGAGTGCTTTTCCATCAGACGATGCTTTGAATCTTACATGTACTGGGCAATCTTCTTTAAATGTCCAAGACTGTCGAATGTTTTTCCCACTGCTCTTAAACTTCTTTCCACCGTGATTACATGCATATAGAAGTTGATAATAAATCAAAGAGCTTTCTATTGGTCTCACAATTTTACTGCTTGCAATTGTACGGGCATCTCTTTTCCAAAATGTTGTGTATGTATTTTCACCAAGTTCCTCAATCGCTTTCTTTGCGTCAGCGAATGAGCTGAACCTATCCCCAAGTTTCAGCATGCTAATTTCAGTCATGAATAATAATTAGGTACCTAACTAACCCAAAAATGTTTATAAATAAATTAACAATCAGAAAACTAACTGAAACACTTACTCCAGCTTGAACCAATAATAAATGATAAGGGTCGCCAAGTGTCCTCCTTTCGGGAGGACAGTCCTCCTTTTAGAAGAAAAGTCCTCCTTGCACCCAAATGTCCTCCTTTACAATCTTAGAATCTTAGACAAAAAAGTTCCTTAAACCATTATATTCTTAGTATAGGTATGTGTTTCGACATTTATAGAGGTTTATATTATTTATAGCCATTTATAGTGAAAACCAAGTTAGGTAGGTATGTAATACCTGAGATGATGTCAAGTTTTGGTATATCCAGATGTACAACAATTAAAATCAACTTATAGCACTTAGCACAAATTGTTACTATATACAATAATAATGCAAACGCGACGAAAAAAACATACCAAAAGGGCAACGCAGATCGGAAAACGGAACACAAATTGATTAACGGCATTTTAGTATGCGACCCATAGTGCGACCGTTCGACGGCATTTTAAGCAAAACATTAAACAGCCGTCAAGTGCGTCACATCAACGACGTCATTAATCGCGGGTGATCTGGCAAATGCATATATATGCATCAACGACGTCATATCTATTAACGGCATTTTAGTAGGCTACCGTTTAACGGCAGTTTAAGTACATACTGTACATCTGCTGGATCTGTGTCTATGAAAGGAATGCAGGCAAAAAACATTTAAATAAACAGCAATATATTTTATACGTCGATTTTACGAGTGCGTCACCGCAAATCGCTCCGCCCACTCACTTTATTGGCTACTTGCAAATTTGTCGAATTTTTATTGATGGGAGGCGTCGTCTAATTTTTTACGAAAAACATCGAGAAAATATCGTTTCCCCTCTCACGGATACCCCGGAGCTACAGAATGGACAAACGTACTGTAAGTACCTATAAGTACAGCCATTTTTTTTCTTACATAGAACCAGAAAAAAATAAAGGTCAATTTAATTTGAAGGGTAAGGGCGACCGACGATGTCGCAAAACCGACTTACGGAGAAAACTATGATTTAATATTGCCAAATACCATGTTAAAGATACAAAAATGTATTATAAAATAGAATTTCAATTTATTTCATTCTAGTAACGTTTGCGTTCGTCGCTCGTAACTCGTCACTTAAATCGCTTTCGAGCGAATTATCGCTCGAGTTATCCCATCACTAATAAATACCTACCTATACTGTATTTCTGTTGTAGTTATGTTTTAAATCTGGGAATTAGACGTTACGATTTTTTACAGCTAGGATTATTTACTTGTAACTAAATATGAAATTTTATTCTTTAATTATCTGGCCATAAAATAAACTTAGTTAAAATTATTATATTTTCATATTTTAAAAAATCATGGTAAGCATACAAAATAAGCAACAAATTTTGTTGTTTTTTTTCAAGTTTTGTAGCAGCAAAAATATAAAAAACTAAAACTAAGAAGAAATATTTTGTTTTATAAGTGTTTTATTTAGTTTTGTATAAGTAAATGAACTGTTTTTGCTACATAAAGTTATTAGTTCTTGTTCTATTTCATCCACACACATTTTTTAAAGAAAACATATATTTTTTGTTGAATTAATAATTATTAATTCCAGTACTGTATTACAAATTTTTTCTTAAAAATATTTAAGTCATAGTTACAAAAGTAATTACATATATTAACTAGAAGATTTAACTTTTTGTTTTTTTAATGCTTTTTCTTTTGCTTGTTCATAAAGGGGAGTTAATTTTCCATCTTTAGCTAAGAGTTTCAAAATTTCAACTATTAAGGGCAAATAATTATGTTTACGTCGAATGTTTTCAATTTTATACAAGCGCCTTTTACTTTCTTCTTCCTCTATAAGCAATTTTAAATTTGCAACTTCATCCTGCAATGAATCATCTGCCGCCCCATTATCTATTTGTTTTTGGATATCCTCTAATCTTCGTTCATAAAGCATTTTCCTATCGCTTACTATAGCCATGAGATTAAAATGAATTTCACCCTCACTATACCTTTGTATTCTCTTTTCAATAATAGGTCTAACTACATCAGTCCACTCACTATCTGGAGAAATTGGTCCTAAATCAATTGGGCCCTGTTTCAAACCATCTAGTTCGTACAGTCTCCCATCTATAGGTATATAGCTTATAAAGTGAAATGCATCTTCTTCCTTTCTTGCCACAGATGGATCGAATTCAAAAATTTGTTGCCTCGCAAAAGAATTGTGCACTGAACTGATAACTTGTGAGTTACTAATGGCTAATCCTTTCGTATTTGCATCAAAACCTTGGCAGAATTCTTTTAGATCTGTAAGTGTAGCTCCTAATTTTAAATCTGAATGTCGACAATTTAAAAGAACGCTTAAAATAGCTTGAGTTGCACAGGCATTCTCTATAACTTGACGGGCAAAAAATATTTTTTCAAGTCTACTATCTTGCACAATAGATCCACTTGGTTCTGAAGTATCTTTTGTCCATTTAAATAAAAATATTAGTCCATGTATGGGTTTTAAATTTTCAAATAATTGGCCGTCTAAACTCCATAATTCTTCAACTTGTACACCTTTACAGCCTAAGTAACAGATAGGTATAAAAAATTATTAGTTTTTTTTATTACATCGCTTACCAAACTCTCGGATTAGTTCGGAAAAAACGCCAGGGTCGCTTTCAATTAAACACCAGTCACCTGCTTTCTCTGCCATATAAAATTTATAAATTTGAAAATTTATTGTTTTAACAAAAATTTTAAATGAAATCTAACCTTCACAAAGTTCCCAACGCTATTCTAACCTTAAAAAAAATTACCAGTCACAATACTCTTCTTTTTTAAGATAAAGTAAATTTTAACTTTTTGCTGCTAGGGCTAATCTGGATGTGGCCTACTTTGTTACGCCGAATCCGAACCGCGATCTTTCGCCAAACTATGGTCATTGAATCTAAAGTCATTGGCCTATCACCTGACTAGATATCGGATCTCATCGGCCTCCAACCGGCGTGAATGAGCACTCTGTGTATCAATAAATTATACACTCTACTACACTTTCCTATGGAATGGTCGGAACGGACCACCGACGGCACTGGCATTGAACTAAAGACTTGTTTATCAAATTCAACCGGAACTATCCTTTCAAATTTCAACTATTGGGCAGCATTAGTAGCTTGCCTTATATCAAAAAAAGGAGACCCTTTCGTGAAAGGAAGAAAAACCCTGTCTCTCATTTGATTTAACAGTGTGGTACCTATTAACAGACCGGATAATTCTTGTAGCTTAGGCCTTCAAATTAATTAAAAGGAAGAAGAATTCAATAAAACCTATCATTTTTTTGACATTTGCGAAAACAAGGCGAAAACGAAGTTATTTTGTTTACTTCCTTGGTCAGAGCTTGTGTATGTGTTTTGTGGTCAGAGCCTTGGTATAATTATTTGATTACTGGGTATACCGATTACTGTATTATGGCAGACAAGGAAAAATCAGAAAAACCTAAACATTTGCAACCCAAAAATATTCCTAAAGATGGGCAAGTTGTTTTAGCAATTATGAAAGAAATGGGGATCACAGAGTATGAACCTAAAACTATAGTTCAGTTAACAGAATTTGTTTACCGATATGCTACTTCCATATTGGAAGAAGCTAGAATGTATGCAAATAACAATAACAATTCACAAAAGAAGTGTCTGGAGGTAGGAGATATTCGCCTAGCTTTGCAATTAACAGCACAATCTTCATTTACTACTCCACCACCTAGGGAGGTAATGATTTGGATTTATTGATCTATAAAACTACTATTTTCACTGATTTAATCAGTTTGTAAGCCCATATTGATGATTTATATATATTAAAATAATAATTTTAGGTTGTTATTGAATGTGCCTCGATAAAAAACTACTCAATGTTACCGATTGTCAAACCCCATTGTGGTTTAAGATTACCTCCAGATCGATATTGCCTTACTTCCTGTAATTATACTTTAAAAGCTTCACATAAGAAAAGCCAACTAAAATCTGGTTTTAATTCTGGTATGTTAGATATGAAATCTTGAGTAGTATTGTATGTTATGAGAGATATTCTTTTAGGTCCTGGGTTGAAAATAACATCTAAGTCAAATGTAGGCTTTATAAGGAAACCAGCACCTGGTATTGTTAGACAAAGTGTAACTATACCAAAACCAACGATGAAAATTAGTGGCAACCCAATACCACAAACAAAAACTATTTTGAAACCTAAAATACAAATAAGCCAAAATGTACATATATCGATTCCTCAATCGACTACCAGTATGGGAGAAAACTCACTAAAAAGGAAAAGGGAGGAAGATACTGAGATAATGAATTAAAATGTATACTTACGACTTATTTTTTTATATGGATAAAAATATGTAACAATAGAGTATTCTAATTTGTTCCTTGTATTCAATAAAGGAAAGTATTTACCTGCTTAAACAACAAACTCTCTTTTTTTATATATAGTAAAATGCTTGTGTATAAAAAAATATATATTTTTTATTACAATAATTAGGAAATGACAAAAAAATAGGGGGCACTGCCAATAAACGTGAATCGTAATCTTACAATTTTGGCAGTTAATGAATAAGCTAAAAGTAATCATTGTTCTTAAAATTAGTGAATAAGGATCAATTATTTTAGATATAAAAATTATTTTTTTAAACCATTGAGTTTTCAATCAGTTCAATTTTAAATAGTTTCGAAAATTTCAAATTAGATTAGCTTATTTTGAACACAAAGAGTAAATATATAAAATAATTTTCTGTAATTTCTTGTTTCCTGTAATGCCAAAATCTTGATAATATGGTGAAGGTTTATTTTTGATCTTGTTACATTTATACACAGACCAACTAAAGAGTTTAGTTTGTGATTTATAATAAGATATTTCCACAAACAAACAGGGTAGGTAGTCTGTGATATTTCTTATAATTTTTTTTTATGTTTTAATACTATCAGAGAAAAAAAAACAATATATGCTATTATGCTTTGTCGTATGGAGAATAAATGTTAATAAGATTCTAGGTGTAAGAATAGAAAAATCTTAAGGTAGCAGAAAAACTAATGCAATATATGTATAAGCACATAGACTTAGAATAAAATAATTCTAAGTCTATGTATAAGCAGAATTAAACAAAAGGTACCTATTAATGTTTGTTATATTATACCCTTGTTTATATAATTCATATACAAGAATTATACCTAATTACTGATGCTAAAAGACCTGTTTAGGGCCTACGGAGTTTTAATGGAATGTTATAAAACCTATCATGAATAGTATAATAACCTTGATCATGAATATGATATGGAGCTACAGCATTTAAAAATTCCAAAAAAAAGGAAGAAATTTTGCATACCCCTTTTAATTTTAAGAAATTTTATACTAAAGCCAGAGATAAAGCACTTTTTAAACGTAGCATAATAATATCAGAGATATTTTATTTCTATTTAATTTTATTGACTATGAAAATATTTTACATGATAAGCGTTCACGTGTTGTGCGAAATATTAAAATAATAATATAAACAGAGATATAAATAATACTTATACACAAAGCTTATACATCATCTTATACATATAGGTACATACAGGGTGTCTCAGATTTTAATCGGGAAAATTTAATAGATGACAGAACTTGCAAAAATAAAACAAAAAGTTCATATCAACTTATAAGATTTAAAGCTTCCTTTTCGAGATACAGGGTACCATTAGAATACTAATTATAATATTAATTACCAATTAGAATTTAAGGTTAATGGTGTGGATCCGGTGGCTGACCTTGAAACGAGTTTCTGCTGCATATAGTCACAGACACTACGCATGCGCACATCTTCGATGTTGCCAGATTGTAAGTTATTTTGGAATTATTTTCAGTAGAAAACAAATATGTGCTTTTCAGTGTTTTTTGTCAATATATACCGTATGATCGAAAAAACGGCGTCCAGTTGGCTGGGAAATGACGATTGAGGACATTTCCCATATAAAATGACAGCGATCTTCATTTCATAGTCATCGGCTAACGCTATTTTTTTTCAATCATAGTACGCGGTATATTATTTATATCAAGGCTTTATATTATTATTTTAATATTTCGCACAACACGTATGTATTTTCATAGTCAATAAAATTAAATAGAAATAAAACTCTAGATTCCTATAATTAATCTAATTGCTCTAGATTATTATTATGCTACGTTTAAAAAGGGCTTTATTAAAAATTCTGGAAATTATATGTCCAAGTTTTCTTTTTTTTTAAATTTTTAAATGCTGTAGCTCCATGTCATGTTCATAATAGGTTTTTTTAACTTTCCATCAAAACTACGGAGGCCTTAAAAGGCCTTTTAGCCTACGTAATTAAAATTGTAGAATCAGCTTCAGCAACATTAACAGTTTTACCTTGTGTAATTCTGCTTATACATATATTGCATTAATTTTTCTGCTACTTTAAGATTTCTCTATTCTTAGACCTAATTTATGTGATTTTCTTAGCTGTAATATGATTTATAAAACATATTTTTCCTAATGGAAGGATGGAATAGGATATGCAAAATTAAGATATTTTAACATTTATTTTCCAGACAAAGCATAAGATTAAGACATAATAAATATTATAAGAAAGATCTTAATATAAATCACAAACTAAAGTCTTAATTTGGTCTTGTATAAACACAGGTATAAAACTAATAAGATCAAAACTCAACCTTCACCATATTGTCAAGATTTGGCATTATAGGAAACAAGAAATTGCTGTAAATTAAGAAAAGAATATCAAAGTACACGATATTAAATACTGTAATGTATTCTACGATACAAACCATCTCCCTTCTAAAGAGAAAAAGATAAAACATAAAGCTTATTTTAGTCTTATCAACACTCTTCGATAAAATATATGTCTAAAATTGCTATTAATCCCTAACTTGATATTTTTAAGAAATTATATGATACAAACATTACAATCAAAGTATATTATATTAGTAACATTATAGGTAAAATATGTTACCTCTATCTCCCATTGACGTGTATTGTTCTATAAGACTCGTCATGGTAATATTTCAAAACATCAATATACATAATATAATGAAAACTATTGTTGCCTGTAAATAACTAGAAATTAAATAACTTGAAAGAAATAAAATAATTCTAATAAGTTTAAAACCATTAGAAAAAATCCGTAAATGATAATTTTTAATTCTAATGTAAATATATAAATAAATGTTATTATTATTCAACCACTTCCATATCTCTGTTATTATTACGTACAATTTTATATATTCATAATACTTTCATTTCACAATCTTCATTATCCTTCTTACCTTAATTTTGGATATCAAGATAAATCTGAAATTATAAATTAATTATAGAATTTGTATTATTATTACCACTGAAAAAAAAAATTCAACTGCAAATAATTCGAAAATAAACTGCAATTTGGCAACATCGACGTTGTGCGCCTGCGTAGTATCGATGATCAAATGCAGCAAATATGGCCTTCAAGGTCAGCCACCGGATCCACACCTTTACCGAATTTAATTTTTTTCGCAGAAGTAAGCAAGATAGACAAAAAAGTCAGGAGACAAAAAAATAATATTTTTAATTACTAAATCCAAAAATAATATTAAACTTCTAAATAAGCAGTGGCGCGCCTATTTTTTCCTTTAAAATAATTTAACAGTGATGCCCCACCGCCGCCCCTGGCCATTAATCTTAAATCTAATTGCATCAAATTAAGTCCCATAGTAAGTATTATAAACGGGTCAAGTTTGGTTTGGTTTGGTTTGGTATCAAAATCGATTAAATAATTTTTAAGTATCTTAATTTTTTTTTCTTTTTTAAGTAACTTTAACACCCTGTATCTCGAAAAGTAAGCTTTAACTCTTACAAGTTGATATGAACTTTTTGTTTTATTTTTGCAAGTTCTATCGTCTATTAAATTTTCCCGATTAAAATCTGAGACACCCTGTATATTGACTGCACTGAAAAAAACATTTTACTGAAAATAATTCTGAAATAACTTACAATCTGGCAACATCGACGATGTGCGCATGCGTAATATCTATCATTATATGCAGCAAAAACTCGTTTCAAGGTCAGCCACCGGATCCGCACCTGATCCACACCCATAGTCCACACCTCTGGTCTCTGGTCCACACCTTTTACTTATATCAGAATATGATATCGGACAGTATGTAATACTCTATGGCGCAGAATATCCTTTATAAAAAGAGAAAAGAGGAATAAACTTTCAGAATAGTTCATTTGACTCTGACCATAGAGCGAAGCAAAGCTGATAATTTTGATGACAGTAGGTGTTGGCATTGACCAATTAAATATGTTGTCGTAGCAGGTTAGCTCCTCCTCCTGCTCCAAAAACAGATGGAGAAAAGAAAAAATTGTATATTTCTTTTAACTAGTTGAATAATCTGTTCCAGTTTATATACGATTTATGGGGAGAAATATGTTACATTTAACACAATTTATCTAGTCTCAGTGTTATATGAGAAAAAGGACCGCTATGTGAATTTTGAAATTATTCTTATTCCTGTCTTGTAAAGAACTGATAAGAAAATTATCATTTTGTTTGACAGCGAAATTTTTATATAGTATAAAAAAGCCATGAAATTAAATGACGAGCGGTATTCTTGATACCCTGCAGATTTTAGTTAAAATGATAGTGTTTAAAAGTTCTTTAATTCAATTCTATATTTGTTGTTTTGTTGTATGCTACATTTTCCCACTATGCATCACAGAGGAAATAAAAAGGATGTCGAAAGGTGAACGAATAAAGCTGAGGTATGTATAGCCTGAATATTATAAACTGTTCTGTAATTTACATTCAATTATTATATTATATTCAGGGAAGAAGCAAGGGATATGTTTTATCATGCCTACAATGCTTACATGGAAAACTGCATATCCAGCTGATGAATTAATGCCTCTAAGTTGTCAGGGTCGGTATCGAGGTTTAACACCTAATAGAGGTGATATAGATGATTCTTTAGGAAAGTAAGAATATATTTTTATTTGTATATAGGTGTAATTTTCTTTCTAAAGTAGATCAATATGGTATTAATTATGCTATAAAAACTTTATTAATTGTATTATCAAAATACCTTATCATTTAGAACATATTGATACTTCTTATCTATTATTTTAGAGAAATCATCAAAACAGTCTTGTTTTATTATCTAGATAATAATCTTGTATATATTTAATAGTTAGGTATTTGATGTAATTATTTAAATTTTATATCTAATTTATTTTTAGCTTTTCTCTTACACTTATTGATACATTAGATACATTGGTGGTCTTGGGGGATTTTGAAGAATTTGAGCATGGTGTAAAATTAGTTATAAAAGATGTCAATTTTGATAACGATATAGTAGTATCAGTGTTTGAAACAAATATACGAGTTGTGGGGTAATTTAAAAGGTATCTGTTACTCTGATTATTTTACATGATTTATTTTAGTGGTTTATTATCAGCACATATCTTAGCTGATCTCTTGCAACAACGAGATGGAATAATGTCTTGGTATAAAGGCGAACTACTAGATATGGCGAAAGATGTAGGGTATAGATTGTTACCAGCATTTAACACAACCACTGGTATACCCCATGCAAGAGTAAGGTTGTTATTTAATTTCTTTAATGTTCTGTAATGTTATGCTTATAGATAAATTTGAGATACGGCATAAAAAGTGATAGACTGGAATTAGCGAAAGAGACTTGTACTGCTTGTGCAGGATCTATGATTTTAGAAATGGCAGCTCTATCTCGACTGACTGGAGAGCTAATTTTTGAGGAAAAAGTATTTTTTTCTTTATGTTATAAATCTTTTCTTGATTTTGGTTTTATATGATAGGCCCACAAAGCAATGGATGAGTTATGGAAAATGCGTCATCGAAGTTCAGACCTAATGGGTACTATACTTAATGTACATTCAGGTGATTGGGTACGTAGGGACTCTGGAGTGGGTGCTGGAATTGATTCATACTATGAATATTGCCTGAAGGCTTATATTTTACTTGGAGATAATAAATATTTAAATAGGTTCAATAGGCATTATAATGCTATTATGAAATATATATCCCAAGGACCAATGCTGCTTGATGTTCACATGCATAGGTAATAAGTAATTTTAGTTCTCTTAGAAAAATTAACTATTGTTGATTTGCAGACCACACACCACTTCGAGAAATTATATGGATGCTTTATTAGCTTTCTGGCCAGGTCTTCAAGTATTAAAAGGTGACATAAAGCCAGCAGTTGAAACTCATGAAATGTTATATCAAGTAATGCAGAGACACAAATTTATACCTGAAGCTTTTACAATCGATTTTCAGGTATAGGAATCATCTATAGATTTTTGATAAATTATTTGAAATGAAATAAATGTTTTTTTTAGGTTCACTGGGGTAACCACCCTTTGAGACCCGAGTTTTTAGAGTCTACATACTTTTTATATAGTGCTACTGGAGATCCTTACTATTTAGAAGTAGGGAAAAATGTACTGAAAAGCCTGCAGAAATATGCCAGAGTATCCTGTGGATATGCAGCAGTTAATGATGTCAGAACGGGTATAACACAACATCACATAAAATTATACATATATTTATAATTAAATTATTAAATACTAACAATATCAAAAGCTAAGTTATTTGTTTAAAGTAAGTACCTAGGTACCTATTTAAAAGAGGCTTTTAAATTAAAATATTCTTAAATTACAGTCACAAACATTCAAACCATCGTCAATTTGGTCGAAATATTCCATGCTGAGAGCAGTGTTAAGTGTTAAAGAAGATATTATATTGACAAATTTCCAAAACTTATTGCTTTTTTGAAGAGGAATTCGGTTGGTTACGAGCCTAAAAAGTCTAAGGTTTTGTCCATAAAAGAGATCGGTGATTTTTTGGCCACGGCTAGTGATGAAACTTATTTACTTACTAAGGTAAGTTTGCGATAATGATTTTTAAAATATATAGATGGTTTCTTATTCCATTGTATTTGATTTTTAAATTATTAAATACTAACAATATCAAAAGCTAAGTTATTTGGAAAAATAAAAATGAAATGAACAATTTTGTGCATTTTGAAAACTTGCATCTGCAATCGAAACGACTCCTCCATTGGCAGGTAAATTTACTTTCTGATGAGGTGGAGTAAATGCGAACGATGATGTACTTGGTAATACATCCGTGGAAGTGGTCGCGATTTTCTTTTCCCCCATTAGCAGTTTGCAAACTTTCTTCTTTTTCTCAATAGATTCTTCTATGTAACCTTCGGCCACTGTGGACGACCTAAATAATTATTGTTGTTTAGAACAAGATCGGAAAATATTAAAATTTTTACCTCCAACCTCCTAGGCGTTTCAGCGATGTAAAATCCACATCTGCATCTGCAGCAAGAGTAGCAGAACTACGTCGGAAACAATGACCTGTATATTCGTTTGGGTTCGACAACTTTAAAAATGCTGCTACAATCGATGGCATCTTCCCAAATGAATGAATGCCGACTCGTTGCACGGTGCATTTTCCTTTACGATAAGAGATGAAGACATAATCATGTGGTACATTTTTTGGCCTAAGACAAGCATATTTTCTATACAACTCAACTGGATTGACAACGTTCCCTTCGTTCACCACCGGAAACACTCTTTTGATATTAGTTTTTGTATCCGCAAGGGTAACTAAAAGGCAGCTGTTGTCTTTTTCTATGATGTCTTGCACTCGTAGAGAGTACAATTCTTCTCTTCTACATGCTCCACAAAGGCCAATGACAAGAGCTACCTAAAAATCAAATACAATGGAATAAGAAACCATCTATATATTTTAAAATCATTATCGCAAACTTACCTTTAGTAAGTAAATAAGTTTCATCACTAGCCGTGGCCAAAAAAAAAATCACCGATCTTTTTTGGACAAAACCTTAGACTTTTAGGCTCGTAACCAACCGAATTCCTCTTCAAAAAAGCAATAAGTTTTGGAAATTTGTCAATATAAATATCTTCTTTAACACTTAACACTGCTCTCAGCATGGAATATTTCGACCAAATTGACGATGGTTTGAATGTTTGTGACTGTAATTTAAGAATATTTTAATTTAAAAGCCTCTTTTAAATAGGTACCTAGGTACTTACTTTTCGTGGAAATAATTTAGCAATACATCTTCATTTACAACGAATACGCCATTTTTGTCTTTCCATTCATTAAAAAAACATCATATTCTTTCTGGTAAATGGCACGAGACTTCACAGGAAGTAAATCCAACACGATTTCTTTGGCCTTATTAGCAATATGTTCGGGATTTTGGAACATTTTAAAATTGTTGATGAATTTGTGTGATTTTGTGACAAATTTCGAATGACATGTCAAAATGCGATGAAATAAACAAACTCGTTACTAAGATATGAATTTATAAGCCAACTTTTTCAAACATTATAATTTCAAATATGGAAAATTTGCAAATATGCGTTCTAAAAAAACTGTAAAAAGCGTATGACAAAATAGTGTAAACACGTACCTAAATTATGTTTTTTAGGACTCATCTACTATTTCGGACTCGGCTAACGCCTCGTCCGCAAACAGTAATGATTCGTCCTAAAAAACATCATTTTAGGTACTAGTTACATAAATAGCTATTTTAGGTTCACTGGGGTAACCACCCTTTGAGACCCGAGTTTTTAGAGTCTACATACTTTTTATATAGTGCTACTGGAGATCCTTACTATTTAGAAGTAGGGAAAAATGTACTGAAAAGCCTGCAGAAATATGCCAGAGTATCCTGTGGATATGCAGCAGTTAATGATGTCAGAACGGGTATAACACAACTAAATACTATAAGAATAGATTTTTGATTTTATATTAATTTAGGTAAACAAGAAGACAGAATGGATTCTTTTGTCCTCTCCGAAACTTTAAAATACCTATATCTGCTCTTTGCTGACAAAGAGGAGGTCCCCTTAAATTTAGATGAGTTTATTTTCACTACCGAAGGACATTTGTTTCCTTTAACTTTATCAGGCCGTGGAGTCAATTTCACCAAAGTTACTTCAGGTACCTATTTTGTTAACGAATTTACAAGGTGCACCAAAAACTGCATCAACTGGAAGAGATATTATTAATTGAAAAAAGTTTATAGGAAATTTCTTCATCATACCCAATAACAAAAAAAATTATCATATTTGTTATGCACTGTCATGGCGGCAAATTATAGAAATCTTTACATAAGCAGAAAATGGGATTACATGACAAAATATTGAGTAGGACCGAAGTGAAAAAACGTTTAGAATTTGATATACATCTTTGTACCAAGTTTCATAAATATACAGAGACATTCAAAAACTCAAAAATCATATTTTATGTTTTGAATGATTGTCAAAAATCGTATTTTTTTTCACCACAATTAAATAAAACAAAATAGAACCAACAAGAATAATTTCTAATACAATATTTTCTCTTTATTGTTATGTAAATAATCATAAAATATAAAAAAAATAAGTTTAAGATGCCATACCTGTTGCAGTGGCTTATAGGAAAGAAAAATTTCTACTTAATATTACATTAGACGTTGTATTGGTAGATTTGGCGTTGTTTTACACAGGGTTGCCAACTCTGGCAGTTAACCAGCTAGATTCGTATATAAAAACCGCTAGAAGCGATATTGAAACTGAAATTTTGCCGTGTTGCCTATTTTTGTATATTTTGGTAAGGCACTCATCACGTGATCAGATGGATTTAATGCGACTTCGAAGATTCTAGGCTATTCTAGGCCTAGGTCCTTTAAGAAATATGATAATTACGTGCTTATGGGTGCAAATTTTGAAAAAAAAATTGTTATGTCAATATTACTTATTTATTATTAAAAAAATTAAACTGAAAAAAACGAAAGTTGGCAATACTGGTTTTACGTCACCTTGACTAAAGAAAATCTAATTTTTCTGCAGAAATAATCGTAAAGTTATATTTTTTGAAAGCTCGTGTTTATGAAACTTTGTACATAACATACAAATCAAATTTTGAAGAGATTTTTTGATACTTGGTCACCTAACCCGACTTTTGCAAATGCAAATATGAGTTTTGTAATTCGCTACCATAACAAATATTGTAAGACATGTCAAAATATATTTTTCTGTTATAGTACATACTAAGTAACTCATTTCAACATTTCTTTTTCAATATCTCAAAAAAATACTCATTTTTTGGTGCAATTTTTAGTGCACCCTGTATATATTCTGTTGTATTTATATAAATCTCTTCAGATATGGAAATAGAGAATTCTGAATTTGCCATGTCTTGTCCAAACACTTTATCACTATTTCCGGATGCTGTTAGAAAACCACTTAAGCATATGGTGGATGGTATGTGTCCAAGAAGATCAATTAAAAGGAGGTATTTATTTTTTATTCAGTCTTTCCTCTTTTTCCTATTTTAACATTTATAGGTTTTTATACCTTATATTACAGAATACCTTAACCCCACAGTAAGCGTCGTTTCCTTTGAAGTATGTAACTAAAATTGTTTGATCTTAAGGTCGGTCACATACCATACCGTCGGCTTTATGACGAAAAGGCGTATCTCGATTTTTGCTACTTTTCAGGAGAGCAATTTAAAGAAAATCACTTACTTTATTTGGCCAATAAATGTAAAATCTTTAATTTTTTAATAGTGTTTTTGTATTAACACTTAAACGGAGACATTCAGGAAACGTTCTGAAGATAAATTGAGCGTAAATTCTAATAAATAATTTATTTTTAGTTGTTTAATAGAGATAGGCCTTTTTGTTATAATAATAAATTTATTTCCGAACGAATTGTATACATACGCCCATGTAAAATAAATTTAAAAATGATGATAAAATCAAAACACGTTACACTTACTTCACATAAGGAAAAAAAAATAAATAAATATAAAAATAAAAATACATACATATACAAGAAAAAATTTGAAAATAACCAAAAAATCAGAAATAAATATATTTAAATGCTTTTATTCGCGTTGGATTAGATCAACTGAAAAACAAAGACAATTTTCATTCCATAAGCAAAGACAATAATAAATTAAAATACTCTTATCTAGCTTATTTTAATAATATTGTTTTTTATACAAAAATACATTTTTTTAACTAATATATTTTTAGTAATTATTTAGTCCATTTAATAAAAAACCAAATTAAACAAAAACAAAACATGTTTCTTCATTCGTGCCTTTTTGATACAAATAACTGTGGAGTAACAGTTTCCGTTTTTTCTGTTCAGTGATAACAAATTCGACTTCCATTCTACGTGTTTATTGTTTATGCTGGATGATGATCGGCACAATGAATAAAATTTTCCAAAAATTGGCAGGGATGACAATGCCAATGACCTCGCCTGACAATGATAATGAATTGAAAATTCTTTTATTTTTCGGGCAAGTTTTTGGTTTGCTAAAATGTTCTTAGGGAAATTATGATTTCGGGAAATTTTCCATTAGGGCTATTTTCGTTTTCGTTGCTTTCGTTCAATTTTCCTTCAGCCATTTATTCTCGGACAATCTTTTGGATACCCAATACAGCTATGTGCAGAGTCTAGCTCATTCTAACAATGGTTTTTGGCAAAAAAGCAGACTCAAAATCACACTGTAAAAGAGAGCTGCTGCCATGATAGAAGTTTTATTTTGTCCCAAGCAACAATCAGAAAATAATTAGGCAGAATGAATGGTGTGATTTTCTCTCGCATGCATTTTTATAACTTAAAACAAAAGGACCTATCTCAAACTCCATATTTCTTGTAGTACAACAATTAGAATAACAATTGATATAACAAAGAGCCCTATCTCAACATACGTCTCTTCGTCATAACGAAGAATTGTAATATTTGAGATGGGGCAAATTTTTAAACGAATATAAAATGAAAAAGGTACAATATTGAGATGCGCAAATTCGCTATGTTAAAATATGAGCCATTGGGCACGTCATGACGTTGATATCTCAAAATCGCCAAAAATCGAGTTACGCCTTTTCGTCATAAAGCCGACGATACGATCAAAAAAAGCGGCGTCAGTAGAACTCGAAATGAAAATCGCTACCATTTTATATGTAAAATTATATGGAGAATGGCATTGTTTGTGATTTCCAAGCCAATCTGGCGCCTTATTTTTTGTTCATACGTTATTTTTACAATTAAACTCACTTATACAGGGTGGTCCGAATTGTATTCCGGAAACTTCGGCGACATATTCTGCAAATAAAAATAAGTAAAAAAGTTCGTATAAATGTATGTCCTAAAATGCCTAGTTTTGGAGATACAGGGTGTAGAAGTTTCATTTTTATTTCGATTTTTTCGAAATAATTTCTTTTTCCAAAAAAATAGTTTCTGATAGTTTTTTGACATGGGAAATTTGATTTTGATGTCAATATGACTCCTACTTATAGAGGGCGCCACCTACATATTTTGTAACTGGTTTGAACAGTAATAGCTTTTCGTATGTACCTGTATAAAACTACTGAGTAAAAAAATATACATTTACGACGTTTTTTACGTAAAAAAGGTCTCTTAGTAAAAATCGCTACGAGTAATGGTTCTCGCGATATTTGGAATCGAAATTTTCAATACCTGTCATCATTGACATAAATTAAACATGTTGACTAAATAGTTATTTGACTGAAATCATAAATTTGAAATATTTTTGTATCAAAACTGTTTTATCAACATTTTTTCGCAGAAACAATTATGATTAATTTAAAGAAACTAAAATTTTACGAATTTATTTTTTCAGTCAAATAAGTATCTACTCAACGTGTTTATTTTTTGTCAATAATGACATGTATTGACTATTTTCATTTTAAATATCTTGAGAACGGTTGCTCGTAGCGATTTTTGCCAAGAGACATTTTTTACGTAAAAAATCACGAAAATGTATATTTTTTAACTCGGTAGTTTTATTAAGGTACGGACGCAAAGTTATTACTCTTTAAAACAGTTGAAACATATATAGGTGGCGCCCCCTACAAATAGGAGTCATATTGACATCAAAATCAAATTTTTCATGTTAAAAAACCTCCAGACACAAATTTTTATCCAAATATTGATGTCACTTCAAAAATTATTTGGAAAAAATCTAAATAAAAATGAAATTTCCACACCCTGTATCTCCGAAACTAAGCCTTTTAGGACATACATTTATACAAACTTTTTTACTTATTTTTATCTACAGAATATGCTGCCGAAGTTTCCGGAATACGGTTCGGACCACCCTGTATATTGAAGAAATTGTCTAGAATTTTATTGAAAGATTTTTTTAAATACACTGAGAAAAATTATGTCCCCATATAGCTGTTTTTTTTTATTACTGTAGCTTTTTATTGCGACGAATAAAATCAATTAAAATTTGGAAATAAATAGGAAATATAGGAAAAAAATCTTTAAAGAAACTTTACAAATTCAATAAGTAAAAGTGTAAATATTTTTCATATATAAAAAAATATTACTAAAGCCACAAAAAGTATCATTTTTACTCCTAATACAACAATATACTATTAATATAAACTTTTTAACTCAGATTGACAGCTAGCGAGTTTTCTGCTGCTAATGTCAACCACTTAAAGATACTGAAGGAAATGGGCATAAATATCATAGCTTTACGTGATGGAAGAGTGCAATTACTACATACTCCCACAATGGTAAGATTTTTTTTCAAGTTTTCACTTAAAATTATAACTCATAGCATATTTTATATCAGTGGTATGAGCTTAGAATATTTGAAATTTTATATATCTTTAAGAAGTTAAACATAATATCTTTATATAGGCAGAAACTGGATGAGTTTCCAGTATACCATGATATAAAGAAAACAAGGTATGATATTGCGCAGGTTGGTCACTACGTCACAGGTGATTCGGCACCATTGGTCGGTACGCTCCGCGCGCCAATTTGAAATCGTCATACTTATGACACATAATAGCTTCTATGTCCCACTAGTTAACTTGCATACCCAACAATGTTGCAGTTTGTTGTCCCTTAATTTCGCAGTTCTGCACGCGCATATACGATAATCGTTCGAGTATTTCGCGTGCAATCTAAACAAAAAAAATACCCTAGAGACTAACCAAAGCAATCAAAACACGCCTACGTATTTTGATTTCTATTACCAACAACTGTAAATAAATAAAAAAATAAAATCAGCTGTAAAAAAAAAAGAAAAAAGTTTGGTTTGGTTTGGGTTAAATTAAAATATTTGGGTTAATAATTAAAATACAGACCACGGAAATAATGTGACCAGGGCTAGTATACCGAGTGGTGCATCGTCGTTGGAAACATAGGAAATCCCATGCAAATTTTGAACTGCCCAAATATTGGCTCCCCTATTGATTTTATAGCAAAGTCGCAAATAGATTTTTTAAAGGTGTACGTTAGGTACACACATGCCAAATTTGAGCAATTTTAGACAAGCCGATTTTGAGTAATTTGAGAAAAACTGCATCTATTTTTAAATTAAAACTGAACAGGTAACAATCAAACATCAGTCAAAAACCGACATACCTTAAGTTGTCAACGTCATTTTCAAACGTAATTTAATTTTTTTATTGTGCCCGATGGCGTAGAGGTATAGGCTCTCGTCTACCAATCTCAAGGTTGTGGGTTCGAATCCTACACCCGGCATTTCATCAGCCGACTTTTTTTATTAAAATAAAAAATAGTCTGGGTGCCTAGGTCGACTCAGCCTTATATGAGTACTTGGGATTCACAATCCTGAGGTAATAATAGGCGGTTGAAGCGTAGTGCTAGCCACATTATCTTCCTTGTATACCGAACGGCTCTAGCATGGCAAGCTGTACCTTGCTACTCCCAAGGCGTTAAACGCTATATACGGGAGTTATTATTACAACTAATATTACTACAACTTAATTTTAATAAAATTTTAATATTTAGTACTTAAATTAAATTACTCTTCACTAAATCTAAGGTATGTCAGTTTTTGCGTGGTATTTGATTGTTACCTGTTGTGTTTTAATATAAAAATAAATTACCCAAAATCGACTGGTCCAAAATTGTTGAAATTTGGCATGCGTATTTACCGTACATAAACCTTTAAAATAGACAGTTAAAGCAAGATACAATACGTATACGTTTCTCTCGACACGTAACGCAGAAACCTACGTTACGTCTACCGTTGCTTTGTCGTGTAAACAAGAGTTAAAGCAAATATTTTGACGTGCGTAACGCATATGGTACATTTGCAATTCTAAATTATTTTGTGAAACAATTTATTTAATTTTAAAACCGAAAATGGATATCTATTATTTCATTGATTCCACATTATATTTATAATAGTAATATCGAAAAATGAAGAAAATTATAAATGTAAATTATTTTATTACAGAAAGTAGTCCTTACAACTTAAAATGCGCTTAGTAATAAAAAATATTGCCAGTTGTGGAAACGAGTTGTTTGTGAATTTGTACGTTCGGCATCATTCGGGTGAAAATCGAAATTCCTTCGGCTCGATACGTTTGCGTCTTGTACGTACGTCAAGGCACGTAAAGATACGTATTACGTATCTGTAAACGCATGTGAATTTCTCACTGCGCAAGCGTACATGTCAAACGATACGTTTATGTCTACGTCTTTGGCCGTGCTTTAACTGTCTAATATCTATCTATGACTTTGCCACAAATTACCTATAACACATGCGAAAGAAAGCGACTGCATCGGAAACCGCTCGGCAAACCCGACACGCCTATTGAGTGGTGTAAATACACCAGTCGTTTAGTCCGGAAACCTATGCTGTGTGGTATTCGCTTGCTGGAATGACATAGTGCGTGGTTATATGTTTCTTTTTAAAAACGCGTGTAGGATTTTTTGTTGAACTTTTTGAACTGTTATTTCTAAGTTTTGGTAATTTGTATATCTTATTTAAAATGGGATGCAAATGTTTATTTATAAGGAAAGATATTTATAGTACAAAAATTAATTTATTTAACAAAATTTAATTAAAAATGTGACAAAATTGTTACCTTTTCTATTGGTTTTATCGGACTTTTTCGACTATATAAATATTTATTTGTAAACTTTATTCATCAAATATTTTCAATCTAATAAATCATTTAATGATGTAAATAAGAGGAAATTTCTCACATGGGTGGTCAAATTTTATAGTTTTCATTATATCAAACAGCCTCTGAGAAAAGATTTCAACTCAAAATGCCTTTAATTATGTTTGACTACATCATTAAAAAGGGTCTTCAAATACATCAATGTGATATTTGTCTAAAATTTGCAAAAGAATCCGAATCTCTGGATAACTCGAAATTATTTACCCATTTAAAAGCCTTTGATCATGAAAGTGGAAAAATTTGTTCATTTTTTTTTGACGGGCTGGAAAAATTATTTATATTAAATTTTGATGAGTTTTGCACTGAATAAAACATTCAGAGGCTGTTTGATATAATGAAAACTATAGAATTTGACCACCCATGTGAGAAATTTCCTCTTATTTACATCATTAAATTATTTATTAGATTGAAAATATTTTATGCATTAAAGTTAGTACAAAAAATAAAGATTTATACAGTCGAAAAAAGTCCGATAGAACCAATAGAAATGTAACTATTTTGTCACGTCTTTAATTAAATTTTGTTAAATAAATTATTTTTTAAACTATAAATATCTTTTTTTTTCCTAATCTCCTACGAGCTGATATAATATGACGAGCAATCTATTAAATTACTGTGAGATTATACAGAAAAGTCCACAGACTTCGAGACATAGGAAAATCAAGTCCAGTTAGCGTGTGTCCAAATTTTGACAAGTTTTCAAAAATTACAGTTTTGTTTAGACTGACATTTAATTTCGCCTGACTTCTCGGTGAATGATTTTATGGGAGTACATACAATCTAAAATTTACGGCCATGAAGAAATTAAAAACTTGGAGCAGTTAAGACAGAAAATATTTAATGCCTTTGACACTGTCACCCCTGATATGTTATCCAATGTGTGGAGGGGATTTTATGATCATTTGGGTTATTGTTTAATGCAAGAGGGAGGCACTTTTGAACAATTTTTGTAATTTTTTAAATTTCATTATCCTGTTTTTTTACCGTTTACCCATTACCTACCTTGACGGACATGGGAAAACGGAGGTCCTTTTCAGGACCGCAAATATTCTGATTGAGAAAATTGGTAACTTTTTTTTGGATTAAAAAACAAAAGTTGTTAATATAATATCAATTTAAAAGGGTTTTAGTAGTTTTAATACACACTATGATATAAAATTTATTATTATTATAATGTACATTATTAATACTATTGTTCATTCGAAATGGCATTAAGGCCCAATTGCAACAATGATTTAAATTTTTCTTAAAGATAAGTAGAGCTTAGAATGAGCTGTATTTATATTTACTTTAATATTCACCTTAAATGCACTTAAAGGTGACTGATACAATTTTTGAATTTGAATTGTTTTTAATGATACTAACAATTTTAGTGCAATTTTTAATAAAATTTATTTAATATTAATAGAAATCCAAGAGATTTGAAACCTCTTTTAGCGATTTATAACATTCTCAAATGAATTACAGGTGCCCTTATTTTCTATGAAAAATCACACAGCTTTTTTCATAGTCGCTGCAGTTGCTATAGCTATAAAAAACTAAGTTTTTAAGGTGTGAAAATTGCGACACACGCTAAATGGACTTGATTTTTCGTATGTCTCGAAGTCTGTGGACCTTTTTGTATGCCTCGATAACATATTGGTGCAGATTATTTTCACCCAAACAAATAATAACCCAAACTATACATTGATGCGGATTGTCTATGAACTCTTTCTGAAGGTCACAGAAACCTGAACGCGTAATTCGGTGTTCTTTCGCATCTGTTATAGGTAATTTGTGACTTTGCTGTAAAATCAATAGGGGAGCCAATATTTGAACACTTCAAAATTTGCATGGGATTTCCTATGTTTCCAACGATGATGCACCACCCGGTATGTTGACTGGCATTATTTGTTATTATTAGGCACGATCGGCCGCGGATGCGGAGGAAGGATTGATTTTTATGCAGGAAATGGCTGAATTTTCGAAGATACAAGCGCAGCAACCAGAACCGATACCGCAAGCGGTCTTGTTTCCATTCAAAGATGACGCAAGCGGCGAAACAAAAATAGTTACAGTTCAAGTCGGTCCTGCTCAGTTTGGAGAGATTCTAAAAGGTAAGGTAGTTATATTATACAAGAAAAATGTATAATTAGATAATTCTAAGTGAATTTCATAATTGATTGGTTTGCAACGTGTAATATATATTATACAGTGAAAAGTTATTCTCTTATTTCTCCCGATTTTCGACTGAGATCTAACGCAAGTGCACAAATAACTTTTTTACTGTCTTTTTTCTGGAATTCGCAATAATTTCACTGTTAGTCTGACACAATATCCTTTCTAGATTTACTACCTCTAAACAAAACCAGTTGTAGAATACATTTGAAATAATGTAAAATATAGACTCAGAAAAGCCCAACAAATCCGCAAATACCGGGTGCGTCTCAAAAGTGGCTCACCCCTATAACTTTTTTATTTTTTTAGTTAAATAAACGAGATTTGGTATGTTAGTATATGACATAAATTAGGATTGATTGACGTAGTCAATTGTTTTTGGTCACTTCCTGTTTCACCGGAAATGATTACAACTTTTGATTTTTAAATGGTACCCTGGGTATTTTTTTACTTTATTCGATAGAAAATGACACTCTGAATAGAATGACATATCATATGTCAATTTTTGACATTCTCGCTTAATAAAAAATCGTATTTTAAAATTCAATCTAGAGTGCCATGGCTATGTTAAAAACACTAATTCTTAATCAAGAAGCCTTGGAAAAATATATTTGATCGTCTAATGTTTTTAGTATCTTGTCCTGGCCAGTTAGAAAATGCTCAAATCGTATTTTTATTCATATCTTAATTTTTTCAAATGGAACGAGGGTGGCTCATTAGCATATTTGAAAAAAGCATTTTTTTACGAATAATTTGATACCACACACTTGGTATTTCGAGTCAAATTTTCGTTGCGAACCGCAAGTTATAATTTCAAATAAACCATATGCGAAAATGTCAAAAGTTGACGTATGATGTGTCATTCTATTCAGAGCGTTATTTTCTATCGAATAAAGTAAAAAAATTGGCGCCGGGAGGCACGTATAGCCGCCCATACCGCTTTTTTTTATCTCAAAAACTGCGACTTTGACAGATTTTGATGTTATTACAAATTTTGTTGCAAATATTATTCCTAATAGTACGAGAGCTAGCAACGTCGGGAAAACAAGTATGTTAAGACGTCTGGCTCTTTGATATATCTTTTATTATGCTCTCTGGAACAGCGTGCACGCCGTCTGGCTGCTGATACACGTTGCGTTCACTACTGCGCATTCAAAGCAGATCCTCTATTTTTTTACTTAGCGGTTTAAATTCCAGTATTGAATAAAAACCGAGCAAGTCTCCATTAGCTCGGCGCGTAGAGCTTTCGCCTACGAAGCGAAGGTCAGTTGTTCGATACTGGCTGGGGGTGCCACTTTTTTATTTTTTTTTTCGTTTATATTCTGATAGTAAAGTAACAAATATTTGCTGACACTAATATTAATAAAAATATTTAATTCAATTATAATTCAAATTAGATTGTAATGATTTAAACATAATGTCTAAAAATAAAACTAAAAATGTTGGCCGTAATTTTTTCTTGCCTCATTCATAAAAATATTTAATTCTTTTATAATTTCATTTTAAAGATTTAAACATAATATATAAAAATTAACATTTTAATGCTTTATTAACGTAATTTCTGCCTGTCTTTCTTCAAAATATTTTTACAGCTGTTGTTTATTATTTTAATAATCATTTTAATAATACTTTTTTTTAACAGATTGTTATCTAAAAGCTACACAAATTTATTTTCAGTTGAGTTTGTTAAGATAACGATGGAAAACAAAATTATCTGGTTAAATTAAATAAAATAAAATAGTAATACTTTTTAAACAATCAAATAAAAATGATTAATGTTAATATGTAGAAAATGCGCAAATCTATGGGTAGAATATTTAATTACATAAAAAACTAGCAAAGTATTGTGAAAAAAACGCATCATTGTATCTCCACTCATAAATGAGAAATCCCAAAAAACGCACGAAAATGAAAGACCCTGTACCCATGTGATGCGCAGTAGTGAACGCAACCAACCGGCGCGGCAGCCAGACCATCGTAAAGCTATCTAATAATTAATTACCACAATAATCCTTCAAAACAAATGAGAGTATCAAATTCTACTTATATACACTACGGATCATAAACCCATAAACGCCATCCGTTCTGGTGATAAAAAAACAAATATTTAATACTTTACTATCAGAATATAAACGAAAAAAAAAATAAAAAAAGTTGCACCCCCCGCCGGTATCGAACCACTGACCTTCGCTTCATAGGCGAAAGCTCTACGCTCCGAGTTAATGGAGACTTACTCGGTTCTTATTCAGTACTAGAATTTAAAGCGCTAAGTAAAAAATATAGGATCTTCTTTGGATGCGCAGTAGTGAACGCAACGTGTATCGGCTGCCAGATGGCCTGCACGCTGTTCCAGAGAGCATAATAAAAGATATATCAAAGAGCCAGACGTCTTAAAATACTTTCTCGAAAACGTTGCTAGCTCTTAGACTATAATCTAAATCATTCTATTCAGAGCGTTATTTTCTATCGAATAAAGTAAAAAAATTGGCGCAGGGAGGCACGTATAGCCGCCCATACCGCTTTTTTTTATCTCAAAAACTGCGACTTTGACAGATTTTGATGTTATTACAAATTTTGTTGCAAATATTATTCCTAATCTTAAATTGAAAACCGCATTTCGCTAGCTACTGTAATTTTGGAGTTTTTAAAATTTTTAACCCCCTCCCATACCCCCTTACCAACCCCCCAACCCCACCAAAAACTAATGGCCGGATTTTCGGGTGACACAGTATTTTTTGCCAAATTTGGTTAAAATCGGTTTAGCGGTTTTTGAGTTATCGTGTTACAGACGGACAGACAGACAGACACCATGAAAATATTTTGTATTTAGGTCATTTATGACCCAAATTATCCCTACCATACCTGTTGGTATGGTCGGCTAAAAATACCGAGGTTGTCATTTAAAAATCAAAAGTTGCAGCCATTTCCGGTGAAACAGGAAGTGACCGAAAGCAATTGAATACGTCAATCAATTCTAATTTATGTCATATATTAGCGTACCAAAAATCGTTTTTTTATCTGAAAAAATAAAAAAGTTATAGGGGGTGAGCCACTTTTGAGACGCACCCGGTATAACATATGCGGGACTAATTTTTAAATACACTGGACTGAAGCAACTTTCTAATTTATTGTCCAAAGACTGGAGATCAGACTCCATCCCCAGGATCAAAGAAATGTTGTCACGTTTTTCATATAAGAGTTGTGGCTTGCCTATATGATCTAGGGTTGCCTGTTATTTTAATTGAAATTTTTTTTTGGTGTATTTTGTCTGTCGAAATCGTCTCTTCACTCGCTAAACATATCACTTACCGGTTTTATTAAGAGAATTGGATAAACTTAGTTGTCTTCTTTCATGGATATTATAGATATTATCTGTTTCTGTATTATAATAATGTTACATAGTACCGTATGATCGAAAAAAAACAGAGACGTCCAGTTGGCTTCAAAATAAACATCGATGTCATTCCCAATATAATTTTACATATAAAATGACAGTGATATTCATTTCATAGCCATCGCTGACGCCGTTTTTTTTTTCGATCATGTTGTATATATTAAATGTCATATTTTTCATAATAATTTGATTACAGGTGATAAAATTATAAAGGCAACAGCTACAAAATTCACGCCTCTCAATGGGTGCGGTATTACAGAAGAATCAACTGGGGTTAAGGGAAATATAGCTATAATGGAACGAGGCGACTGCATGTTTATAGACAAGGTAATTATATTTATTGTGTTTATTCCATAAAATGTATAGGCTTGGTGCATTTGATTTGATTTCAAAAAATTCCGACCGCAGCGCTCTCTACGCAAGAAGTCAGAAATTTTCACTAAGTATTTTACGCCGTCCCGGTTACAGTTCATGTTGATCGCATTAAAATAATATTGAAATCGTGGCTTTGTCATAATATTTAAGTGTTTTAGTTTTTTGCTAGTGCAGTTATTTAAACTATAAAACTTTCAGGTACGAGGTTTGTGTGATGTAACGTTTTTTCGGGTAGTAAAAATTAAGTGAAAAAGAACTTGAACTGGGCGTCCGTTGTGTTCTGACAATTTCAAATGTTGATAAAATTGCCGAAAAAATGTTAACGCGTAAAGGAGGACGTAATTACGTGGTTGTTGATTAAATAACTCAACTTTCCCTCAACTTTCACAGCTTCTCAAACCGATTTGATGAACAGCAAAAATGGATTCAAGCATTTTCGACGAAACAAGTGAGTAAACAAAGTGCCCATTACATAATCAAAAAATTAAATTGACATACTATATATGAGAGGATAAAATTTAATTTGCAATATTAATAAAAATAAATCATTTTTTAATCAACTAGTGCTTAATTTTTTTATGCACACTACGAAATTACTAAGTACACTTATGCACAACGAAATAGCCCAAGTTATGTCCCCAGTTGCAAAACCAGGTGCGTAAAACTATGCTCACAACCATAGTTGAACTCATCTAAAAAGTTTTATTATATTCAATAATAAATTATAATACTAGTGACATTCTGAGGATATCAAAAAATATTTACTTTTTAATTTTTATTTAGAATTTTCGTAAATTATACTTCCTTCATATCTTCAAAAAAATCCCTTTATGGGTATTTCGCCACTGCACTGCAAGAAAATCTACAAAATAAAATAGTGACGAAATACCCATAAAAAAAAATATGTTTAAAAAAAAAAAAAAAATAATTTTTATATAAACTTTTTTTTTCGTAAACTCGCCATTTAAAGCCGCGGTCTTATTGTATATGGATTGCTTAAGGATATTTTCTATGCGGCAGCAAATTATGGAGACGCAATGGCCTATTTAACTCTTTCTTTAACCTAAAATAATTTAATAAAATTTATATATAGTCGTCAGGGCAGAGAAGAGATTTAATAGGGTTCGCAGTAATGATTTAAAACACTAATTTTTAGACAAGGATTTTTAATTAAATCATTGATTTCAGAAAAAATAATTTTATTAAAACTTTAATTTTTTTTTTTTTTTATTTGTAAAAGTTGTAAAAATATGTCCTAGAAAACTATAAAAAAATATTTCTATAAAGATATAATAGATAAGAAATTGAAAAGTAATTGGGTAATGTAAATGTTATAAACTATATAAAAATATCTATTCATCAATTTAAATGTTGGACCGATTTTTGAAGTAATTTCGTGTTAATCCATTAGACCGCTAAACGCGGGGATTTATTTTAAAATTTATGTATAAGTGTCAAAAATTCGCTGTTCGAATACATATCATTCGCAGTCTAGTACAGAACTAGATTCTTCTTCTTCTGATATAGAGACTATATCTTCATTCCCAAGAATCTATAATAATCGTTGTCAGGAAATATGTTGATTTTTTTTTAAATGGTTGGTATTTTTCCAAATTCTTACCGACATTTTGATCCTCAGTAAGTATTTTACACTTTGACATTAGATAATACTAATTTCATTCTCGACTTAAGAGTATTTCCGAACAATATATTTATTTATTAGGGAGTAAAATTATACTTTTTTTTGATGAATTATACTCCTTTGAAGGACCATCGTAAAGTTATTCCGACGTTACAAGGAAGCACAAAAAGTAATTTTTTTTTTTTTTTTTTTTTTATTTATTTTAAAACATTACAAATCATTTTTAATCAATTTCAAATATTGCAAATAATATATACAGTAATTAAGCAACAATTTGTACACCAAAGAATATACCTAGTTGTACACTCGTTGAATTTGACACTTAATATCAGTTTAATAATATATTTTTGTACTTTTGTGCTTAGGCGTAACAATGCTTTACTTTTATACCTAGGCGTTAAAATGACAAAAATTAATACTTTTGAGATGTTTAAAAACTTTGACTTGGAAAGGAGCGACTTTTTATGAAATATATTGGTGACCGATATGGAAAAATGACAAACGCACCCTAGATTTATTAATGTTATCGATAACGGATAGAGTTATAAAGATTTAGCCATTTACGATAGGACTTTAATTGGAAATAAGTCCTAGTCATTTGGAAATCCGATTTAAATATTGTTTTGGATTAAAATAAAAAAAATCTGATTTAAATAAAAAAAAATTGATTTAAACCAAATAAATCTGATTTTTTTAATTTTTTTAAAAAAATCATGATTTTTTCCAACCCTGGGATTTAATAAATAAAATAATGACAGAAAAATCAAAACATACGGCTGAATTAAAGGGAGATATTTTCCTTCAAATAATTTTATTGAAAACATACCCTGGTCATTCGACGTCATTGAATCTGATTCTAGATCTTTTTTTATATCAAAATCACAACAGTTAAAATTGCGACAATTGCTTTTTTTCAGAAAATAGTATTTATAAGTAGTGATGGGAAAAACCGATTAATTTCAATAATCGAGTACTCGAGTATCAAGCGATTGCAATAACCGAGTGATCACTCGAGCGAAATATCGCTCGTATTTAAAAATACGGTTTTTGTTCGTCGCATGTTGTGAGTACTCGTTAACGCCAAGCGCCAAGCAGTAAGCGGCGAGCGATTCGCTTGATCGCCTGATTTAGTTTATTTCGAAGCATTGTCGATGTAGGTCCTAAAATTTTGTCTCTCAGATACGCAACGGATAAATTATACCGGGTGCGTCTCAAAAGTGACTCACCCCTATAACTTTTTTTATTTTTTCAGATGAAACAACGAGATTTGGTATGTTAGTATATGACATAAATTAGGATTGATTGACATATTCAATTGTTTTCGGTCACTTCCGGCTCTACCTGAAATGACTGCAACTTTTGATTTTTAAAACGCACCCTCGGTATTTTTTACTTATTCGGTAGAAAATGACACTCTGAATAGAATGACATATCACATGTCAACTTATGATGATTTTCGCATATGGTTTATTTGAAATTGTAACATGCGTTTTATAACGACAACTTGACTCGAAGTACCAAGTGTGTGGTATCAAATTATTCGTAAAAATCTTTCGAAATATGCTACGATTCAATTTCTCATTCCATTTGAAAAATTGAGATTTGATCAAAAATACGATTTGAGACCTTTTAACCTGCCAGGGCAAGACACTAAATCATTAGACAATCAAATCTATTTTCCAAGGCCCCTTGGTTAAAATTAGTGTTTTTAACACAGCCATGGCACTCTAGATTGATAGTTAAAATACAATTTGTTTTAAGCGAATATGTCAAAAGTTGACATATGATACGTCATTCTATTTAGAATATTTCATCGAATAATGTAAAAAATACTGAGGGTGTCATTTTAAAATCAAAAATTGTAGTCATTTCCGGTTAAACAGGAAGGGACCAACAGCAATTGAATACGTCAATCAATCATAATTTATGTCATATACTAACATACCAAATCTCATTTTTTTTTCTAAAAAAATAAAAAAAAGGGGGTGAGCCACTTTTGAGACGCACCCGGTATATGCGGCGTAGTATAAATTTGCTACCTGCAATGTATGTAGAAAATTCTCTCGGCTTTTTATCGAGTAGGTCACATTAAAATTGGATTTCAACCAACCTAACCTAACCAAACCAAACCAAACCATCCCATCACTATTTATAAGTCATTACTTTAATTTATAATTAACTCAATTTCAACTGCTTGGAACTCGTGCAAATATAATTTTGACGTAGAAATATTTTACCTTTATACTCGTAACTTACAATAGAAGTTTTATAAGAACCTCTATAAGAAACAATTTTCGAAATGTCAAAATACCACGTGGCATCTTCTTTGCGTAAACAGCGGCACGCGGTAACTTTAGCGCATAATCTCTTCTAATGACCGTTTAACTGTCAAAGGAGTCAAAATAACGGCTCTTTTAATACCGCCTCATAGTCATATCTCTCGACTATTAAAAAAAACAGAACACTTAAATTACGTAGACTTGTTAAGATAAATTACTTAGATTTGTCTTCAATTTAATGTAATTCTAGGTTCGAAGAGCTCAAAAACAAGGAGCCGTGGCGGCTATCGTAATAGACAACGTACCAGGTAGTAATCCATCAAGCTCTCCCATGTTCTCCATGTCGGGCGACGGTACCGAAGACGTAAAAATTCCGGCAGTATTTATGTTCAACCAGGATGCCATAAAATTGCTGAAAGCTTTAGAAGCGACCCCATCGATGGAAGTAATTATTAGAGAACTGAAAAGTTCGGAATCTAATCTGGCAAACGACGAGGAGAGTATGTTTAATAGATTGAAGGTATTTATTTACTTTACTGTAGCCAAATATATTATAAGAATATATTGCTATGGTAATCGCAAAACATTTTCCGATGCACGTCATCAATCATATCGACATCGACATTAAAGTCTATACACCTGACTAAATGAAATTTTGGCAAAAATGTTTAAATTTGTTGTATAATTTAAGATACCGAACAGCTCTTCATTTTACTTTATAGAGCAAATGATTGTAACAGGTATTTTATTTAGATTAAAGCTGCAAAAATTAGTTTAAACCCTTTGAATAAGAAGACTAAGGAAGGAGCATAATGCTATCCATGTATTCATGCATGGTGGGCGGAAAAGGCACCATAAAAGCTCTCTAGGGTGGGGATCCTTGACAGTTCTGTTTGACGATTCATTTGACACATTTGAATTTGATTTGAAATTTTGTGGATTTGTCAGTCTTTATGGAGCTTATTTTATGTTATTTATTATTTATTCTACTACTGATAGTTGTATAAAGGTAGTAAATCTAGATGGAAATTGTGGCAGAACTTAAAGCCTTAGTAGATCTCGGCAAAAATTGAGTGAAATAATGGAACAACTTTTCGCTAGTAAGTGACTATATAATATACATACGTGTAGTAAACCGATCATTTATGAAATTCACTTAAATTAACTAAATTATATATTTTTCTTGCATTTTAGCTTTTATTTATTACTTGTCAAAGATTAGATGTCAAAGAATTTAGATACGTTAATTTGACTTACCTGCTTCAGTAGCGTATCGGATGTTTGTGTTAATAAATACTTATTATAACTTATCTATTTTTATTAGAATTATATATTTTTATAACAATTTTAATAACTACCAACATTTATTCACAACGTAAAATAAAACAACAAATTATTGAGTCTACTCCACGTCTACCCTACATCATAGTTTTACATTTTTTAAATAGAATTAGAACGACACTGCTAAACCGGAATTTAAGTCGGCCATATTTGAGGCCCATCGCGGTGTACCTAAGATTTTTGATATGCTCCTTCCTTAGTCTTCTTATTCAAAGTTTAAACCGAATTTTATTATCGCTATGTTGGTCACATTGCGCCATGTTCAGCAATGTTGTCCTTTATTATTTGACAATTATCCTAATGTCAGTCATTATTTTGTATAATATTGAGTTGTTGTTGAATCTTTGTGAACAATTCTCGTTTTTTTGCCTATTTTCGTAGTCTTTTTTTAAAAATTACACTTTTAAACACAAACAGTTCTTTTAAGAAGTAAATTCTCGAGTTTTTATATTGCATTTCTTGAAATTGTGTGTTGAAAATATGCCGAAGCATTTATACAGTCGAAGCAAAGAGCTTGTAGCTTCCCTGATAAACAATTTTAACGAGAACGTGACAATAAAGGTCGTCTGACTGGAGTCAAGGAAGGGTCTGCAGTCAGACAAGTATGTTGATTGATAGCACATTATCACTTTCAAAGTTAGTTTTTATTAAATTCTGTGATTATTAGTTTGTGCATTAATAGCACCCTCTTACTTGTTATTACCACTTATGGCATTGTAAAGTGTACATCAATAAATAAATAAATAAAAAATCCATAATAACGCTTAGAATAATCTTCATAATGGACTAGTTTTTGCCAATATGTAATAAGTAAAATAAACTATAAAACAAATAAATCAATTAGTTACTCAAATATTAGCTATTAAATTAAAAATAAAATGTAAAACTCTTTAAAAAATGATATAATAAATATATTGTTTGTCAATTTTAAATTAAGATTCATCTAATAAATCCATCACAATCTGGCAGCGCTGTCGCCATCGCTTGTCACTCAAAGTTGCACCGGAAATTGTTTTGCGATTACTATAATACCGCATTTACAAAATGAGTGGAAAGTGAAGCCAAAGTAAAAAAATAGGAATATCAATCTTGCATAAGTCTATGTTTTTCGGATTCCTTCTACAGAATTTTCGTGCGCATGCACCAAATAAAACGATCTGATTCGTCTACTTCATCGCAGCACGCTGTCATCTGCCCGCGCACTATTAAACTCTAAATATTAGTAACGTATAGTATATTTTTTTTATTGGTAATGATATTATTTCAACCTGTTATTTTAGATATCCATCATATTTATCCGTTTCTTGTTTTTGTTAAAATATATCAGCGATTAAATTTAAATTTATAAGTAAAGGCGCGAATAGTCAGACGCTAAATTGATTTACGTGGTAGATAGAAACTTAGAAAACTACTTCTGTTGGTTAGTATGAAATAAATCAACTAATCGAGAAGCACTTCTCACGCTTGCGCAGTTCAAAGCTGTTAAACGAAAAGTTCTCCATCTCAAAAGTTTGGCTTCAATATTTCTATTCCTGACTAGCGATATAGTGTAATATATATATGACTGTAGCAAAGGTTAGTGTACGTTTACATGTTGCCGTTTTATTTTTCGTAGGCCTCGGTGCAAGAATTTCTCAATAAACACACCGGAATCGGCTTTGAAAGAATTTTAGATAAGGGTGATTTTAAGGCCATTATTGAAGATGATAGAGATATGACTGTAGCATTTGATGATACTATAAAAGAACCAGGAGATTATAAATTAACAGGTATGTTAATATCACTATCTATTCAGGGTGTCCCAATATTCCGTGGACTTAGAACTACTACGTATTTTTGGAATCAAAATAAGTTCATTGGATACAATTTACCTGTATACAAAAGTGTTTCGTTTGTTCGCTAGAGGGCATTAAAAAAATAAACACATTTTTTCAGATATTTTAAGAACCATTACTCTAATTTGAATGGGATTTTGGGTGTCCATGTTTTGCTAAGTGCTTTAATATTTCACTTTCACAAAAATCAAGAAAAAATACGGGAAGAATAAAAACTACCCCCACCCCTACATAAATTTTAGAATAAATATTTTTACGATAGATTCGACGATAGATTTTCTTTTGGTTAAATGGTCCCTCTAATATTTACTACATTTTTGTCTCTTGTAAAAAAACGCCACATCGCACAGTTTTTGAGAAAAAATTTTTGGAGAATTAATTTTTCCAAATCAGACCTACAAAATATACAGGGAGATTCAATATTCCGTGGACATAGAACAACGACGTATATTTTGAATCAAAATAAGTTAATTGTACATAATTTACCTTTATACAAAAGTGCTTCATTTGTCCGTTAGAGAGCATAAATCAAAAATTAACCTGAACGTTAATTAATTTGTTAATTTTTTAAGCATTTACCGAAGCTTATTGACAAATATAGTTTGTGATACTAACTTAAAATTCCATATTTTCAAACTAGATTATTAGAGCATAATAGATTTTCTGCGCCTCTGTAGCTTGGTGTGACAAACATTTTTTGGGAGTTAGCTTTGAAAAAATATTTGTTTTCCTTAAAAAGTATGCACAGTGGCGTTTTTTACAAGAGATCAAAAATGTAGTAAATACTAGGACTATTTTACGAAAAAAAAATCGGTTGTCGTTAATCTTGGATAATATACTAAAATTTATGTAGGATTGGAGGTAGTTTTCACCTTTCCCATACTTTTTCTTTATTTTTTTCAAAAAGCACTTAGTAAAACATAGACACCCAAAATCCCGTTCAAATCGGAATAATGGTTCTTAAAATATCTGAAAAATTGTGTTTATTTTTTTAAAGTTTTGATGCCCTCTAACGGACCAACGAAGCACTTTTGTATAGAGGTAAATTTTGTATAATGAACTTATTTTGATTCCAAAAATGCGTAGTAGTTCTATGTCAACGGAATATTGGATATATAAGACTATGGGAACCCTATATCAATAAACATAACGAGATCGCGGGTTTTAATATGGCTGAGTTGAATTCTGGTCTATTAGTGACGTTCTATTTTTTAACGTCTTAAAATATAAAGAGGGGTAGACTCAATAATAGTATTTTTAGTCTTTTTTCAGATTTTAGAGAAGACTTACTGCCAAAAAGGTTATTTAAGTAGTAAGTTTTAGTAACTGTTCTCTGTCGTTGATTGGTTGAATTGCACATGTGGATTTAAAGTTCTATATAGAATTTCAATTCAAAATCCGTTGATTTTGAGACAAAAAGCTACTTTGCAGTCCCACCGACTGCGCCACTTTTTTAAACTATTCGGTAGAATAGTATAACATAAATTATTATTTAATTACTGTTTAGTGTGTGTAGAGGTGAACAACATAAAGCATTATTTTAATATCTAAATTAACGTGTACGTCTGTTATAATAGAGATAACGTTCGAGGACATTCGCGAACTTTTAGGATCACTGTGTGGGTATGACCACTAGGGTGTCAGTTATTTACAAAGTTGATCATATCTCTCACGACGCCCTCTAAATTTTTAATTTATTGTCTAAAAATAAATAACAGACCATTGTAAACCCTTAATATTCACAATAAAACCTTGCCCCAAATACGATTCATTTCTCATTTAAATTACATGGGAATTTGCCACTTTTTGCAAATATTTTTTTTCTCTCGATCTTGTTCTCTGCAAGCCATAACAATAACATATGCTTGTACAGAACTGAACGCTCTACAAATAAAATTTCTTACAATTTTTCGATAAACCTACTCCTTCAAAAGTTATTCACGGTTAAAGTTAACCACTCGGTAAATTCCTAAATTCGTCAACTTTTTTGACAAAATTATGATTATTTTTGATAAATTTAATCTATTACCTATTTGAAAAAAAAACAATTTCCATGATACATGATACATCCATGATAAACAATTTTGAATCATGGAAAACAACTGAATGCATGACAGGTAGTTAATTCTAATACTTAGTATTTTTGAGCTTGTATTCTTTTGCAGTACTTAATTTAACTAATTTTAAGTTCGGTAAATTTGTGTTATTTTCCTAACATTTTTTTTTAATTGAGTTGACGACTTGCATTTACTTTTAGAAACATTCTCACCAACATACGGATTTTTTTCTACGCAAGCGCACTTCAACGCATTTAGTATCTTGACTATAGCCGGACTGTGCAACTCTCCAACTTCCAACCCAAGAACGGTAAACTAATAGGATTGCTCATCCTCATAAGACGTACGTTCGCCTCTTCCCGCGCTTCAGCTGACAGTTGTGACGTCATTGTAGCCCTTGTCAAAGCCTTCGTGGCCTTGTCATGATAGTGTGTATTATTAGTTGCCTATGGTAAACTTATAAAAATAACAGCTGAGAAATTTTGAGTTAATTATTTTGTCAATTTTAAATGTGAAAAAGGTGTCTTTAAAGTTTTAGAGCTATAGAGTGTATAAATACGTTCATTTTGTGTTGTGGATTGTGACAAAGTGCATACTAAGTGCCCACGATTTTGTTTATTAACTATTTTAAAGCAAAATATGGAAGTACTCTAAAAAGAATGCTTGCAAAAGGTGATGCTGGGACCTGCTGTTCTTAAAAATGCATTATCCGAGTATTTAATACGATTTATACAGTTAATTTTCTTTACTGCATACATATAAGGTGTTTAAATAAATAAACTAAATAATGAACATTTTGCATTCGGTAACCAATAATGCACGTGCAATAATGATAAGGACTAATAACCATGACAAGGGTTTGACAAGGGCTACAATGACGTCACAAAGCGAGTAGTTTTCGCATGCACCTGGCGGACACTTTTGGCTGAATGAGCAGTCCTATTAGGTTAACTGTTCTTGCTTCCAACCCACACACAGTGCTTCGAACATATGGCTCTAGAGGACAAAAATCCAAAACTTCTCTTTTATTGTAAGCAATTTATTCAAACTAGGTTTATTTGACACAAATGATGAGTACTCTCATTGTACTAAATGATGATGTTCTTAGTCCCACGTTTATGAAAAAAAAATCTTATAAATAATAATAATGTTGGAGCTGTGTTCCATCTAAGCAAATAATAAGTTATAGTATGAAAACGGTGTAAGTATTAAATAAATTCCTGTGATAAAAAAGAATTGAAATAACATTAGAACATGATTCCTACAATATAAGCCTAATATAAGATAAAAATGTTTTTCTTTAATGAAAAAGAAACATTAATGTTATATTTAATTAAAAAAAAACTTAAGATATTATAAATTTGCTTTAGGACAACAAAATGCATAGATCGTAACTACTCTGATTCAGGAGAATCACTGCTGACAGAATCTTCCAAATTTATAGTATCCAAATCACAGGTAGATGAAGTATCCTCACATATATTTCTGTACATCATTTTCTAATATGTTACTTTTTCGCGTTGTTACTGTTCATTTAGTCGGTATGAGGGGTTCGGATGTTAATAGTTACCTCTTTAAGAGACCATATCCATATATTATTTTTTTCTTTTCTTGGGTATGAGATTTTATAATAAATTGAAAGATGGACACTTTTTTTATGCGACGTTTCGCTCCAACATAGTGGACTTTTTCAGGCACAAGTGGTGTCTCATTTGACTGGAAGGTTCATCAATATCTAATAAGAACATATTTTTTGAAATAAAAATAATTTTGAGTTCTTGTCCTTATGATCAAGCCAAGTATTAGCCAGATCGGCATTGCTTATCAATTTTACTCCATCTGAAAAGTATTATAAAATAAAGTTCGTCGCAAGCAGACGCAGGTGAACTATACAAAAATTAAAAGTGTATAAATATGGCAACAAAAATATTCAATAAATACGATATGTTTTGATATGTTTTTTTTAAATGCCTTTTTGAAGTTTGAAAACGTAAAATTTTTATACCCATTTAAGAATCATCTTAAAAAATAAATAAAAACTAAACAATCACGAACTTGTTTAGAAATAAATTTAAAGTACATACCTTGTTTAACAATATCCATAGTGGCTTTCAATTAAGTATGTACCCGTTTAACTCCATAATATACAGAACTACTATGAATGTTATTCTTTTCACTGATGAGATAATGATCTCAAAATTTATTTTTAGTGAAAATATTTGCTAACAAAAACGCTGTTTATGAAAAATAATATACAGGATGGTTGAACATTGCAATAGGTATAAAATTATATATTCAGATATTAGTAAATTTTAACTTATTTTTTGATTTTTGTCCATGGGACGAAGCACTGTGCCACAGTTCCGATGGCGGTCGTAGTCTCCCGATCATTTTCCAATGATGCCCGCCAAATTTAAATCGTAGGTTATTTTCTTGTCTTTTATTATAAACTTGTAACTTGCGAGAGTAAGTTCTGAAGTAATAGTAGCATAATTTAACCTAAATTTCAAAAACGTACAAATTATAATAATATATAACAGTTCTACAAAACGGGTCGGGTATTTCGCGTGCAATCTATAAACAAAAAAACTTACCCTAGAGACTAATCAACGGAATCAAAATACACCTACGGCGTAAAAGTTGAAGAATTTAGGAATTTACCGAGTGGTTAACTTTAATCGTTTAATAACTTTTGAAGGAGTAGGTTTATCGAAAAGCCTTTTTTGTAGAGCGTTCAATTCTGTGCAAAATATGTGACTTTCATGACTGAAAAAGAACAAGATCGAGAGATAAATTATTATATGCAAAAAGTGGCAAATTCCCATAATTTAAATGAAAAATGAATCGCCTTTGGGGCAAGGTTTATTGTGAATATTAAGGGTTTACAATGGTCTGTTATTTTTTTAGACAATAAACTAAAAATTTAGAGGGCGTCGCGTCGTCGTCGTGAGAGAAATGATCAACTTGGTAAATAATAAATATGCCCAGAAATAATGCTAATAAATATACCCAGGAAGGATGTCCTGTTCTGAATATCTATTTGTTCTCAATTTTTTTCTTGTGTGTGTTATCAAAATTCTCATTTTTCTCGAGAATAGTAAGAAAAAAAACGAGAAAATTGAGATAAAAGTTAAAAAACTAACTGATTGATTATCTATTCTTTTTGATAATTTCGGTGTTTCTCGTTTGTTCTCGTTAACAGGGAACGTCCTCCAAAAATTCTCGAGCATTTTAAAACATTAATGATAGGCTTCTAGTTCAATTATTATTGTTATTTTCAGAAGGCCAAGACAAGATAAATGAAGATTCGATAAAAGCCGCCGCTAACCAGAAATTCGATGAACTATTCAAAGTGTCAGATAACGTAGCATCAGTACACAAACATATTGATACCTTGATCAAAGAAGAGGATGTTCGTCAATATGAATCATTAATTAAGAGGGTGCAAAAATCATTAACTGATAATGATAACATTATAGTAGTGTTAGATAAAGATAAAACAGAAAAAAGTCGTAATGAAGAAAAAATTGAAAGTATAACTGAAAGCAGTTCTAAAACAGATAGGCAAGAAAATCCTAGTCGCGCTGTTGATGAATTATGATTTTAAAATTCTCATTAAGCATTTTAGTGAATTATTTTCGACATCCGTATTAAAAATATTTATGTTGTGATAATATAACTTATGACTGTCCTAAACTATGTATATAGAATATTTTAATGTCATTAAAATTATAAATACGGTTAAGGAAGGCGTTGACATTTGATTTTTCGACAATTTTTTAAATCTTGGAGTGATTTTTTAAAAACTGCTGGCAAAAACTGTTTGTCCAACAATAGAATTCTAACAGTTACAGTCGTTGTCTGTCACTTTGATTGAAAGGTAAATTCCTTTTTCTGTCAATTTTTGGATGTCGTTTGTCGAAATTGTCTCTTTCGTTGGACAGTTTTCATTTAGGTTTACAGAAAGGAGTATAGATATGGTTTCATGGAAAATTGAATTTTAATTATATAGCCTTATAGGGCAAAAAATAAATTTATTACTTTTCTGTAGTATTCCATATACAGGGTTATACGAACTTAACGTCTTGAGCTAATATCAGGAAAATTAGCTTGCAGTTTTTTCTATAAAACTGCAACAAAATTAAATGTTTTTGAATTTTGTATATAAATTTAACCTAAAAGCACAGAATATCTAGCTACGCAACAGAAGCCTCGTTACATGTATAAAATTGTAGGTAGCAAAAGGAGACAGGCTTTAAAAGTCTGTCTCCAAATCAGATATTTTGATGTGGTAGTTTCGCTACTTAATAATAGAGGGCAATAAATTTAAAAGAAAACAGTTTTCTACAAACAAAATTTAAAAGAATTTTGTGCAGTGTTGCCATTGTGTAATTTATATCGTAATACTTCCTGATAAAGCCTACCTTCAAATTTGCTACATCATTTAAACATATTAAAATAGATCAGAGCTGTTTTTTTCAGTTTGCCATGTTAGTTGGAATTAAAACTTATGAGCTAAATTACAATCACTTCCTGACGTTTAATTGTATAATTGAATCCTGAATTTTCATTGTAATTCGGCGACAATATAATAAGTATTGTTCTACTATTATACCACTTCCTGACGTTCGATTGTGTTCATACCAAGTTCATATTGTATAATCGGGAAAAAACGGCGTTAGCGATAGCTATGAAATGAATATCACTGTCATTTTATATGTAAATTTATATGGGAAATGTCATCGATCGTCCTTTTCCAGCCAACTGGACGCCGTTTTTTTCAGAAGCATATCAAGTGATACCATAATATAGTACTATACTACGATACATGACGTTCGATTGGGCTTAAACTTGGTATACTATATCTTCAGTGACATTGTAATATCGTGGTATCATGGAGCATATAAAGTGGTACCTTCTATAGTACCATATTTGATGATATAGCAATATTAGGTACATGGCGGCAATAGGGCTTAAACTTGGTATACTACGGATCTTCGGTGACATTGCAATATTATGGTACCTTAAAGTATATCGAGTGGTGCCATAATATAGTACACTATTATGATATCATTTCCTGGAGTTCGATTGGGCCCAAATTTGGTATACTTGCGTTTCTTTATAAAGATTTGTTTAATTAATAATTTTAATTTATTTTACGAATTTTAATTTATTGTTCGATGTCGTGACAGCAACTTTTATGCCGAACTAATATATTATTAATTGTACCTGTGTCACTTTTAAAATCTACCTAGGTCTATATAAATAACGTGGCAAACGGAAGAAATTTGTTATTATAGTATTTTTAGTCAGTTAACATTTTTGTACTGCATTTTAATAAATTATTTCCATTATTATTAAACTTATATTTCATTACTAACGCTCCAGCATTAATAAATATCACTATCAATCGCCCTGTATATTATTAATTTTAAAGGTAATTAAAGGTATTTTCTTAGTTAACATTATAAGGTAGTGTATATTAAAAATGTATATGTTTTGTAATAATATACTTAAACCTATTTTAATAGCCAAAGGAATAATTAATATAAGTGTATCTGACAAGAAAAGAAGAATAGAAAGAAACACATACTGCATTATACAAAATAAAAAGAATGGGATGCCGATTCAAGTCTTTTTGAATCTGGCAACTGTGCATATTCAGCCGAGCTATAAGGCCGTCGACGAGCCGTCGATCCAAAACCGAAAGTTCAAAATTTCTAATTATATTCTGATTATGATATTGTCGCGCCATCTAGTATTCTATTTGTGCAATTTTAGCTCTTTCATTTCGAGTATTTTTCTGTTGCGTAGCTAGATATTCTGTGCTAAAAGTTTTCTAAGATAAATCTAATATACCAATACTCTTTTATTTATTAAATATATGGTATAATCGAAAAAAAAACAGTATCAAGTTACCTTTGAAGATACAATGGTTGATATTTTATAAGTAAAATTATATGGTGAATGTCAACACTCGTTATTGAGGTAAACGCCGTTTTTTTCGACGATATCAAATTTTTTCTATTCCATTTTAAATCTGCATATTCCTTTTATATCATTCAGTATATTAATTTCAACACCTTAGTGTAAATCTCACTCATAAGATATAAAGTATGCCCCGTTCACATTGTGCGACTAGTGTCTGTGGTCGCAGCGTCGAACATTCCGAATGTAAGTCAGTCAGTGTGAAAGGGCTCTAAATAGTACATCAATCAACAGTTTGAGTTGAATATTATTTTCATGATTAAAATATGAAATACCTACAAAGTGTGCCATAGAGTTACCAGTAGAATAAATGGGAAAGTTTTTAATATCAAGTTACCAAAAAAAGTTTATGTGGATCTACTTCAGCGTGCCCAATAAAAAACATTTTGAGAAATGTCATACTGCAACTGTTACGGCGGCAAATTATAGAAATCTTCTTCAGATTTAAAAAAATGAGGTTAGGTGACAGAATATAGAATAAAGTCGGAGAGAAAAGTTCAGAATTTGTTTTTATGATTGTGTACCAAATTTCATAAGTTTGCAGGGATTTTTAACAAATATCGCATTACATAGACGTAAAATCAAATTCTGAACAACTTTTCCCACTTTTGGATATGGCGTCTTGTCACCTAATCAGTGAGGGTCATGATACAAAGAATACAAGGTATGATATTGCGCAGGTTGGTCACTACGTCACAGGTGATAAACGGCACTATTGGTCGGCAAGCTCTGCGCGCCAATTTCAAATTGTCAAACAGATTGTGTCATCTGTGAAATTTGATTGTGTCAAAATGTGAAAATAATTTTTCAAATGTCAAGCTCAGCGATGCCAGGTGTCGGAAATGAAATTATGGATCAATGTAGATAATATCAAATTTATCACAAAATTATGTTACAAGCCATATATTTCGTTCTGAGGGAATTATCTAAAAAATATAATGATAGCAATAAATTTGGATCCTATTTTTTGTTGGTTTAACTTATTTTTAGTAGGTTTCAAACGTATTTTCTCAGTCAGTTTTATGATATCGGGGTCTGGTTTCTCTTCTGCCCGCATTTTTAAATCGGAATTACTTGATTCGTCGCGAATATTTAGTGCTCTAGACCCTGCCATTCTTTTAAACTTTAAAACCATTTGAGTAATTTTGCATTAACTACCTTAAAGTTAATTTATTTATCAAAAAAATATAGTTCATGATTGATAAAACATAATTGTGGCAGGTTACCAAATTATGTTACAATTATCGATTATGGTACAGATTTTTTTTGGGAAAATTTTGTTCCAAATCATGTTACAATTCGATAATTATGTTACATCTGGCAACACTGGTCAAGCTCGATGTCAAAACATAACTTTTGGGGTTATGTCCTAATTCTTCCCTATTTTAGGTCTTTTTTTATTAGTGGCAATTGAACAATATGGATGTTTTTTTGTATGGCGTATAACGTCACAGGTGGTATGCGCAAACTTAACGAAATTGGAGCCGCTATCGATCATACATTGTTTTCTTTGTACCATGAGTGAGGATCGTGTCGCCATGACTGAAGTAATACCACAAAACTTTTTTCGACAACTCGGTATAAAATTCCCAATTGTTGCGTAGCTTTATGGTACCCTATATAAAAGAACTGCTATATTATAAGTAAATGTAGATATACATTACTGGAAAAATTGGTAATATAAGAACATTTGGTAAACATAAATAAAAATTGTATATTTTTTTCAGAATTACTATTAAATATAATACCTCCATTTTAAAAATCTGTAATTATATTTTTTGTTGGCTTGCGGTAATTTTACATTTGCTATCATCAAATTGTTGAAGTTTATGAACCATTGATAGTTGAATTAAAATCATTGGCTGTGAATCTTAACATTTTGAAAATTATTTTGATTTCCAAATTAAAGTCTGTCCAAAGGTAGGGTACATATGTCAGTGACAGTTGTTGTCTGTCATTCTAGTTCACAATCATTGGTCCCCTGACATTTTAGGTTAGGTGTCGAATCCTTCTCAGACTCTTTGGACAGACTTTAGTCACATTGGCTTTTCATGACATCTCCCAATCATTAGTAAAATAATGAAACTATTATTTAACTTTCACTATATATAAGTATTTTTTAGTTTAATGTTTTGAATTTATTTTAATAAAATTCTCTTTACACCACATTATAAAAAATTATGTATTAAATACTTTGAATTGCTTTATAATGTACATAGAATAATTTATATGCTGTACAAAATGTAAGAAATATTTTTATATGTAATACTTAAAGTGTTCAATGTAAATAAAAATTTTATTAATTTTTTGGATGTATTAATAAAAAATCGTTTTTTCATTTTTTTTTATTTTTCTTAATTACATTATAATTTCTTCGTCCTCTGAATAGTTTTATAATTTAGTAATAAAAAATATTTTTTTATTATATAATATAGAACATATTTTAAAAAAGAACCATATTGTTTAACCATTAAACTATCAAACAATAAAAACAAAAGATTTATTTAATTGCAGATAAGTAATTACCTTTACACTTATGTAACATATAATTGAAAAATTATAACAATTTAATTTTCATATTCAAATAAAAATTAGTTTTAAAAACTTGTAATACAATAGAAGACACTGTAACGAGATAATTAAAGCTAAGATACAGCTCAGGTAAAATTAAAACCTTTCAAAACACAAATCCATATAAACGTCATCAACCATCCACCATTTTCACCTTTTGCCTTTAAAGGGCGTACAAAACTTATTATTTCTTAGTCAGTTCTTGAAATCGACGTAGAGTTGTCTCATATCAGCAAGCGCCTGTTCGATTTTTTTGGCAAACCTATGACAGTCCTAGAAAAGATGAAAGTACTATGAATTATTGTCTCATTTGGATATTTATTTTTATATGGATTATTGGTTTACAAAATCAAAATTTGATATGATAATTTGGAGCGATCCAAAATGATTGGATTAGTTGGCAAATCTGTCAGGGGATTTTTGGATTAGTGATTGGTACCAAAGGTAAAATAAATTGAAGGACCCAGGGCCTGAACTTTGACATAAAAACGTGACGCTTTCAAAGCAGTGAAAGTATCGATTAACGGAACTCCAAGCAGTCGATTTTGGTATTCTCGTTGCGAATCGTTTTCTGGATACACATTGAGCACATATTGGCAGCATCGTAATTTCGCAGGTATTAATAGGTATTAAGAATATATACTGTCCTCCATTCACGCAGTTGTGCAGCTCTGAACTGTTCAAGAACGCGATACTCTCACTCCATTCAATTGAGTCAAAGTTCAAAACTATTCCGCGCCATATGGAGGCACCAGGCTATCGCGTACAGCCACAGATTAGGTATCCTATAAGTATACAGATAAAAATCTTGTCCCTAATTCGGTAGGAAAATTGTTTTTTATGACGATGTGCAAACGAGTCAAATTTCCTGTGCGCAAAAATAAACTCGCGTAAAATAACAATAAACAGCGTAATAGAGAGATATCGCTAAACCGAATAGCTCGCATGGACGATGGACGTTAATAAGGCCAGGTTATTTCCTTTACGTGAGGTGGTATTAACACTCTTCATTTATAGTTATCGGATAGGAAAGAATTCTGATCGCGTCGCGTCCGCTATTTAAACATAACCTAACTTTGAATTTAAAACTTTGAAATTGTTTTGTTTACTAGGTATTTTAAAACTAAAGGGCTAAAGTGCTTATTTCCAGTGCTTTATTGTTCAACGTCTGCCAGTGGGTTTAGGGCAACAAGCAACAAATTCTCTTAGAAGGGCTAAGTTGTCATCTGCTGTAAACCTAAGACTCTTTATAGGTTCTTAAGTATTGGAAGAGGTGGAATCCATATTTTGGGCCATATTTATTTAATTAAAACTAATCCCAGCTACTTAAATATCAAATTACCTAATAAAACTAAAGCAATAATTCAAAACAATTCAAACATAACCTAAAATAAAAGATCTCGCCGGCCGGCTCCGGTTGTCAAATACCAGCACATGCGCATTTAAGCGTTTATTAATTTAAAAATTGACTCGCGCATATCGTAACCATGATAAGGTACGCGTGAATACTGGATGACGCTATTCGGTTTTCCGATATCTCTCTAATAACTGTGCCGGTCAGGCGCTGTGCACAATTTTAGAGGCCATAAGTGGGCGTGCTATGTGCGCAAACTAGTCACCTAACTAGTGCCCGATTCCGAAAATTGGAACCACGAAAAACAATAAAGAAAAAACAAAGATTATAATCTGTATAATCTGTGGTAGAGCTTCTTTCAGAACCGTTCTCGAGTAGCCCAGGGCGTAAAGCTCTGGAACTTGAAATTCGCGAATGGAGGACAGCAATAGTTTACTAATAGTCAAATGTGGAAAAAACGAAAAAAATGTAAATGTGTTACGTGAATTTCATAAACTATGTTATGTGCATCATATGTGCATTTCATTTTTTCTATGGATATGTCATTATTCTTATTATACGAGGGAAATGTTGAAGATACTTCTCAGCATTTTCGATGTTTTGAACAATATGTATAGCTGCCAAGTCGTAAATTATCAATTACTTATTGATGAATTACTTATTGAGAAGAAGAAATAGTTCTCACTAAAGAGGAAGGGAACGCACAAAATCACATTTTTTTCTTTTTTTTACTGACAGTTCGACAAGCAAAACGACCCTAAAAGAAAGGGGAACACATACAGTCTTAGGGCTTTGACAAAAGTCAGTATCTGAGACGGCTTCACAGAGGCTAGCTCCCCATCTCCGAAATATATGACAATATGATGAACAATGGTTCGTAGGTACACATTTTGACAGATAATGTAAAAAAATAATTATCCATACTAACCGTTGTAGGACAGCTCTTTTTATTCGATATATGGAAGAACAACAAGTCTTCGCCTGCAATGATGTAGGAGACTCCATAACCGTCGTCGGCTACCGGCCCGAAACCCCCTCCCGCCGATATGCACTTGGGGTGTTTCTTCAAGTCCAGCTTTTTCGTCTGACCGTGAGGCGTCTGGGAAGTGGATAATCTCCACGGTTCGCTCATAACTTCCTTTATGAACGGCGAATCTACTTCGAGATACTTCGATACGACATACAAACAAAATATGTGTCGATCTATGCCCTTTCCGCACATAGCGTCCTTATAAGCCCTCTAAAAAAGTATTTGGGTTAAAGGCCAGTCCAATTTGAACTACTACTATCAACATAAATTTAATAACTAAAAAATGCTACTTCCTAGTAACATCCTATTATATCTGTCTATAATCTACTATCTCTATAACTTCCTAGTTATACTTCAACTCCGCCTTTTGTAATAATTTATGTTAATTGTTGCAGTCTTTGGCTGCAATAAAGACATTTATTATTATTATACCATTCTGGCCATCGTAAAAACGTGGTTTAGAATTTAACGTGTATGAGAGTGATTTAAACAGCTTAATGGAAAATCAAATGTATTAAAAAGAGATAAAAGTTGAGTTGATACATTTTTTATTTGCATCAAAATTTCAAACTAACAACGCACAAGTAGGCGTTTATGAAAAACGTCGCATCTAGGATTCACAATATGTGAAATCAATTTCAAATGTGTCAAATGAATCGTTAAACAGAATTGTCAAGGATCACCACCCTAGAGATTTCTTTCCGTCGCCCATGCATGAGTACATGGATAGCATTATACTTATTCCTTACTATTTTTATTCAAAATACAGCTGTAATAGACTATATTTAGCTTAGGTATATTATCTTCATTTCAATAGTATACATCGAAGTTTTATAATAGTTTTTTTTTCTTACACACATTTTTCTACACAGATAAAAACCAGCAACATTGTGTGCCTTTTTTATTTTGTCTCTCTGTTTGTCAACCGGTCATTTATATTTATCTCTGTCGCATGCGTTAAAATACAGACCACGCAAATGAAGTGAATAGGCAAAAAAACGAGAATCACTCACAAAGATTCAACAACAACACAATATTATACAAAATAATGACTGACATATAATTGTCAAATAATAAACGACGACGTTGCTGAACACGGTGCAATGTGACCAACATAGCGATAATAAAATTCGGTTTAAACTAATTTTTGCAGCTTTAATCTAAATAAACTATCTGTTACAATCATTTGCTCTATAAAGTAAAATGAAGAGCTACTCGGTATCTTAAATTATACAACAAATTTAAACATTTTTGACAACATTTAATTTAGTCAGGTTTATAGTGCCAATTTCGATATGACTGATGACGTGCATCGGAAAATGTTTTGCGATTACCGTAGAGATTTTGTACCATTAAGATATTACTCTCTCCATATCTTGATATACAGGGTCGCTGTTATGTACGGAAAAGGTGGATTATTAAGTAAACTATACAAGGTACGGCAAAAAGTTAAATACAAAAATTATAGGGTTGTATTGTATAATAGCGGTATCACAGTTTCGGCAGAATGGCATCGTTAAATGAAACTGAACATACAGAAATTAGTTAAATTGTTTAAGTGATATTTTCAAAAGTCAATAACTCGGAAACGGTTGGTTTGAGGTACATTGTGTTTTTCGATTTTTGAATTGAAGGAAGACTTGAAATATGCGGTAATATAAGGGGGTTCTATTTAAAAAAATGTAACTTTTGTGCCACGACTTTATGACCGGCCCTGTATACTTAAATGTATTACTCGCTAATAGATATTTAAAAATCCTGGAACTTTTGCATTTAACTTTTTGCGGTAGCTCCTATATTTTACCTAAATTCGACCGTTTCCATACATAACAGCCACCCTTATATTGATAATGTTATTATCAATTACCTACCTGATGATTTGCACAAGCAATTTTCAACAATTTGATTTTTTCTTCTATACTGTTACTTTTGTCCTCCATACCTTTGACCCAAGCCACTGATTCCTGCGAGCACGGTCTTACCGTTTCCGTTCTGCCTTCCCTAAACATACGGGTCATTGCCGCTTCGTACGTCAGACAAAACTTGCCGGCATCCCTGAAATAGGCTAACTGAAGTGCCATCTGTATGTACGCGTCCGGACTTAAATTGCAACTTTTCATAAAACCTACGTAACATAGTCATTTATAAAAACTTAAATGTTTTTTTTTGGAACCCAACCAAACCTTTTCCATAGTTGTCGTGAACATAGATTCTCAAGTCAATATCGTTTATAAGTATATTTGCTATGTGTAAACTTTCTTCAATAGCGCACTGACAAGATTTTGGTATGTCCCAATTTAGTCTGTTTGGAGGCGGTGGAGTGAATTCAGGATTTCCTAAAGCATTTCCTCTATGATCAAATCTATAAGTACAATAGAATATCATGTAAAGATAAACAATTTCATTTCCTTAGGAAACATAAGAAATATATGCATTATTTAACTGAATTCAATTCTAATTCAGACACAATATATTAAAATAATCTAATTTGAATTTTAATGGAAATTGCAGGTAAAAGGTCACAAATACTGTTGACATCTTTTTATTTCTCTGAAATATGAATTTTTATATAGCTCATTAAAAATAATTTATTAAAAAATACCGTATACCAATCTATTTTTCCTATGTTTCCAAAAGATCTGTATTATAGCAGTGATAAAGGTAAGTATACTATAATTATAATATGGTTATGCTGGATATGTTAATGATTATATAAAATAGTAATATCATAAATAGATACGGATATTTACAAAAAATTTGGGTTTCTAAATGATAATAATATGTTTTTAAACGCCATTTTTTAAATATACTAAACAACCTATATAGAGATGAGATTTTTTTTTTACATCACTATTTTAAAATCGCAATCGCAACCTGCAATTGACTCTCATAGGACATTGCGATTGCGATTTCTTCTATTTGCGAGTTTCAATTTAGGCAACCAGTAGTACTATAGCTGGGATTTGCGACATTGTTGCGATTTGCGACTTTGCTGCGATTGTGATTTTGTAAACTGGGACTGTGATTTCTATCAGCGAGTTTGAATTTTTACGAGTTGCGATTTGCGATATTGCTGCGAATGTAATTTTGTGTTCTATTGAAGTATTTTATAGTAAACTGCGATTGAATTTTCTCTCTGATATTATTTATTTATAGAGAAGGTATTATTTTCTAGGATCACGATTAATAATATACCGGGTGTTTCACAAGAGTGGTTCATCTCTATAACTTTTTTATTTTTTTTTTCTGATAAAAAAGCCAGATTTGTTATTATTACGTTTTTCGTCGGTTCCGTGTGGATAGAAAGTCACAATTTATTTAACACTAATTAACAAAAACAATAACGATAAAAGACTTAAACAACTATTTACAAACGATTTATAACTATTTATCTAGAAATAATTTATTTTGAATTTAGCGCGTCAACTGTACTCGTCTATTTATTTCTGTCCTCCTCAGGCTCCAGCCGTCGGATTTTATACCCACAGCTAAAGAGTTTCTCGAATAATCCATAGATCATTAGGTGCATAGAGAAGGTTTCGAATGTTCTCGTATGTACTACTCCATTCCAGTGGAACTCGTTTTTCCTCGAACGTTCGAATGAATCATTACGGTGTCTATTCTTTAATGCGATGTTAAGGTCATCTGAGGGCGGGACATATAGTTAGGTTAGGTCGAGTCCATACGGATCCGCAACATTATGTTAGTATATGACATAAATTAGAGATTGATTGACATATTCAACTGTTTTCAGTCACTTCCTGTCTCACCGGAAATGACTACAAATTTTGATTTTTAAATGACACCCTCGGTATTTTTTTACTTTATTCGCTAGAAAATGACACTCTGAATAGAATATGACATATCATATGGCAACTTTTGTCATTTTCGCTTAAAAAAATCGTATTTTAAATTTCAATCTAGAATGTCATGGCTGTGTTAAAAACACTAATTTTAATCAAGACGCCTTGGAAAAATAGATTTGATCGTCTATTGTTTTTCGCGTCTTGTTCTGGCCAGTTAAAAGATGCCCAAATCGTATTTTTAATCATATCTCAATTTGTTCAAATGGAACGAGGATGGCTCATTGGCATACTTAGAAAAAGCATTTTTTTAGGAATAATTTGGTTTGGTAAATATTAAAATCGCAATCGCAGGTTACAGTCGCTGCGATTTCAATTGCGATTGAAGTATCGCAATTTTGCTCATCTCTAAACCTATATATTGTAATTACATATACAGGGTGGTACGAACTGTATTCCGGAAACTTTGGCAGCATATTCTGCAGATCAAAATAAGTAAAAAAGTTCGTATACATCTATGTCCTAAAATTCTTAGTTTCAGAGATACAGGGTGTAGAAGTTTCATTTTTATTTCGATTTTTTCCAAATAATTTTTGAAGCAACGTCAATATTTAGATGAAAATTGGTGTCTGGGAGTTTTTTGACATAAGAAATTTGATTTTGATGTCAATTTGACTCCTACTTGTAGAGGGCGCCACCTACACGTTTTTTAGCCGTTTTGAAGACTAATAACTTTTCGTCCGTACCTGTATAAAACTACTGAGTTAAAAAATATACATTCACTACGTTTTCTACGTAAAAAAGGTCTTTTGGTAACAATCGCTACGAGTAATTGTTCTCGAGATATTTGGAATCGAAATTATCATTACCTCTCATCATTGGCATCTACTCTCAGCATGTTTATCTTTTGTCAATAATGACATGTATTGACTATTTCCATTCTAAATATCTTGAGAACGGTTGCTCGTAGAGATTTTTCCCAAGAAACATTTTTTAGGTAAAAAATCACGGAAATTTTTTACTTATTTTGATCTGCAGAATATGCTGCCAAAGTTTCCGGATAAATAAACTTCATCTTGTCATCACATTTCTAAGCATGATTTACAATTTATTAAGCACCGATCACTAGTTCCTTTAATTTTTTTATCACTATATGTACATCTACTTTACATACTCATTAACTTATCCTGTACAGTATTCCCATGTACATTTTAGCTAATAGAAACTTCTGCAAATATTATTACTGATAACAAAATTATTTTCTTACGTTAGTCACTGCTATAACTTTAATGAAATATTTATTAGTTATAGTTAGAATATTAAAGTGCATGCAAAATGAATATTATTTACATACAAATAACATAAATACATATATTTCTATTAAAATATATGTAATTTAAATATTTTTTTTATAATTTCATAATTTGGAATTTAAATAAATAGCTGGAAATAAAAAATATATAAAGCAAAAATATTACCGTATATTTTCGGATTCTTCAAGCAAAATATATTCCAAACAGTGTGCTATAATTGGAGCATCAGACCTACAAAGGTTAATCGAAAATATGTGAAAACCAGCCACCGAAAAAAAGTTAGAAATAAAAAATACTTGTAATGAATTAACGCTAACGGATAGTTAATAATCAAATTATTTGGGAGGATATAATCAATCAACAAATAAAATGAGGATATAAAACATATATGCCATAACCATCCAGGAAGCAAGCAGCTAGCTACTGATAAGAGCAGATTACACTGATGTTAAACTAGATAAATTACCGAGGTTCGTAAGATTCTTCAGTGATCACCCACTCCCACAGATGTGACATCACTGCAGCGTCTCCCCTATATATTTTCGTCATTAAAAATATAAACGTTACAACATATAAGTATATATAAAATCACTAAAGTTCTACGTCCCTCTCAACATATAAGTATATATAAAATCACTAAAGTTCTACGTCAACTCGCATACCCAAGAATGTTGCAGTTTGTTGTCCCTTAATTTTAGTGGCAGCTAAACTAAAAAAGTTTATTTTTATGGTTTATTTCAAAGTTTGATTGTTATTTGTTTTTTTTATTAGCACGTTCTTAATAGTAATCAGAATACTAGATATAATAATAGCTCCCGTACATAGCGTTTAACGCCTTGTGAGTAGCAAGGTACAGCTTTCCATGCTAGAGCCGTTCGGTATACAAGGAAGGTAATGTGGCTAGCACTACGCTTCAACCGCCTATTATTACCTCAGGATTGTGAATCCCAAGTACTCATTTAAGGCTGAGTCGGCCTAGGTAACCAAACTATTTTTATTTTATTAAAAATAGTCGGATGATGAAATGCCGGGTGTAGGATTCGAACCCACAACCTTGAGATTGGTAGACGAGAGCTGTACCTCTATGCCACCGGGCACCTTACTAGGTACGGTCACAAATTAACTATAACAGATGCGAAAGAACACCGAATTCCGTGTTCAGGTTTCTGTGACCTTCAGAAAGAGTTCATAGACAATCCGCATCAATGTATAGTTTGGGTTATTATTTGTTTGGGTGAAAATAATCTGCACCAATATGTTATCGAGGCATATAATCTCACAGTAATTTAATAGATTACTCGTCATATTATATCCGTTCGTAGATTAGGAAAAAAAAGATATTTATAGTATAAAAAATTAATTTATTTAACAAAATTTAATGTGACAAAATAGTTACTTTTCTATATGGTTTTATTGGACTTTTTTCGACTATAATATAAACTTTAATGCATAAAATATTGTCAATCTAATAAATAATTTAATGATGTAAATAAGAGGAAATTTCTCACATGGTTGGTCAAATGCTATAGTTTTCATTATATCAAACAGCCTCTGAATGTGTTCTTCAGTGCAAAACTCATCAAAATTTAATATAAATAATTTTTCCAGCCTGTAAATAAAATGAACAAATTTTTCCACTTTCATGCTCAAAGGCTTTTAAATGGGTAAATAATTTCGAGTTATCCAGAGATTCGGATTCTTTTGCAAATTTTAGACAAATATCACATTGATGTATTTGAAGACCCTTTTTAATGATGTAGTCAAACATAATTAAAGGCATTTTGAGTTGAAAACATTTCTCAGAGGCTGTTTGATATAATGAAAACTATTTAATATGACCACCCATGTGAGAAATTTCCTCATTAAATGATTTATTAGATTGAAAATATTTGATGTATTAAAGTTTACAAATAAAGATTTATATAGTCGAAAAAAGTCCGATAGAACCAATAGAAAGGTAACTATTTTGTCACATTGTTAATTAAATTTTGTTAATTAAATTAATTTTTTATACTATAAATATCTTATTTTTCCATATAAATAAACACATTTGTATCCCATTTTAAATAAGATATACAAATTACCAAAACTTAGAAATAACAGTTCAAAAGTTCAACAAAAATCCTACACGCGTTTTTAAAAAGAAACATATAACCACGCACTATGTCACTCCAGCAAGCGAATACGACACAGCATGGGTTTCCGGACTAAACGACTGGTGTATTTACACCACTCAATAGGCGTGTCGGGCTTGCCGAACGGTTTCCGATGCAGTCGCTTTCTTTCGGATCTGTTATAGGTAATTTGTGGTATGGTATAGTAGATAAAGTAAGAATAAGTGAAATGAATACCGAGTTTTGTGTGTTTTAGTGTAGGTTGTTTATTCTGTTATGATTTAATATTTACTAGAGATTTAAAGTTTGTTTAAAAATTAAATTCAAATATTTTTATTTATGAAAATATATGATACTTTAATAAAAAAAAATTTGATAAGCTACTAGATCCTAATTTTCACTGCATTTTGTTCAGAGTGGTAAAACTATCCAGAAAGATTTTTATATACTATTTTTGAATTCAAATATTATATTTTGTTTATTTTGAGAAAATTATGAATTAAATTGTTCCGCTGAGGAAAAGTTCATGTAATTTGTTTTAACACTGTTTTAACATGATCCCGTTTAAAATGTTCATGTAAGTCATCTTTAAACCTACTGACAATATTGCACATAGGGCATTTTTTTCTAATATTTTGTACAGGGATATTGGTATTATTTAAACCATCGCCCAAAACAGTTCTTTTATTATCCCTCAATCAAGGATATTAAGATCAAATTTTCCATTCTTAAAGAGTACAAATAAAGACACAGTCAAAGTCTATGCACCATAATTACTAATATCCTGGATGACAATGCTTACACTTGACCCTGCCTCACTTCTTTGATAATTTGGTCAATTACCTTGTGCCACATGTGCGTGTGATTTTAATTGCCATGCTAAACTCTTCTTTGTACTAAAATGTTTATTACAAAATTCGCAGGTGAATGCATATACTTTAGTTTTCAAAGGTGCTATTCCCTCTATCTGATTCGGATAAAATTTTTTAACATGTTTCCGAAGCACACTAAAACACACAAAACTGCGATTACATTCGCAGCAACCACTGCTATTAAAAATACTGGTATTCATTTCACTTACATACGGTATATGTCTTGTATATGTAAACCGTTCATAAAATAAGGCGACAGCAAACGGCAACATTGTTGGATATGCGAGTTGACTAGTGGGACGTAGAAGATAGTTATAAAATCTATTAGAATAAAAATGCTTACCAAGAATGTTCAGCATTGAAGCCCAATCTTCCGTTGTTGCCTATGCATAGGGTAAAGGATTTGTCAAACCATCTATCATAACCTTTACCATGTAAAAGCACTTTGCCATAATTATCCAATTTAGAGGGATCTTCCTTTAATATAAAATGGCATTACTAATATTACTTTCAATTTTAATTAGAATATACCATATCAAACTCGTACGGAAAGTCGTCTAAAACAACTACAAAAGCCGCTCGTTCAATGGCGTCCAGTGACAGTCTATTCACACCTTTCGAAAAGTAGGATTGTCTCACTTTAGCCCAATGTCTGCGTAAACCAGCTGTTAAGGCGGCTAATTTTTCTTCGCCCTCTTGCGGTTCGGATGTATCTTTCAGAATTTGCTCTATTTGCCTAGAAACGTTTAAGATAAACTACCAGATTAGCAAAATGGCGTTACCTTTACATCTGAATTTCCGCCGGTCTCAATATCCTTCCTTTGTGATGAATGATCACCTTAAAGTATCTACCTTTGTGATAAACAGCTATGTGATTGCTATCGGAAATATGAATGATCTTATCCGCTTCGTCACCCGGTACTCTCGTTGTATTAAATATTCGTTCGTATTGCCACGAGCACAATGGTACCATACCCTGTATTAAAATCGGATCTAGTTCTTGTCTATCCAATAACCTACAGTTAAATAGATATACGTTGTATTTGTTATTCATATAAAAATTATGTTTCGTGGGAGGTCTGCTAGGCACAATTAAGAATCTTTTGCAGCTCAACAGCGAAAAAATAGAATTTGACACATCCCACTAAACAGTCTGACAAACAGATCTGAAACAACGGAGCAACGGTAAGGGAAACGCAGATTTCTAAAAACATGGCCGATTTCGTTCATAAAATATCCTGGGGCTTGCAGTGTTTCATGAAATATATCAGGTATTACTTTATTTTGCAGTAAACTTCATATTATTTTACATTAAACCCGTATCTACATTTTATTTACTATAATTATTATATTGGTTAATATTTTCTTACTATTTTATTCTGTAGATTTTCCTACAGTGGCGAAATACACATAGGACTTTTTTGAAGAGATGAATCCGAAGTTTCGTTCCAACGGAGCGCCGTAGAGAACCGTACTCGGTACGGTAACGCTTATGCGCAATAGAGAAAATGCGTTCCAACCACGAAAGAATCATTTAGTAAACGGTAACTTTTGCATTCCAACAAAAGTTGTCATCATTAGCAAACCGATTCCAGGACCGTAATTTCGATACCAGTCTCAAAGCAAAAATCATAGGGGCTGACCTGCGCGTTAAAGTGTGTCAGCAGATAATTGATGTTCATTTCCAAACCAACTGGACGCCGTTTTTCAATCATACGGTATATTACTTATTTTGAATCCCTTATATAACAAAAATCGTATAAAAAATCTATGTAACCCTTAGATCTAACCAATAACAATAACAAAAAATAAGGTTATGAATTAGATTCAAGTGTAAGGCCACAGCTGCCAGGGCGAATTCTAAAATCGGTTCACAAACCGTTTCAACAGCATTTAATTTTGGTATCTTAACAGAATTGTTCAAGTCGACACATGCGCACAAATTCGATAACCGTTCTAGAAGGGTCCTAATTTCTGCGTTGGAACGAAGCTATTATCTACATTCTGTTTAATTATTTGCTAACTAAATATAGTAATATTATTTATTAAAAAGCGTGTACTAATTATAATAAAACATTAGGTCCCCGAAAGGGGCATAAAATTGGGGTATCACTGGCCAATAAGAAAACGTTATACAAGGTTACCGCCTGGCAACGGAACATGTGAGAATCTCAACCAATCAGATTTGTTTGCAAGGCAGAAAGAAAGATATTAGTTAATTAAATAAATATACACCTAACAATTTAGGTGTATACTATGTATGCGAGAATGAACTAAAAATATATTAAATTTATAGGCAATATATTTTTTGTCAGCATTCATTTTGCTGCTTAAGATCCGTTTGTCAGAAAAATATGTTTCTTCTCTCAAAAAAATCCTATATGGGTATTTCGCCACTGCAAGAAAATCTACAAAATAAAATAGTTATTTTTTGTAAACACTTCTGCGTTAATCCCAAACGGAAACTACTTGTCAGAAGTTAGGTTTGCAGATATACAAATTTGCCTAACAAACAAAAAAATGCGTAACGTTTCGGAAAGTTTATCTCTTTCCGTTGTCGGAAGCAAAAAAAATTCAAAGAATACAGAAAAAACTATTTAAAATATTTAAATTCAACTATTCGAGAACACTTTAGTTTTTTAAAACAGATACGTCCTACAAAAACCGTTAACGTTCTGTTAAAATACCCATATAGGATTTTTTGGAGAGATGAATCCGCCACATATGTATAGACATTTTTTAATATGTTTCTTATTAAAACACCATTCAAATACATTATTTATTTTTCACCTACCTCCTGAATCTCAGTAACGAATTGATAATAGAAGCGGCCCTTGCGGCCTGATTACTGGTTGGATGTAACATTATAGCATCAATTCCATAGAAATTCGAATTAATCATCAGCGGGTACCTCCCTCTCAAATACACGTACTCTTCCCACCAATCGGATACATAGTTCGTCGACCACCATGACTTTAATATAATGTACCGCTGCAATTTTTTTCCGATGCCGTTTTCAAATTCATCGGCTAACTTTACCATTTTCGTATATGACTTATCATCCAGTAAAGGACGAACACTTCTTAAGTACTAATAAAATTAAAAAAAAAAATTGGTATATAAACATTTAAAATAGGAAGGTTTTAAATACCGAATGTTTTTCAAAAGTGGCTCTTCCCCACTCTTCCCTATAACTTTTTTTTTATTTTTTAGATAAAAAAATGAAATTTGGTATGTCATCAATCAGAATTTTATTCAATTAGTTTCAGTCACTTCCCGTTTCACCGGAAATGACTGCAACTAGGGAATGCAATCCCGCACCAAAATCTCAATCCCGCAAACCCGCGGGATTAAAGCAATCAATCCCGCGGATCCGCAAAATTGCGGGACTGTAAATAATAGTCATACATTTGGTCCTAAATGGTACAAAAGGCATTGTACATTTTGCATAGGCCCACAATATATTGATATAGCGTGTATCTTTAACTAGCTGTACAGAAATTTGGACCGATGTATAGAGTGTTCAAAAAATATATTTAATATTAAATAAACTTAAATTTTATTATATTTTTCTACTTATTTTATAAATAAAAATATTATTCTGTGGTTGAAGTTTTTTTAACTTTTGTTGGTTATCTGCTTTTAGATACACTCTATATCAATAATTTTTTGGCATATGCAGAATGTACAAAGCTTTTTGTACCATTTAGGACCATACGTATGACTAAAAATGCATATTTTTCGAAAAATCGTCGTATTTTCCTAAAAACAAAAAAAAATAAAAAAAACATCAAATCGATCAAATTGTTTTTTTCTAATTTCAATGCAGATTAAAATTTCGATTTTTTAAAAATTGTAAATTTGCGGTAAAAAGATTCTTGGCCAAATTTTTACCCTCTTATAAAACACCCTGTACATAAGAATTCACTAAATATATTTTTGAAAACCACACAGCATCTTAATCACAATAGATGCATCTAAAACCTGGTCCAATCCGCATCCCAAAATCTTTTTTAGTCCAAGAGATATTCAACTTTAAATTTACCCGTCAGTTTTTATGTCCGGCAGTTTATTTGACGAAATTGTCCACAAGTACTAGTTAAACGCTTTTCTTCACTTACGCATATACGCCAGAAAGAAATCTCACAACTAACCCATGCAACTGCAACTAACCTGTTTCACTTATTTTTAATGGCCAAGCCGTAAGGGGAATCCCTCGGGTTCCGAGCGTCGACGCATCGGCCCGGAACGAAGCGGTTTGATCTTGATTGAGATCGATTCGGTTACCCAGTAATATGTCGATCCCGCAGATCCCGCACGGTAAATCCCGCAACTTTGATCCCGCGGAATCTCAGAGGGATCCCGAATTTGCGGGATTGCATTCCCTAACTACAACTTTTGATTTTTAAATGGTATCCTTGATATTCTTTTACTTTATTTGTGATAGAAAATGACATTCTGAATAGAATGTCATGTCATATGTCAACTTTTAACATTTTCTATTAAAAAATTAGTATTTTAAATTTCAATCTTAGACTGTCAAGCATAGAGAAATATAAAATAAAAGAGATGTCATTTCCATAGTCAAAAGTAGGCAACGATAGTAGCAAAAAAATCTACAAAATAAAATAGTTATTTTTTGTAAACACTGCCGCGTTAATCCAAACGGAAACTAGTTGTCAGCAGTTTGGTTTGGTTTATATATACGAATTTCCCTAACGAACAAAAAAATGCCTAACGTTTCGGAAAGTTTATCTCTTTCCGTCGTCGGAAGCAAAAAATATAAAGAATAAAGAAAAAAACTATTTAAAATATTTAAATTTAAATATTCGAGAATACTTTAGTTTTTTTTAAACAGATACGTCTACAAAAACCGTTGACGTTCTGTTAAAGTGACATTATATCAACTTAAACTTCAAAATTAACAATTACTACCTGATAACAATTACTTAATAAGGTAAAACCAAAAAGCTCCAAACTTTCTGTATGATTATTTTTAATTTTTACGTATTTTATGTTTATTTATGTTATGTTCTTTAAAATCAAAGAAGCGATTGCCATACATTACTAACATCTACAGATGTATGAGCAATACATTTATTTTTATTAGATTGTATTAAAAAAGCCTCTTTTATTTTTCTTTTAGAAGCTGTCGCTTCTTTCATTATAATTTTAGCGTTATTAAAATTTATTCTGTGCCCTGTGTCCCATGAATGCTGACATATCTTAGATTTGTGAAAAATCTCCCTTTCTTAAATAATCTTTATGTTCTTCAATTCGAACATTTAAGGGTCTAGATATTTCACCAATGTATATTTTGTATATTACATTTTTTGTTTGTTGTTCTGGTAATCTATTCTAATTAATTTTATTAATTATTTATTTTATAATGGAAACATAAAAAACACATAACACACGACATAAAGTTCAAATCATAGGGAAATATAAGTCTGTGATATAAGTTTCTCCAAAAATTCTCTACGCACAAAACAAATAAACTATGGAGGGTAGTCCATAAAATAAACAAAGAATACAGCTATCATGTCAATTGTTAATCTTGTCATGACGTAGTCATGTGACAGGTAGCAGGTGGCGACGCTCTGGAGCCCTAACCGTACTATGCAAAATTATGGTCAAGTTAGACAAATTTTCAAACACTCGTTTATTTTAGTTTCTCTACGCCGAAAATGTCAAAAGTTGACATATGAGATGTCATTCTATTCAGAATGTCATTTTCTATCGAATACAGTTAAAAAAATACCGAGGGTACCATTTAAAAATCAAAAGTTATAGTCATTTCCCGTGAAACAGGAAGTGACCGAAAATAGTTTTATATGTCAATCTATTCTAATTTTTGTCATATACTAACATAGCAAATCTCGTTTATCTAAAAAAATAAAAAAGTTATAGGGGTGAGCAACTTTTGAAAAACACCCAGTATAGATTTCAGAGAGGACGTTTAGGAATCCTAGTCTCTCGCAAGTATATTTAATTTTAATAACACTTCTACTATGGTCTATCCATCAAAATAATATATGACAGGGAACGGGGGCAATTGCTGTCAAATCTTATTATAAAGCACTGTTCAGCCATTTTTTAATATCACCTGTCAAAAGCATATACCGGGTGCGTCTCAAAAGTGGCTCACTCCTATAACTTTTTTATTTTTTCAATTAAAAAAACGAGATTTGGTATGTTAGTATATGACATAAATTAGGATTGACTGACGTATTCAATTGTTTTTGGTCACTTCCTGTTTCACCGGAAATGACTACAACTTTTAGTTTTTAAATGGCACCCTCGGTATTTTTTTACTTTATTCGATAGAAAATGTCACTCTGAATAGAATGACATATCATATGTCAACTTTTGACATTTTCGCATATGGTTTATTTGAAATTATAACATGCGGTTCATAACAAAAATTTGACTTGAAATACCAAGCGTGTGGTATCAAATTATTCGTAAAAAAATGATTTTTCCAAATATGCTAATGAGCCATTCTTGTTGCATTTGAAAAAATTGATATATTAATATTAAAAATACGATTTGGGCATCTTTTAACCGGCCAGGACAAGACGCTAAAAACATTAGGCGATGAAATCTATTTTTCCATGGCCCCTTGATTAAAAATTAGTGTTTTTAACATAGCAATGGCACTCTAGATTGAAATTTAAAATACGATTTTTATTAAGCAAGCATGTCAAAAGTTGATATATGATATGTCATTCTATTCAAAATGTCATTTTCTATCGAATAAAGTAAAAAAATACCGAGAGGGCCATTTAAATATCAAAAGTTGCAATCATTTCCGGCGAAACAGGAAGTGACCAAAGACAATTGAATACGTCAATCAATCCTAATTTAGGTCATATACTACTATACCAAGTCTCGTTTTTTTATCTGAAAAAATAAAAAAATTATAGGGGGTGAGCCACTTTTGAGACGCACCCGGTATACTTTTGCCAGAGAGACAACTGACATTAATTTCAGGCTACTTACTCTTGTCATGGTATCGTGTAGAGACGGTAATGGCAATCTCGGTAATGAACTCTGATAACTATATAATTTTGGTGTGTTCCATCCCTCGATTATGCTAACAAAAACGGCCCAAATTCTTGTAGCAAGGGATGGTTTGCTACCTTTCACTTGAGATTCGTACATCCATCCTTTGTACATAAATAACATTTTCAGCGAATAGCGTAGAAAGTAAACGGCAGAAAGCCAGTAAGAAAGAGATGTGATTGTACAGGCTCCAAGTTGCCAATAAAGTGTCTGTCTAAAAATATATATAAATATATATTTTAAAATATGTTTATATTAATAAATATTATAATACATTTTTATTGTTTAACGTTTTAAAAAATGTTCAAACTATAAGATGCTGTTACAGAATACTAAATTTCTTTAATTGCAAACATTCTTGTCTATAGTATACAAATACAAGCAACATTGCATTTAGTCTGCCTTGGTATACAGGGTGGTGACAATTTCGATGCTCAACATTGGCATCTCAGAAAGTACGATAGATACGAAATCGGTTAAATGGGACAAAAGTTGCGTAATTAGAAGTTTGTAGTGTTGTGTTTGCACCTATGAAGAAAACCCCGGTATCTTGATTAGTTTCGGATTTATGTCAAAAAAATGAAAATAATGCGTTTATTTTAAATGAGAATATCTTCAGAACTATTGTATCTATTGCAACGTAAGTTGGTAGTTTTATATTTTTGACCCAGGCAAATTAAATGCCGTTTTCAGAAAATTTCTAAGCCTTCTAGATTTCGCACAACAGACAAGTTTTTGTTTTCTTATGACCGCCATTTTGAATTTTTATACTATTAGATAGAGCAAAAAATAATCTATACGGTGGTATCTAATTTTTGTCCCTTATTATGTAAATTCACCCAAAAAATTGGATTTTTTTTTAAATTCGTTCAAAAGATCAAGTCTGCCTTGGAAATCCAATTGACACTTTATATGACAGCAAGTTAATTTTGGTTTACTCTATTAAGTATCAGATCTGGACACAAAAAATTATAGTAGATAGTGTAACAGCGCTTTCAGATGGAGCGGACCGTCCGCGACTTCGTGCAAGTACCATGAGTTTATATGAACAATTCCACATGGGCGCGTATGCTTCGTCCGACGGAGTAGGCTATCTTAAAAAAAACCGCTCCATCTGAAAACGCAGTAAAGTGTATTACAATATGTTCACAAGTGAGGAAACTCGAGATATGTATGATGTTAACTTAAAAAGTAATAGAAATTCCGATATGGCATGCGCAAGTTATAGAATCATTTCTCATCGTACTATTTTATTTTCGCAAGAATTTCAAGAAATTTAGCAGTTGCTGGTAGATTTTAAAAACAAGAGAGCACTATTTTAAAAAAGCTTATGATATTAATGTACCAGCTTAGATTGAGATAAATCCGGTTAGGTTAAGTTCTAGTTGTAAAATAAGTCGAAAGTGTTGTGTAAGTGATTCTTATGTAGGGAAAATTCAAGGACTGTATATATTCTAAAGGACTGTTCGATCGCGTCAAATCGCCGCTGTCGTAGTCGCCGTGGAATGCTACGTCACGCGCTGACCAGCGCTCCACAGTGCGGCGGATGGTTATTCTAGCGGGACAAAATCTCAAGAGCAATGTTTGGGATTTAAAATCTAAGAACGTAGCAAATGGTCTAATATATAGTAACTATATGGTTAAATTTATTTATTTATTAACAACTTAATTTATTAATAAATAAATACAAGATAATAAAACTATGATATTATTCGTACATGACACACAAAAACCGTATTGTAAACTATTGCCAAATACATAAAATTATGATATCAAAAAACTCTTTAGCAGTTTTTTTTTAAATTAATTTGTAATCTTGTGACACTATAATTATAATGTGACTTCTATAATTTATTTTAAAAAAATATATTTTATTTTGAAAATAATAAATAAGATAGATATTTTAATTTTAATTTTAACACTCGGTAATTGTAAATTCATATATACTCGTAGTAAGTCTCTAAGACAATTTTTTAAACTCAGTGCCTTTTGATGGAGTTGTTTTGTTTTTATACTATCCGATTGAAATGAATCTTTTTTGGGCATTCACCTGTTAAGCTTGAACTCCCTGTGACTGTGACTACCTGTGTTGGTAACTATTGGTAACTCAAAAGATCTACATCATTCAATATATCGATATTTGAAAAAAAAAGTGAAAGTTTGATATCTGCAGAACAAAGGCACGAAGGATTTTAACAAATAATATACGTACAGTAGAAAAGTACATACCTTTGGCAATCTTCAACATAATTTGGCTTTCTAATAAAATGTATAAGTACTTGTAAATATTTTGTTTTCGTATGATCTCTGCCTTGCTGAGCAGAAAACGACCAAATTTGGTTGATAAAAATGTATCGAAATACAAAGAATATTTATGCATTTTTGTATCAATTGGAATGTCTACTATTTATTCTTATCAGTACACATTTTTTGGCTTATTTCTAACCAAACGCTTTTGTTCCGCTAAATTTATCTTCCAACGCACTGTGTCACGTCCGGGGTTTTCTTCCTAGGTGTTTGTCAAACTTCTAATTACGCAACTTTTGTCCCATTTAACCGAATTCGTATCTCTTCCAGTTTCTGAGATGCCATTGTTGAGCATCGAAATTGTCACCACCCTATATAGTATGTAATTGGCTTTATTTTCAATAAAATAAATATAAGCCAAGTAACGTGGTCGAGAGCTTAAAAATGTATGTTGACAGTTGGTTTTCAAAACATGTGTATTTACACTTCCGTGTAGAGCAGTGCCTCGCGATTCCAAAATTATTAATCTTCTTATTGACCTCCCTAACCATAGACTTAAAATAAAATATAGACTACACTATTTACATCTCAACGCGGACAAACAACCTTTTTTGTACACATGTTTACTTCTGGGTACAGTCGACCGAGCCTTCCTCATCCAGCCTATGTTGTCACGTCTTTAATATTATCAATATTTTTTTTCTTGTTATACACATATATTGAGATATTAATACTACAGTTTAATAAAGTAGGTTTTAATATTCCAGAGATGTATTAAATAGTCCTTATACTACTAAATTATAAGTCGGATACTGTTTAAAAAGGATAAGTTCTTTACAATATGACAACACCGATTAGAGGCGAGGGAGCCTATTCATTCATTTATTACCTTGTAGTACGTGTCGCACGTGTGCGGTAAAGCTTTGTTGCCGCTATCTCCCCGGCTGTATTAACGCATTTTCTTAGCTTGTAGTGCTTAAGTGTTTATTTTATTGACTTTTTCTGTTCAAGAACTATAAAATATGGTTCGCCAGTGCCAAATTTGCAAGAAATTTGACTTAAATAATCCATTTAAGTCTTGAAACGACTTTTGACCGGTAGGCAACTCTCAATTTACCCATTGGGAGTCAGTGGCGTTGTTGTAGAAAGGCGCTTATTTAGATAATATTTTAGTAAAATGTAAAATCTGAATTTTTTCTCTTACATTACATTATTTACTTACTTACATTGTAACAAAATCATAATTATAACCCTGTTAATAATTAATAATGTTTTTATTGAAAATATATTCCGGTTTATTCTAAAATTATCTTCAGAATCTAAAATAACATACAAGAATTTTAAAATGATATTACATTATGAAACAATATTTTTTAATATACCGGGTCGTCTCAAAAGTGGCTTAACCCTATAACTTTTTTTATTTTTTCAGATAAAAAAACAGATTTGTATGTTAGTAGCTATATGACATAAATTAGGATTTATTGACGTATTCAATTGTTTTTGGTCTCTTCCTGTTTCACCGAAATGATTACATCTTTTGATTTTTAAAGGCACCCTCGGTATATTGCTACTTTATTCGATAAAAAATGACACTCTGAATAGAATGACATATCATATGTCAACTTTTGACATTGTCGCTTAAAAACATATCCTATTTTAAATTTCAATCCACTAAGTTTTAATCAAGGAGCCTTGGAAAAATAGTTTTCATCGTCTAATAGGTTTCGTGTCTTGTATAGGCCGGTTAAAAGATGTACAAATCGTATTTTTAATCATACATATGTCAATTTTTTCAAATGGAACAAGGGTGACTCATTAGCATATTTGGAAAAAGCATTTTTTTATGAATATATTGATACCACACACTTGGTATTTCGAGTCAAATTGTCGTTATGAACCGCGTGTTACAATTACAATTAAATCATATGCGAAAATGTCAAAAGTTGACATATGATATGTCATTCTATTCAGAGTGTCATTTTCTATCGAATAAAGTAGAAATATACCGAGGGTGCCGTTTAAAAATTAAAAGTTATAGTCATTTCCGGTGAAACAGTAAGTGACCAAAAACAATTGAATGCGTCAATCAATCCTAATTTATTTCATATACTAACATACTAAATCTTGTTTTTTTATTTGAAAATATAAAAAAAATATGGGGGATGAGCCACTTTTGAGACGCACCCGGTATAATAAAGACAGTACCGAGTTAAATAAATGTAGTTTTTCTTTTATCCACTTCCTATCACCTTCCTTGCTTTAATGGAACAGATTTATGTTTTCTCTAATTTACATAATAAGACATCACGTAACCAGAAAAAAAATTACAACAATCATATTTTTTTTCTCTCCCTGTCGCCGATTCTATTATATCTGTGGAATAGATCCTGTTTTGATTAATATTAGGGGTTGTAAATGTTTGACTAAAATTAATAATTTATTATTAATTTCAAAAATTACCTAATTTCGATTATAAAATTTCTTCTATAACGTGTATTTTATTATTTTTATCCTTTTTGGACTCTAAATTGTTTTTTCTAAACTTTTATTTAAAAAACCTGTCCTAAATCTTAATAAAATATAAAAAAGTTTAAATACGATATATTTTTAATTTAATTATAGCTTCATTAAAATAAAAAAATTACCCGGCTATGATATGGAGAGTTCAGGTGTACTTGAGAAACGAAAGACAGTGTTGTGTTTCTCGGCAGAGTCGTCAGGGAACGACCGTTACGACAGAGACAACCTATCTATCGCTCGTGTCTCACTCGTTATAACCTAAAACAATAACACAACAATAACAAGACAGTGTCTGACCGCATGTTCCAGCTATTTATGAATGAGATGCTCAGTCTATATTTTATTTTAAGTCTATGTCCCTAACAGTGGTATTATAGTCTATCCCACGAGAAGTTATGACAATGACAGATGACAATTGTCTCATTTTAATTCAAATATGATATTGTGTTTTCTGTCATTTTTTGGATGTCGTTTATCGAAATTAATCCATCTCTGGTTTCAAATCGTATAAGTCCCAACGGTTGTACCGACTCAACTTTTGTCTCTTTTTAATACATTTGATTTGTCATTAAGCTGTCTACATCACTGTCTTATACAGTTTCGATGTCCAGATCGGTATATTTCAATAAGATAGAATATATGAGATAAAAAATACTTACGACGGACAGAGTGAGAGAATTTTTGGAGGCAAATTTAAAGGTACTCTTTGCCCATATAAATGCATGGCTGACACTACACCAATTATAAGACAAAGATAGCTATAATGTCCTGGGTATATACCATTATGAAGGTTATTCTGAAACAGAAAAGAAAATAGTTTATAAAAATGATAATATAAACAGCAAAAAACATCTGTAAATTAATATAGTGGGAGTCTGTTGATTGTCTGAAATCCGTAAAGAAAAAAGACATTAAAAAAATTGGTCAGTCTAATATACATATACAGGGTGGTCCGAACTGTATTCCGGAAACTTCGGCGGCATATTCTGTAGATAAAAATAAGTAAAAAAGTTCGTATAAATGTATGTTCTAAAATGCTTAGTTTCGGAGATACAGGGTGTAGAAGCTTAATCTTTATTTCGATTTTTTCCAAATAATTTCTGAAGTAACGTCAATATTTGGATTAAAATTGGTATCTGGTAGTTTTTTGACACGGGAAATTTGATCTTGATGTCATTATGACTCCTATTTCTAGAGGGCGCAACCTACATGTGTTTTAACTGTTTTGAAGAGTAATAACTTTTTGTCCGTACCTGTATAGAATTACTAAATAAAAAAATATACATTTTCGTAATTTTTTACGTAAAAAATGTCTCTTGGTAAAAATCGTTAAGAGCAACCTTTCTCGAGATATTTAGAAGGGAACTAGTCAATACATGTCATTATTGACAAAAAATAAACGTTTAGTAGATAGTTATTTGACTGAAATGATAATTTTAGGAAATTTTTATTTTTTTAAATTAATCATAAAATTTTCTTCGAAAAAATGATGATTGATGATGATTTGGCACCAAACCAAACATTTCTAATTTATGATTTCAGTCTATTAACTATTTAGTCAGCATGTTTAATTTATGCCAATGATGACAGGTATTGATAATTTCGATTTCAAATATCTCGAGAAGTAATACTCGTAGCGATTTTTATTAAGAGACCTTTTTTACTTTAAAAACGTCGAAAATGTATATTTTCTTACTTAGTGGTGTTATACAGGTACGGACGAAAAGTTATGACTCTTCAAACCAATTAAATATATGTAGATGGCGCCCTCTGCAAGTAGTGATCATATTGACATCAAAATCAAATTTCTCATATCAAAAAACTCCCAGATACCAAATTTCATCCAAATATTAACGTTATTTCAGAAATTATTTGGAAAAAATCGAAATAAAAATTAAACTTCCACACCCTGTATCTCCGAAACTAAGCATTTTAGGACATACATTTATAAGAACTTTTTTACTTATTTTTATCTGCAGAATATGCTGCCGAAGTTTCCGGAATACAATTCGGACCACCCTGTATAAGCCAACAAATTTACAAACTATGCTTGAGACTTGACACAATTTCTTAGTTTCTGAGAATTATGTTAAACTATGTGAGCTCAAACACAATGAACACACTATACCGTAGAAATTGTGAGGCATTGGGTAAGGTAGGGTTGCCAACCGTCCTCTATTCCAGAGGACAATCCTCTTTTTGATCTCACTGTCCTCTTTCCTCTCATGCATTGACAAAGTCCTCTTTTTGCGTACCAAACTCAAAATCTAAAAAATATTCGTCTATCGCCGCAATGCTTTAAAAAATTGTTAATCTGTGTCTTTCGCTACTCCCACTCGATTGTACAGAAAAGAATATGAAGAAATATTTATGTATAAGAAATATTCGTGGAAGCGATAAACATGTTTAACTATTTTATGTTTATTTACTGTTAGCTTATGTTTTGAGAAAAAAAGTTTTGTTGAAAATGGTTTGTTTTATTTTATCAAGTTTTGAGTATAAAATTTTTAAGAAAGTAAGAAAGACCATCAATCGCATACCGCTCACATAACTTTTTGGTAAATACTAGACATTTGGGCGAGGGTTCAAAAATTGTTTCGCCGCTTTTTTTACCCTCTCGTCCTTTATTTTTTATTTTAAAAGTTGGCAACCCTAGGGTAAGGTATGGGATTGTTCTCTGAGGAAATTCAGAAACTGGCAAAATATTTGTACTACCGAAAAGAATTTATTGTTAGTTTTTGAATTCATTATTACTTATAACACTTTATTAAGATACTAGCGTGTACCAGCGACTTCGTTCGCGTCGAATTAATCATTTGTAATGGTGATGATAAAGCAAAGCAAGAATTTCCATTAACATACAAACTGGATAAAATTTTCTCACATTTATGTCAGCATGAGAAAAAACAATATGGTGATATTATATATATAACTTGGGATTTGAGGGGTAGTTTCATCTCGTTGGAATTTAACTTTCGAAAAATCCTTTTGCCAAAAATAAGTTTTTTACGTCAAGCAGTTTAAGCAGAATCGTGGTTAAGAAATTACCCAACTTTTTGGAACACCCTGTATTATTTTTTAAAAAAATTCAAAATATGTAAAAAAACCCAATAAAGTATGCTTGTCCAAGCGTTTTCCCGAAAGACTAACCGTTTTTTAAATAACAAATATTGTAATATTTGAGGAGCGTTTTCACCCTCTTTGGAATTTGAGATTCGAGAAACCCCTCCTTATCGAACCTCTACACCCCACAGTCAATCCGTTTGCCAAAAATCAGCTTTAAACGTCAAGCAGTTTAAGCAGAATCGTGATTACTCAATGGTTATATTTTATGAAACACCCTGTATAAATTTATAAAAAGTCTTAAAATATGTAAAACAACAAAATAAAATATACGTGTTTAAGAGTTTTTCCGAAAAACTCACCGGTTTTTAAATAAAAAATATTTTAATATTTGAGGGATAGTTTCACCCCCTTAGAATTCGAGTTTCGAAAAATCCCTTCTTATCGAACCTCTACACCCTAAAGTCAATCTGTTTTTCAAAAATCAGCTTTTTACGTCAAGCGCTTTAAGCAGGATCGTGATTAATCAATGACCAGATTTTTCGAAACACCCTGTAGGTATACATTTTTAAAAAATCTTAAAATATGTAAAAAAACAAAACAAAATATACGTGTTTAAGCGTTTTTTCGGAAACTTGACGGTTTTTTAAATAAAAAATATTGTAATATTTGAGGGGTGGTTTCACCCCCTTGGAACTGGAATTCCAAAAAATCTCTTCTTATCGAACCTCTACACCCTAGAATCAACCTGTATGCCAAAATTGAGCTTCTTACGTTGAGTGGTTTGAACAGGCTCGTGATTAATCTGTATGTTAGGATTTTGTCAGATTGTGTCAGCACTTAAGGATTTTATATATTAGTATAGATATAGATAAAGAAACTTCAGAACAAAAAAGGCTGCCGAGGACATTTTAAATCCTTCGAAGTTTTATCAAACATAAATAATATCTGTTTCAATTAGGAAAAAAATTATTAGTATGAACCAAGATCAACTAATGCAAAATACCCCTTCTCATTGTTTCACTGTACCAAAAAGAAATACAGTTTACATGTGTGTAAAGTTTTAAAATCGTCTTCCTGAAGACATATCTTTAAAAAAAAATTTGGAAAATTGTTGTCTTTTAAATCAATGAATTCCTAATAGAAAAAAAAACATTTCTGCATAAATAATATTGCAATATGTCTTTATAAAAATATATGTACTTGTAATTTGATTGTATACAGGGTTTTTCAAAAAAAACATGTGCCATCTCTTGTGGGCAGATTCCTCTCGTAAAAATAAGATGTATTTTTCTTATCAACATGAGTCTGATTCTGCTTTGTTTCGTAGCTACGGGGGGTTAAACTGTCTTTTTTGTTTAAAGTGGTAAAAAATCTTTTTTCAATTTATTATAATTTTCTTCAATGTGCTTTTAGCGAATCGAATGAAATTTTTGTGCGACATATTTTAATGCAAAAAAATGTCGACCTATTCATTTTACATACATTTTAATTTTCGACTTTAATATCCTGTAGCTACAAAACAAAGCAGAATCGACTCATGTTGAAATATGAAAAATAAATCTTATTTTTACACGAGGAATCTCTCCACGAGAGATAGCACATGTTTTTTGAAACACCCTGTATATTTGGATCGATTTTGAAATAATAGTATATTATTCAACGAGCATATAATGGTGGCTAATATTCACGCGGATGAAGTTTAATGGTTAGTCATTAATCATAAATCATCCAAGTGAATAACAGCCATTATATGCGAGTAGAATACTATACTTTATCCAGGACTATCAAAAAATTTAGATAATATTAATATAAGTTTTTATTTTTAATGTTAAAAAAATATTGAACGAGTATAACGAGTAAGTAACATGGAAACAAAAAATTTTCTTTAACTAGGTAGCTAACTAATTTAGCTTTAACTAATTAAAACAAAAATTATTTATTTATATTAATGATAATGTTTGTGTTCACATAATACGACGAGTTTGGATCGAGATATCCGTGGAAGCGGCGAATAATGAAACCATTATTCACTAGTGAATAATGAATATTATATATTATTATTTCATAACCTCCTGTATAATAATCAAATTATAGACGAGTCGTGGATAAATAGTATTATTGTTATTATCGCAAACTCAATTCCTCCAGAAAAAAAAACAAATGTATTCAAAAATGTATTCAATATTTCGCCTAGATCCATGTCTATTATATGTGTAAGTAAATAATCCATGCTCAACGATACTTTGAAATATTCCGTTAATCTGTATAGTAGGTCATCAGCGTATAATACACTATTGTCATAGCTATTGTATACAATTATTCAAGTTCGCGAGGTGCAAAATGCTATTTGGAACGAAGTTTCACAATAAAAGTAACAAATTCCACATGTCGTAGAATTATGTCATTACTCTTCTATTTCTTATTGGTTTATATTTTAATAAACCCTTGATATTTTAAAACTATCTCGTTAACTATAGGAACTAATTTCAATAAATCGTAAAAATTTCAAAATAACTCAATCCAAAACCATATATAGAAAACTAAATAAACCAGTCGGTACAAAATTCCATTTAATTAAATTATAATTAACGACGATGGATCTGTAATTACGCGAGTTAAGCCTGGTCGCGTTCAGAGAACATAGCAGATAACTACCGCTGAGAATTTTGCTCAACAGCTGACCGTTGTTGTATTTGTGTATCAGAATAAACCGTTCAGGGAGGTCGCGTT